ATTGAAACTCATTTTACATTCATACCTTACGCCCCAGGTATGTGAAAAAAGCAGACGAGGCCATAGATGCGGCTAAAGCCAAAGTTAGGCAGGCAGAAGTCAATTGGGACATCGCAGTGAAAGATATACAAAAAGCACAAAGGAAGGTGAGAATGTAATACAGTATTATATATACTTAATATACTCTATATTACTTTTACTACTTAAAAGAATAAACTCTTACTTTGCTTCTGTTCCTACTTTGAATCGCATTGAATTTCCTTTATTACACTGTTAAATAAAACTTCACATGAAGGTTGGGTCATCAATATTCCGGACATTATCCTTGAATTCTTCGATATTGTCCTAGGTTCGCTCTGCGGAAGTCCACTGGGACCGTGCCGTTGCCTGGTTTAACGAGAAGATAAAGGATGTCCGGGGAGCGGAGAGGCACTGGGACGACACTGTCGCTGCGCTGCGTCACGAAAGATCCAAGTGCTCCTTCAAGAAGTGCAAGTGGTGTAAGTATATGGCCTTTCAACATTTCATTTGTTTTACATTGAAAAATTTTAGTTAACTCGAAAATGCCAGAAAATCATGAAGCATAATGGGCTTTGCGGGGCAGGGAAGTCGATCCTTTACATTGTATATGATGTACATATATATGATTCTTCTGACCTGAGTAACTGTTTCAGCTATTTCAACTACATGCATGTAAATGTATTTTTTATACTTAAGCATCTTACACGTACGTACGTAAGCATCAAAGAACTGGTTTTCTTGTACCCCACACACATAAAGACTATTTCAACAGGTAACACGTTTGCCTTACCCAAATTATCCTCATTACTTTCCAACAGACGAAGTATGGTGCCATGCAGAAAACGCTGGTCGGGCCATTTGCCAAGGAGCACTGTGGGTATGTGACGCATCTCTTATCTAAATTTGCTTTGCTGTGTAATTAGTAATGACATGGTAAACATTAATAGTCATGTGACCCACATCCAGGAATACTAGTACATGTAATAAGTGATGATGAATGGCAAATCGATAGAAACTATAGATAGAGTGCCTTGCACCTTGACGTAATGTAGTTTAGCTTCGAGTGTAATGTGCCGCTCTTTCTCTGGTCCAACAGTTGGCTGAGCAGGTAGTAGACAAGAGCCGATATCTGCTTGATGTTGCCATCTTCGCGATGAAAGCAGCCCGGGAAATAGTGGACAAAAGCCGCATACTTCTCGACGCCGCCATTTTAATCCTCAAAGGTGCCGAAGAGTTCGTCGATAAATCTCGGTAAGTTTTTTTTGATAAAAAAACTCGTTTGTACGTACCTAACACCATCATACTTTAAAACATTGTGGTGATTTCGTTTTCCTAATAGAAATGTTTCAGATTGTAACTTATATTCCTAAAAATGCAAAGCATGTTATTGATAATTTAAATCAGAAACAATGTGCACTGCCAGACATATATATATATATATATACATGTAGTTCCATCCGGAATAAAGTAGGGTCTTATTTACTGCGGATGCTTTTATGCTCATCATGAATACAATCTTATGCATGGGCTTGAGGTAGTTTCCGAATGGGTTGTGGGTTTGTGATACTTTGTTGACGTTAAGGTTTTTTTATGTTACTCGATTAGTATCATCTTAGATGCAGCTGAAGGTTTCCTTGAGGGTGTGAAGCAAGCGAATCGCTTTGGAGCAGAGGTGGCTAAGAAGGTAATTTGTATATACCAAACTTTGCAGCATGTCTGTGGTCCATATGGTTGGTATTTGACATGATAATACAATCATGCATATGTTTAAAATATCCAAGTGATATGGTAAAGCATGAACAAGCACTTAATTTTTGTCTCATACTACATGATTAAAACAGAATAGAAGAAATTACCTTTGTCAGCAAAAACCCATGGTCACCACCTTCCGATTACCATACTTATGGCACCTCGTATACTACTCAATCCTATCCCATACAACGGGGGTAATTATGTTCTATGATACAGGTGGCAGGTGCGGTACTAGGCGGGATAATAGACATCCAGGAGATCGGATTCAGCGTGAAACTGGCCGTCGCACAGAGCGGTCACTTCCGGGGGTGGATCAAGGTGGCCTTCTTCGGCGGGAGTCCGAAGGTACATGCTAGCTCTTATAAGTTGTGTCTTGTTACGTTGAAGTTTCATAATGAGATGACTTTAGATGGGTAATGTTGAAGAACCAAAGGACAATCGTTGCGCGCGCTCCTCCTGTTGCTAATGCAGTATGCATGATATTTGAAAATCATTTCCAATCAATCGACTTTCCCTACCAAATAATTAATATGTGTCCGAATAACTGGACTTTGGTCGAAACTTTTGGAATGCCTATCTGTCCCTACCTCCTTTTCAAAGAATACAATGACCAATGATGGTGCATTAATACCATTGTTTAGTAAATTGGTATAGGGGAAAATCATTTTTATTAATCATCCACGGCTTTCATTTATTTATTGATCTTTAATGGTAGTCCCTTCAGCCCAAAACAGGCTGTTGTCCAAGGGAGCCCATGGTACACACAAATGATAAATATAGAAAAGTAAAATAACAAAGTATTAAATTACCGTATTAATGCTAAATCATATTAAACCATAAAACTCAAAATTATACCGCTCAGTAACACTAACGATATAACGCTCTTTAAACAGGAGTTCAGATTTGACATCAACCTTCCGTCGATCGAGGACATGGTGAGCGCCCTCGTGGACATGGTCAGAAACGCGCTCGGGCTTCGGCGGAAACGGGAGGCCGACCGCCTGGAGTTCGAGCGACTCCTGCGTCTGAAGTCGACCAAATTGTGCGAAGGCATCGGGCCCATGCCCTGCGCACCGAATTACGCTAAGCTGGGGCAGATGGCCGACTACAGGGCTGCCCTACTCGGGGCTAGAGTGGTGAAAGGAAACATGGGTCCTATCGTGAAGTGATTGTCAATTTTGATCCTAAGTCAGATCAAAATTGCAATTGAAATGCCGTGTGTATGTGCTGTCGCTGTCAAAATCATTTTTCTACCAACTCTTCACTGGAAGAATATATGCTGGTAAACCAATAGACGGTTTACGTATCATAAACACAAATGTACTACAACAGGGCAACCAATGCTGATAGATAGATCTTTTATATATAATCACACGTTATATGAGCATAAGGATTATGCTAGTTATCTATGCATAACTAAAATAAGAAATTGTGCTCTATTCTGAAAGCACAGAATAATGATAGACAGACATTCACATATCATCATGAAGCTGAAAGGCTTTATTTGCGCATAAATGAAGCAAAACCACAAACCTGTTATACTTATCATATAACACTCATAACACCAGATAAAGTAGTATAAGACGTCAAGGTACAAGACCATATTTGAATTATAAATAATCATATCCTCACAAAGTGACTACAGGGTTTACGTTACATGTGTTTCGCCCGTCTGGTTGCTGGATTTCTGATACACAAAACCCTATATAGGTCTTTATTATCACTATGCTTGAACACTACATTCATTCATTTAACATCAGTGTGTTTGTTCAATTGGACTGTTTTTTGTTTGCTAAGACAGTAGATTGATTCTCATACAGTCGCAAACACCATGAGAATTAAGTATAAGTGTGTAATAGAAATCAAACGTTGGCACAACTTGCAAATCTGAAAACAGGGCTATTAGCCCTTCACATTGTGCACTTTTTAACTGAACATAAACGGCAATCCAATAGGCAATATCTCTGATATGGTTATATTATGATGTAGGCTAATGCAATTATGAAAATAGGTGATTTTAAAAAGATATAAGTGAAGCAGCAAAGGCCAGCAAAGCGCTTGTGGGAAAAACAAGGGAACTTGGAAAGGGGTACCACGCCAACTCTGTGGTTGGTTCGGTCCCTTAGCATCTCTGGTTATCAGGGCTACAGTCACAGCTGACCACGTTGGTGATGTAGTGAGTCTGCACTGATCCGTCGGAGCATGACAGGTACACGGGTTTGGTCTCTGTCTCGGCCGGCCCGCAACACGAACAATACTGCTCAAAGGAGTTGGTCTCTGGATGATAGTGAGACCTAGAGACAAACAAGGCAAGTATGTTATGTCCCAACAGAACTATATAGTTCCCATGGCAATACGTGCTGTGCCGACATGTCTGGTCTATGTTGTCGTGGCTGTAACTGGCACACATTGAGAACCTTCCCCCGACCAGCATTCAACCAAGTTCAGGAGCAGTCTGGCCAGAGTTAGGCCACGCCCATCTTTCTATAGGAATCGACTTGAATTTGAGTCAAATTCAACCTGCGAACACGCCTGCTAGCCTAGTCCCAAACACCAGCCAAAAACTAGCCATGGCCGAATCTGCCGTCCATAACCGAATGTTTTAAGCATTTTGAAACATTCGGATCAGGCAGCCGAACAATAGTCGACCTCACCGAAAACCAAGTGACCTTGCCCCCGACTTACTCCTACCATTATCGTATAGGACTGTTCAGCCATAGCCATAGAGAGCATCTATAGAGAAAGATAGAGAGGGGGGTCTGTAAAATGGTGTATGATCTTACCCGCTGGGGCACCTTCCTTCGCACCAGGAGATGGAGACTGGTTTGGCACTGGTGCAGCCGCCCACCGTCAGCTCAGTCTGGTTCTCGTACCGGACACAGACACCTTCCGGGATGTCACCTAAACGGGTCGGGGAAGAATGATACCATCCTGTTCTCATATCATATGAAACACTTGCCTGACTGTTCCCAAACATTACGGCAATGAGGATATGACGCTCTGTGGATATAGGTCTGTTCATTATTTTGTAAAGTAATATAACTCGCTTCATGCCATTTTAACATATGATAACACAGATATGCATCAACAGAGAAAATCTATGAAAACCGTAATTTACAATAAGGTGCCTTTATAAGTGTCATCAAACTGATTTTAACTGATAGCTAATTGCATGTTCAAAGTAGATAAACAAAATAGCTAATGACTCACAGCGCCAGGTCGGGCAACATCCGTCAGTGGGTTCCTCCACAAGTTCTCCCTATTGAACAAACTTATATTAGTCGCTGGTAGAAGTATATATCACTTGGTCAATGCACATGCAGAATTAGCGAAAGCCAACATCAATTGACCGAGGTCCTCTTTGGTCATCTTCGTAAGATTTTTATGATGATTCTTGTCCATGGTACATTTCAGCTACTCTGAATTTTGGCAGCATCCTTATATTATAGTTGGATATTATATTTCGCATGCCCATGCATGTGATACAACAAGGACAACATCCGCATTTCTCTCTGTAATGGAAGATATAGATCTTCACGTTTGCTTACGTGAGGACATGCTGGGGGTGCAGGGCATGTGATGGTGGAGCAGATCTCGAAGGCTTCACCCGTGGTGGGCATCTCCCGACATTCACACACTTCACATGGGTCGCCACCCGGAGACCAGGTTGAGTTAACCTATGGAAAGAAAACAAAATGAGGCCAAGGAAGTTGTTAGGGTATATTGGTTATTGGCCATCTTGTGGATTGAACGCACGTGTTGTTAAATACTAACATAAATATTGCTGCCACATATCAGAATGTTTGCTATGTAAATACAGAGAAATACGTGATTCATAATGTATGCAATGGAGAGGAACGTTCATAAAATCTATGATTTTAAAGCATACGCTCATATTGGTAAACAAGCAAATAAGTATCGTAGGCACGCTATTGGTGATACTTACAGCATGATCGATGATGACGCCACTGCTGGTTTGCTCACAACACGAGGTCGGAACGCACTCACCACAACACGTCCCCGGGCTGTTCACCAGGGTGTAACACTGTGGATATGTTGAGATCCTTGTTACAAAACTGTGTACACACTGTTCTAGAATGAAAAATCCTACTCCCTGTAAGCACACCCCACTTCTGACACCATGTTTTGTGGTCCTTAGAATGAACCTAACTCATTGGAGTAACGTTAAACTGAATTATCTTACATGGAGCGAATAGAGTCTGCAAAGACACGTCTGCTCTCGGTCGTGGTGGTCACGAACGAGGATGAGAAAGTCAGTTCTATATGTACTGTTGACCTGTTGACTAGCTAGGTGTCTATAGACAATGCCACACCCAGAACACTGAAAACCGGATACCTTCTAGCCTAGTGTGTGGATCCTTGTTAGCAAAATGTGTACATGTCCTACTCCCTTCTAGTACATCCCACTTCTGACACCATGTTGTGTGGTTCCAAATTCTTAGAATTACTAGTAAGTTAACTATGGACAAGGTGTCTGTAAACAACCTGGACATATTGGATTGTTTAAAGTAGATAAAGAGTAGAGCATTACCGGAGGGCAGGAAGTCGGACAGGTGGTGATGTCGTGGCAGATCTCTATGTAATCACCACTGAGGGTCTCATTACACGTGCAGACACGACAGGGCCCCTCGTACCATGTCTCCCCGGGCTGGAAGGTTGTAAGAAATTTTTAGGTATTTTCTTCTGAATGCTTCCGTTAGTATGAGCTTCCATATGGTATTCTACAACAGAGTCTAGAGAAGCGTTGTAAAAGACAATCTAGCAAATATTCATTGTCAACTAATACTTGTTGGGAAATAGTTCAGTTCTCTCAGACTATGAAATGTTTTGAATCCGAATTAACGTACCTGGTGCGGGACGTTATTATGATCCACGCAAGCTGTAGGAAAAAATGAAAATAATGTCACTTCTATGTATATGTAACCAAAATATAACAAAATTCTTACAAACTGAAGCGGCAAGTTTAAACACGTCATTATGTCGTAACATAATGACGTGTTTAAATACGATATATCATAATATATCGTGAAATGATAATGACTTGAAGTATTGTGAACTTGATAAAGTCTGTTCATCAATATTTGCAATGTCCGTCCCGCTATTGATGCCTGGTGCACCTACCACAGTCAGTACTGAGAATGCAGTCTCCTGTCGTCACATCCAAGACATAGCCGTCCGGGCATGCGCAGTCCTCCATGAAGCCTGTGCCGCACGTGATAGTTTGGTGCTGGCAGGTTTCGGGACACTCGGTCGCGCATGGGGTGTAGATTCTGTCCGGGGGACACTCGGATGCTACGAACAAAACGTTGAAGACAGATATGATTCTTATTCACTACATTTGGACATAGACTTGGACATATCGCAAGTTGCCTGCACTCAGGGCGCTTTTAGACCAGGGGTTACGCTTCCTATTCCTTCTTCTGGTTTCTTTTTTTCTTATTCACTAGACAAATATACTGTTAACAAAGGTAACTGGTAACATACATGTACTTGTCATGCAGCAACTTCGCTGTGGGACATTAAAAGCAATGGAAACTTTTTAAACGGCATTGCTCGGTACAAAGCCAATTGGCCACTTATTGAACTATTACAGTACGATAGTTTGTCAACCGTCTCAAACCGTTTCAAAACATATTAACAAATGTTTACATTTATTTACTGTGGGACAATGCACTGAACTTTTGCAGGTTCAAAATTTGTAATAAACAAATTTGTATGAAGGAGGCTATCACTTCGGTAAGTACTAGTAACGGCAATTTAGCTAGCAGTTTCGAAACATCATTGGAAACGAACGTGGAGGAATAAGAAGTAGATATAAACATTTCGCTCCTTTCCACGCGGAATACTTACGGCATTCTGGTACAAGTTCCCTCCAGTCGATACACACGCCGTGGCTCAGGCACGCCATGGCGTAGGCAGTGATGGTCCAACATGGCGACGTCTCCAAACACACGTCATACTCACAGTCCTCCAGGAACTGGTGGTAGTCAACCAAGTCGTGACAGGGCTCAAATACCTGCAGACAAAATATTTCATGTACAAAAGCAAAGGAGTTAGTCGAAGCCAAAGAAAACAGGGATAGAGGGGAAGTATAACCTCTCGAGTATATGTCCATTAACAAGAAACTACATATTGCCTGGGTAAAAATGCTGAACTTTGATTGTACATGAACTAAAATGGCCTGAGTGGGAAATAGCCATTAGGATACGTAAGCGTAGAAAGCATGCATTATCAATGATATCAGTCACAACGTATTACATTATTTCTACTGTATTTCATAAACCGTATTTTTATGACACTCGCTATGACGTACATGTAGTTTAAAATGGCACTTTTATTAAATTGTACTACGCGTCTTTCAGTGCGTTGATCAATAAAATTCATCAAAGCACTGAACGATGCGACAGTATTTGTCTCCTTTAGAATGGAACAGGACGTACGTCGCTGAGTAGGATGTCGCATGCCGTGGGTGTTGTTGTGTTGCCGAGTACGCAGTCTGTGTGGTTGACGTAGCAGTCCTCCAACTCTCCTTCAACCAGCCAATCATAGCCGAACTCTTCAGTGTCGGTCGTCACGGTGCCGTCCGTCAGGGTCAAGTCATTCGACTGGTCGTTGTCATAGAAACCTGCACGTGAATGGAATATTCCTCTTCAGGATGTTTTTGGCATATCTCTGACATGCATATTATAATTTGCATGCTTTGCCTTGAGCGATTAAGGGTTTTACATCCTCTGCTATGTAACTCCATTTTATTTAAAAGTTGTCTATGGTCAATGAGTCGGTGCGTAAAAAATGTCTGCCTTGCTTATTTGTGTATGTCTGCCCATCACCAACAAACAACCAGCTGTCTTTCTTACCACAAAGACCCTCAATGTCTTCGAAAAATTCTGGTGGGATGTAGATGGAGGCGATGTAGTTCAGCTCAATGTAGTTGACTTCCACGCCGAGGGCGTCGATGACCAAACGCATGGTGTGGTAGCCGTGTCGGGTGATGGTCATTCCGCCGACGTTCACAGGAGGCCTCAATGGTTGGCCATTCACTATCACCTGTGACAGCATAGAAGATAAAACGAATAGAAGATTAAGAATGTCAAGACCATGTACAATCTGTAGTGGTCCTGGGAACTACTGACGTCTTAATGTCACAATCGTATCGTGTTACATGAAGCATAAAAATTTTATTGTTTAGTGAGTAAGACAGGAAAACATGCTGTCCGACAACACATAAACAGATCCCATCTTCCCGGTCATTTTTAGCTGTTTGAACTACTAATCAATCAAAAAGCCTCGGTTTTACATAGTCTACATTACGGCAATTATTCACATTTACAGCACAGACTTTGCATGTGAAGATAATTAGAATCTGAGCACCGTTATTAAGGGCACCGTGAATATTATTGTCCTTCCTAAAATGGAATTTCTAGTATGGGACAACAGAGGACATATTTCCCATGTTGCAAGATGAAGCTTCGAAGATACAGCATGATATCTGACGCTACTGCAATGTATCTTACCCATCCAGTTCTGCCAAGTTCCACCTGGAACCCTCCGTAATGCACAGTGACGCTCCTGGTGCAGGTTGCAATCGCCCCGTAAGGTTTGGTGCAAGGGAAGTTCTGGGCCCAAATCTCAAATTCGTCTGAACCAATCGGTTTGGCCATCAGGTAGGTGCAGTTTCCTTGGTGAGAGAATCTCCTGCCGTCACATGTTGAGTAATGAGGCTCACCATACAGGAAGCAGTCGCCTAGTGTGGGGTGATAGAGAGAAGATATGCTGTTACAGTCTGATGCATGTAACCCGTAACCTTGGAGTGGCCTTTGGGTCACACTTTGAAGTGGCCTTTGGGTCTTTTTACGTGGTAACCAATAAGTAAAAAAGAAATAGAAAAAAATGTTGTCCAGTATTTGATAAGGACTGATTTTTGTTTTCTACATGTAAATTACCTGGCTTGTTTGTTTGGTATACACAACTTCTAAATAACTAGAGGAGGATGTGACTCTTGCCATTTACCGTGTATTCTCTAACTAAGCTAAGGATCAGCATTGCTCACATTATACGTGTTGCACAACTTCTGAAATTTGAAGCTTCTTACACGGGCATTGCCAAATCCTGCAGCAGGGGTTGTCAGGATCCTCCACGTATTCCGGATCGGCTCCGTTGACACACTCAGGCACTGTCACCGCTGGGCATTGTAATGGCTCACACCAAATTTCTCCACACACACAGGTGCAGGTAGTACAGGAGGTGATACTGCTGGTCCATGATTCTCCACTCTGAAAGGTATTATCCAATATCTGACGTTACTTCATACTCAACAAGTATCAGCAAGGTTTTATAGTCTTGCCTTGGCACGGTTCAGATTTATCTCAAGCCTGTCAGAGACAAGCAAGTTTTGGTAAAAGTCTGCTTTGAACTCCATTTATGTTTGTCAAAGGCATTAATCTGATGGTGTTAATTATCTACACAGCCAACTAAATGTCAACCAAAAGATATGGCAACAAAATGTTATGATATAAACAAGATATTAGTTAGCTCACCGCTATTGCATTGCCGTTCACGTAACAAGGAGGGCAAGTCGTCGTGGGTGTGGTTAGAGTTGTGGTTCCTGGAGTGGTGGTTCCTGGAGTGGTGGTTTCTGGTGTGGTTGAAGTCGTAGTAGTTGAGATTGTAGGTGTGGTGCCTTCCGTTGAGACGGTAGTTGTGGTACCTTCTGTTGTTGTGGTACCTTCTGTTGTTGTGGTGCCTTCTGTTGTTGTTGTGCTTTCTGTTGTAGTTGGAGTGGTGGTTCCTGGGGTGGTTGTGGTTGGTCCTGGTGTGGTTGGAGTGGTTTCTGGTGTGGTTGGAGTAGTTGGAGTGGTAGTTCCTGGTGTGGTTGGAGTGGTGGTTCCTGGAGTGGTAGTTCCTGGAGTGGTTGGAGTCGTGGCTCCTGGAGTGGTAGTTCCTGGTATGGTTGAAGTCGTGGTTCCTGGGGTCGAGATTTCTAGAGTGGTGGTTGTGGTGTGGTGAAGTCAAGTATAAACCAAGAAAATAAATGTCAAGAAATTGTTGAGAATTAATTCATATCTTCCACGCAAGTAGCCTGGCTTCTTTCATTGGCATACATAACTTTTTGAATATATAGATAAGAATGTGTCACTCTTGATTGTGCCATGTACTGTATATTCTATGATTATTAAGAAGTCAGAACACACATACCAGCATTGATTACATTTTATGTCTAGCATAATTTAGACATTTGAAGCTTCTTACCTGGGCATTGCCAAATCCTGCAGCATGGGTTGTTAGGATCCTCCACGTATTCCGGGTCGGCTCCGTTTGGACATGTAGGCTCTGGAACCGTTGGACATGACACAGGGTCACACCAAACTTCTCCACACTGACAGGTGCAGCTCTTACAGTCAAGGATCCATGATTCTCCACTCTGAAAGGTGTCATACAATATCTGATGTTACTTCACACTCAACAAATATATCGGCAAAGTTTTATATTCCTCCCTGGGCACGTTTTAGCTTTATCTAAAGCCTATCAGAGACAAGTAATGTTTATTATGATGTTTGAACATTTGTCAAAGCCATAAAACTGAAAAAAATTCTTACAAGAAGATATGGCAACAAGAAAATGTTATAATATAAACAAGATATTATTTAGCTCACCGGTATTGCATTGCCGTTGACGTAACAAGGAGGGCAAGTCGTCGTGGGTGTGGTTGGAGTGGTGGTTCCTGGTGTGGTTGGAGTGGTGGTTTCTGTTGTAGTTGGAGTGGTGGTTTCTGGTGTGGTTGGCGTGGTGGTTTCTGGTGTGGTTGTAATGGTGGTTCCTGGAGTGGTTGCTGTAGTGTAGTCCGGTATTAAACAAATTGAATGAGAAAAAATGTTGTCCAGAAATTCTTATGGATTGATTCATGTTCTCCAAGCAAAATGCCTGGCTTCCTTCTTTGGCATACATAACTTTTAAATAATTAGACGAGCATGTCACTCATGATTGTGCCATTTACTGTGCATTCCTTAATTGACAAGAAGTCAGAACACACATTCCAGTATTAATTGATTACATTATATAGCTCGCACAATTTAGACATTTGAAGCTTCTTACCTGGGCATTGCCAAATCCTGCAGCATGGGTTGTTAGGATCCTCCACGTATTCCGGATCGGCTCCGTTTGGACATGTAGGCTCTGGAACCGTTGGACATGACACAGGGTCACACCAAACTTCTCCACACTGACAGGTGCAGCTCTTACAGTCGCGGATCCATGATTCTCCACTCTGAAAGGTATCATGCAATATTTGATGATACTTCATACTCAACAAATATATCAGCATATATTCTTGATTTGGCACGGTTCAGCTTTTCCTACAGCCCATCACAGATAAGCAATGTTTAGTAAAAAGGCTACTTTGAACTTTGAACATTTGTCACAGACTTAAAACGGAAAAAAATTCTTAGAAGAAGATATGGCAACAACAAAATGTAATAGTATAAACAAGATATTAATTAGCTCACCCATATTGCATTGCCGTCCACGTAACAAGGAGGGCAAGTCGTCGGGGGGACTGAAGGTGTGGTTGAAGTCGTGGTTTCTGGTGTGGTTGGAGTGGTGGTTTCTGGTGTGGTTGGAGTGGTGGTTCCTGGAGTGGTGATTGTGGTGTATAGTCCGGTATTATCCAATAAGAAAAAATATTGTCCAGAAATTGTTAACTACTTACTTATGTTAACTACTAACTTATGTTACTTAATCATATTCTTCACATGCAAGTTGTCTGGCTTCTTTTTTTTGGCATACTTTACTTTTAAATAATTAGATTGGTCACTCTCAATTGTGTCATTTACTGTGTATTCTGTAATTAAAAATAAGTCAGAACACACACACCAGCATTGATCACATTATACGCCTTGCGCAACTTTAGACATTTGAAGCTTCTTACCTTCGCATATTCCAATCGTGCAGCAGGGGTTGTCAGGGTCCTCCACGTATACCAGTGTTTGTCCGTTTATACATGAAGGCACTGGAACCGTTGGACATGACACAGGGTCACACCAGACTTCTCCACACTGACAGGTGCAGCTCCTACAGTTGCGGATCCATGTTTCTCCACTCTGAAAGGTATCATACAATATCTGATGCTACTTCATACTCAACAAATATATCAGCATATATTCTTGATTTGGCACTGTTCAGCTTGACCTACAGCCCATCAGAGACAAGCAATGTTTAGTAAAAAGGCTACTTTGAACTTTGAACATTTGTCACAGACTTGAAACGGAAAAATTCTTACAAGAGGATATGGCAACAACAAAATGTCATAGTATAAACAAGATATTAGTTAGCTCACCCATATTGCATTGCCGTCCACGTAACAAGGAGGGCAAGTCGTCGGGGGGACTGAAGGTGTGGTTGAAGTCGTGGTTTCTGGTGTGGTTGGAGTGGTGATTTCTGGTGTGGTTGGAGTGGTGGTTCCTGGAGTGGTGATTGTGGTGTATAGTCCAGTATTAACCAATAAGAAAAAATATTGTCCAGAAATTGTTAACTACTCAATCATATTCTTTACTTGCAAGTTGTCTGGCTTCTTTCTTTGGCATACATAACTTTTAAATAATTAGATGAGCATGTCACTCTCAATTGTGTCATTTACTGTGTATTCTGTAATTAACAAGAACTCAGAACACACACACACCAGCGTTACTCACCTTATACGCCTTGCGCAACTTTAGACGTTTGAAGCTTCTTACCTTCGCATATTCCAATCGTGCAGCAGGGGTTGTCAGGGTCCTCCACGTATACCAGTGTTTGTCCGTTTATACATGAAGGCACTGGAACCGGTGGACATGTCACAGGGTCACACCAAACTTCTCCACACTGACAGGTGCAGCTCCTACAGTTGCGGATCCATGTTTCTCCACTCTGAAAGGTATCATACAATATCTGATGCTACTGCATACTCAACAAATATATCAGCATATATCCTTGATTTGGCACTGTTCAGCTTGACCTACAGCCCATCAGAGACAAGCAATGTTTAGTAAGAAGGCTACTTTAAACTTTGAACATTTGTCACAGACTTAAAACGGAAAAATTCTTACAAGAGGATATGGCAACAACAAAATGTAATAGTATAAACAAGATATTAGTTAGCTCACCCATATTGCATTGCCGTCCACGTAACAAGGAGGGCAAGTCGTCGGGGGGACTGAAGGTGTGGTTGAAGTCGTGGTTTCTGGTGTGGTTGGAGTGGTGGATTCTGGTGTGGTTGGAGTAGTGGTTCCTGGAGTGGTGATTGTGGTGTATAGTCCGGTATTAACCAATAAGAAAAAATATTGTCCAGAAATTGTTAACTACTCAATCATATTCTTTACTTGCAAGTTGTCTGGCTTCTTTCTTTGGCATACATAACTTTTAAATAATTAGATGAGCATGTCACTCTCAATTGTGTCATTTACTGTGTATTCTGTAATTAACAAGAACTCAGAACACACACACACCGGCGTTACTCACCTTATACGCCTTGCGCAACTTTAGACGTTTGAAGCTTCTTACCTTCGCATATTCCAATCGTGCAGCAGGGGTTGTCAGGGTCCTCCACGTATACCAGTGTTTGTCCGTTTATACATGAAGGCACTGGAACCGGTGGACATGTCACAGGGTCACACCAAACTTCTCCACACTGACAGGTGCAACTCCTACAGTTGCGGATCCATGTTTCTCCACTCTGAAAGGTATCATACAATATCTGATGCTACTGCATACTCAACAAATATATCAGCATATATCCTTGATTTGGCACTGTTCAGCTTGACCTACAGCCCATCAGAGACAAGCAATGTTTAGTAAGAAGGCTACTTTAAACTTTGAACATTTGTCACAGACTTAAAACGGAAAAATTCTTACAAGAGGATATGGCAACAACAAAATGTAATAGTATAAACAAGATATTAGTTAGCTCACCCATATTGCATTGCCGTCCACGTAACAAGGAGGGCAAGTCGTCGGGGGGACTGAAGGTGTGGTTGAAGTCGTGGTTTCTGGTGTGGTTGGAGTGGTGGATTCTGGTGTGGTTGGAGTAGTGGTTCCTGGAGTGGTGATTGTGGTGTATAGTCCGGTATTAACCAATAAGAAAAAATATTGTCCAGAAATTGTTAACTACTCAATCATATTCTTTACTTGCAAGTTGTCTGGCTTCTTTCTTTGGCATACATAACTTTTAAATAATTAGATGAGCATGTCACTCTCAATTGTGTCATTTACTGTGTATTCTGTAATTAACAAGAACTCAGAACACACACACACCGGCGTTACTCACCTTATACGCCTTGCGCAACTTTAGACGTTTGAAGCTTCTTACCTTCGCATATTCCAATCGTGCAGCAGGGGTTGTCAGGGTCCTCCACGTATACCAGTGTTTGTCCGTTTATACATGAAGGCACTGGAACCGGTGGACATGTCACAGGGTCACACCAAACTTCTCCACACTGACAGGTGCAACTCCTACAGTTGCGGATCCATGTTTCTCCACTCTGAAAGGTATCATACAATATCTGATGCTACTGCATACTCAACAAATATATCAGCATATATCCTTGATTTGGCACTGTTCAGCTTGACCTACAGCCCATCAGAGACAAGCAATGTTTAGTAAGAAGGCTACTTTAAACTTTGAACATTTGTCACAGACTTAAAACGGAAAAATTCTTACAAGAGGATATGGCAACAACAAAATGTAATAGTATAAACAAGATATTAGTTAGCTCACCCATATTGCATTGCCGTCCACGTAACAAGGAGGGCAAGTCGTCGGGGGGACTGAAGGTGTGGTTGAAGTCGTGGTTTCTGGTGTGGTTGGAGTGGTGGATTCTGGTGTGGTTGGAGTAGTGGTTCCTGGAGTGGTGATTGTGGTGTATAGTCCGGTATTAACCAATAAGAAAAAATATTGTCCAGAAATTGTTAACTACTCAATCATATTCTTTACTTGCAAGTTGTCTGGCTTCTTTCTTTGGCATACATAACTTTTAAATAATTAGATGAGCATGTCACTCTCAATTGTGTCATTTACTGTGTATTCTGTAATTAACAAGAACTCAGAACACACACACACCGGCGTTACTCACCTTATACGCCTTGCGCAACTTTAGACGTTTGAAGCTTCTTACCTTCGCATATTCCAATCGTGCAGCAGGGGTTGTCAGGGTCCTCCACGTATACCAGTGTTTGTCCGTTTATACATGAAGGCACTGGAACCGGTGGACATGTCACAGGGTCACACCAAACTTCTCCACACTGACAGGTGCAACTCCTACAGTTGCGGATCCATGTTTCTCCACTCTGAAAGGTATCATACAATATCTGATGCTACTGCATACTCAACAAATATATCAGCATATATCCTTGATTTGGCACTGTTCAGCTTGACCTACAGCCCATCAGAGACAAGCAATGTTTAGTAAGAAGGCTACTTTAAACTTTGAACATTTGTCACAGACTTAAAACGGAATAATTCTTACAAGAGGATATGGCAACAACAAAATGTAATAGTATAAACAAGATATTAGTTAGCTCACCCATATTGCATTGCCGTCCACGTAACACGGAGGGCAAGTCGTCGGGGGGACTGAAGGTGTGGTTGAAGTCGTGGTTTCTGGTGTGGTTGGAGTGGTGGTTTCTGGTGTGGTTGGAGTGGTGGTTCCTGGAGTGGTGATTGTGGTGTATAGTCCGGTATTATCCAATAAGAAAAATATTGTCCAGAAATTGTTAACTACTTAATCATATTCTTCACATGCAAGTTGTCTGGCTTCTTTCTTTGGCATACATTACTTTTAAATAATTAGATTGGTCACTCTCAATTGTGCCATTTACTGTGTATTCTGTAATTAAAAAGAACTCAGAACACACACACCAGCATTAATCACATTATACGCCTTGCGCAACTTTAGACGTTTGAAGCTTCTTACCTTCGCATATTCCAATCGTGCAGCAGGGGTTGTCAGGGTCCTCCACGTATACCAGTGTTTGTCCGTTTATACATGAAGGCACTGGAACCGGTGGACATGTCACAGGGTCACACCAAACTTCTCCACACTGACAGGTGCAACTCCTACAGTTGCGGATCCATGTTTCTCCACTCTGAAAGGTATCATACAATATCTGATGCTACTGCATACTCAACAAATATATCAGCATATATCCTTGATTTGGCACTGTTCAGCTTGACCTACAGCCCATCAGAGACAAGCAATGTTTAGTAAAAAGGCTACTTTGAACTTTGAACATTCGTCACAGACTTAAAACGGAAAAAATTCTTACAAGAGGATATGGCAACAACAAAATGTAATATAGTATAAACAAGATATTAGTTAGCTCACCCATATTGCATTGCCGTCCACGTAACACGGAGGGCAAGTCGTCGGGGGGACTGAAGGTGTGGTTGAAGTCGTGGTTTCTGGTGTGGTTGGAGTGGCGGATTCTGGTGTGGTTGGAGTAGTGGTTCCTGGAGTGGTGATTGTGGTGTATAGTCCGGTATTAACCAATAAGAAAAAATATTGTCCAGAAATTGTTAACTACTCAATCATATTCTTTACTTGCAAGTTGTCTGGCTTCTTTCTTTGGCATACATAACTTTTAAATAATTAGATGAGCATGTCACTCTCAATTGTGTCATTTACTGTGTACTCTGTAATTAACAAGAACTCAGAACACACACACACCAGCGTTACTCACCTTATACGCCTTGCGCAACTTTAGACGTTTGAAGCTTCTTACCTTCGCATATTCCAATCGTGCAGCAGGGGTTGTCAGGGTCATCCACGTATATCAGTGTTTGTCCGTTTATACATGAAGGCACTGGAACCGTTGGACATGACACAGGGTCACACCAGACTTCTCCACACTGACAGGTGCAGCTCCTACAGTTGCGGATCCATGATTCTCCACTCTGAAAGGTATCATACAATATCTGATGCTGCATACTCAACAAATATATCAGCATATATTCTTGATTTGGCACTGTTCAGCTTGACCTACAGCCCATCAGAGACAAGCAATGTTTAGTAAAAAGGCTACTTTGAACTTTGAACATTCGTCACAGACTTAAAACGGAAAAAATTCTTACAAGAAGATTTGGCAACAACAAAATGTAATAGTATAAACAAGATATTAATTAGCTCACCCATATTGCATTGCCGTCCACGTAACAAGGAGGGCAAGTCGTCGGGGGGACTGAAGGTGTGGTTGAAGTCGTGGTTTCTGGTGTGGTTGGAGTGGTGGATTCTGGCGTGGTTGGAGTGGTGGTTCCTGGAGTGGTGATTGTGGTGTATAGTCCAGTATTAACCAATAAGAAAAAATATTGTACAGAAATTGTTAAGTGTACTGATTCATATTCTCCAAATGCAAGTTGTCTGGCTTCTTTCTTTGGCATACCTACCTTTTAAATAATTAGACGAATATGTCGCTCTCAATTGTGCCATTTACTGTGTATTCTGTAATTAACAAGATGTCAGAACACACACACCAGCATTGATCACGTTATACGCCTTGCGCAACTTTAGACATTTGAAGCTTCTTACCTTCGCATATTGCAATCGTGCAGCAGGGGTTGTTAGGGTCCTCCACGTATTCCGGATCGGCTCCGTTTGGACATGTAGGCTCTGGAACCGTTGGGCATTGCACAGGGTCACACCAAACTTCTCCACACTGGCAGGTGCAGCTCTTACAGTCGCGGATCCATGATTCTCCACTCTGAAAGGTATGAAACAATATCTGATGTTGCTGCATACTCAATAAATATGTCAGCCTATATTTTTGACTTGGCACGGTTCAGTTTTACCTACAGCCCATCAGAGACAAGCAATGTTTAGTAAAATGGTTACTTTGAACTCTGAACATTTGTCACAGACTGAAATCTGAAAACATTCTTACAATAATATATGACCTCAACAAAATGTAATAGTATAAACAAGGCATTACATAGCTCACCGGTATTACATTGCCATACTCGTAACAAGGAGGGCATGTCGTCTTGGGTGTGGTTGGAGTGGTGGTTCCTGTTGTAGTTGTTGGAGTGGTGGTTTCTGGTGTTGTTGAGACTGTAGTTGTGGTGCCTTCTGTTGAGACGGTTGTTGGGATACCTTCTGTTGTTGTGGTACGTTCGGTTGTTGTGGTACCTTCTGTTGTTGTTGTACCTTCTGTAGTGCAAAGGTCACAACATAGCACGCGCACTTCATAGTCCAAGCACACCTTTACGTGCGTTTCGAGCTGCAGTTCACCACGGCAAAGCAGTCCGACCGAAGCATCGCAAACTACACCAACCTGTCCGGCTTCAGCAACGGTCAGGTGATTACCTTCGGAATTCACATCCGCTGTTCTACACTGAATTTCGGTCGGCTGCCAACAAAAACTGTAGTAGTGTTCCCTCAGGTGAGGGTAAGTTTCGTTATCGGTCGTATCGATAATAGTATCAGAATTCATCCACTCTGACCACGCACAGCAAGGGTGGAGAGTTGTGGTTGGAGTCGTGGTTCCTGGTGTGGTTGGAGTCGTGGTTTCTGGAGTGGTTGGAGTCGTGGTTTCTGGAGTGGTTGGAGTCGTGGTTTCTGGAGTGGTTGGAGTCGTGGTTTCTGGAGTGGTTGGAGTCGTGGTTTCTGGAGTGGTTGGAGTGGGTGTTCCTGGAGTGGTGATTATGGTGTATAGTCCGGTATTAAGCAATAAGCTTAAGAAAAAAATAGTTTCCAGAAATTGTAAAGGACTGATCGATATCCTTCACATGCAAGTTTCCTGGCTTCTGTCTTTGGCATACATTACTTTTAAATAATTAGACGAGCATGTCGCTCTTAGTTGTGTCATCTGTGTATTCGGAAGTTAACAAGAACTCAGAACACACACACCAGCATTGATCACATTATACGCCTTGCGCAACTTAAGACATTTGAAGCTTCTTACCTACGCATATTCCAATCGTGCAGCAAGGGTTGTAAGGGTCCTCCACATATATCAGTGATTGTCCGTTTATACATGAAGGCACTGGAGTCGGTGGACATGGCACAGGGTCACACCAAACTTCTCCACACTGACAGGCGCAGCTCTTACAGTCGCGGATCCATTCTTCTCCACTCTGAAAGATATCATGCAATATTTGATGATACTTCATACTCAACAAATATATCAGCATATATTCTTGATTTGGCACGGTTCAGCTTGACCTATAGCCCATCAGAGATAAGCAATGTTTAGTAAAAAGGCTACTTTGAACTTTGAACATTTGTCACAGACTTAAAACGGAAAAAAATTCTTAGAAGAAGATATGGCAACAACAAAATGTAATAGTATAAACAAGATATTAGTTAGCTCACCCATATTGCATTACCGTCCACGTAACAAGGAGGGCAAGTCGTCGGGGGGACTGAAGGTGTGGTTGAAGTCGTGGTTTCTGGTGTGGTTGGAGTGGTGGTTTCTGCAACAGTGGTCGTGGTTTCTGGTGTGGTTGGAGTGGTGATTTCTGGTGTGGTTGGAGTGGGTGTTCCTGGAGTGGTGATTATGGTTTACAGTCCGGTATTAACCAATAAGAAAAAAATATTGTCCAGAAATTGTTAACTACTTAATCATATTCTTCACATGCAAGTTGTCTGGCTTCTTTCTTTGGCATACATTACTTTTAAATAATTAGACGAGCATGTCACTCTCAATTGTGCCATTTACTGTGTATTCTGTAATTAACAAGAAGTTACAACACACACACCAGCATTACTCACCTCATACGCCTTGCGCAACTTTAGACATTTGAAGCTTCTTACCTACGCATATTCCAATCGTGCAGCAGGGGTTGTCAGGGTCCTCCACGTATATCAATGTTTGTCCGTTTATACATGAAGGCACTGGAACCGTTGGACATTGCACAGGGTCACACCAAACTTCTCCACACTGGCAGGTGCAGGTCTTACAGTCACGGATCCATGATTGTCCACTCTGAAAGGTATGAAACAATATCTGATGTTGCTGCATACTCAACAAATATGTCAGCCTATATTTTTGACTTGGCACGGTTCAGTTTTACCTACAGCCCATCAGAGACAAGCAATGTTTAGTAGAAAGGTTACTTTGAACTTTGAACATTTGTCACAGACTGAAATCTGAAAACATTCTTACAATAATATATGACCTCAACAAAATGTAATAGTATAAACAAGGCATTACATAGCTCACCGGTATTACATTGCCATACACGTAACAAGGAGGGCATGTGATCGTGGGTGTGGTTGGAGTGGTGGTTCCTGGTGTTGTTGAGACTGTAGTTGTGCCTTCTGTTGAGACGGTAGTTGGGATACCTTCTGTTGTTGTGGTACGTTCGGTTGTTGTGGTACCTTCTGTTGTTGCTGTACCTTCTGTAGTGCAAAGGTCACAACACAGCACGCGCACTTCATAGTCCAAGCACACCTTTACGTGCGTTTCGAGCTGCAGTTCACCACGGCAAAGCAGTCCGACCGAAGCATCGCATATTACACCCACCTGTCCGGCTTCAGCAACGGTCAGGTGATTACCTTCGGAATTCACATCCGCTGTTCTACACTGAATTTCGGTCGGCTGCCAACAAAAACTGTAGTAGTGTTCCCTCAGGTGAGGGTAAGTTTCGTTATCGGTCGTATCGATAATAGTATCAGAATTCATCCACTCTGACCACGCACAGCAAGGGTGGAGAGTTGTGGTTGGAGTCGTGGTTCCTGGTGTGGTTGGAGTCGTGGTTTCTGGAGTGGTTGGAGTCGTGGTTTCTGGAGTGGTTGGAGTCGTGGTTTCTGGAGTGGTTGGAGTCGTGGTTTCTGGAGTGGTTGGAGTCGTGGTTCCTGGTGTGGTTGGAGTGGTGGTTTCTGGTGTGGTTGAAGTCGTGGTTTCTGGTGTGGTTGGAGTCGTGGTTTCTGGAGTGGTTGGAGTGGGTGTTCCTGGAGTGGTGATTTAGGTGTATAGTTCGGTATTAAGCAATAAGAAAAAAATAGTTTCCAGAAATTGTAAAGGACTGATCGATATCCTTCACATGCAAGTTTCCTGGCTTCTGTCTTTGGCATACATTACTTTTAAATAATTAGACGAGCATGTCGCTCTTAATTGTGTCATCTTCTGTGTATTCGGTAGTTAACAAAATGTCAGAACACACACACCAGCATTGATCACGATATACGCCTTGCGCAACTTTAGACATTTGAAGCTTCTTACCTACGCATATTCCAATCGGGCAGCAGGGGTTGTCAGGGTCCCCCACGTATTCAGGATCCAAGTATACCGGATCGGATCCGTCTGGACATGGAGGAACCGGCGGACATGGCACAGGGTCACACCAAACTTCTCCACACTGACAGGTGCAGCTCTTACAGTCACGGATCCATGATTCTCCACTCTGAAAGGTATAATACAATATCTGACGTTACTTTATACTCAACAAATATATCAGCATTATATTCTTGACTTGGCACGGTTCAGCTTGACCTAAAGCCCATGTTTAGTAAGAACTCAAGGCTATTTTGAACTTTGAACATTCGTCACAGACTTAAAACGGAAAAAATTCTTACAAGAGGATATGGCAACAACAAAATGTAACAGTATAAACAAGATATTAGCTCACCGGTATTACATTGCCGTACTCGTAGCAAGGAGGGCAAGTCGTAGTAGTGGGTGTGGTTGGAGTGGTGGTTCCTGGAGTAGTGGTTCCTGGAGTGGTGGTTCCTGGTGTTGTGGTTCCTGGAGTGGTGGTTCCTGGTGTGGTTGAAGTCGGAGTTGTAGTTTCAACTGGCGGGGTGGTTGTACATGTTTGCGGTATCACAGGCAATGTTGTAGGACACACTTCAACACACTCTCGTGTGTACTCATTCAACAAGGTGCCGTTTGGACAGGTGGGGTGACAACCCGCGAGGCACGGTAGAGTACATTCGTGCCATTCTTCGTTCTGACAGGTTTCTGCACATGGTTGTCCGCATGGATGGTAGTGCCAGACACAGTCACCTTCCTCTGTATTGTAGTCTTCACACTGTGTGGCTGTATGTGGAATAAGCAATATAAAGATGCCATACGTTTGTTACAGGCTTAACACAATTTCTACACTGTGGTATTTTCTAGTATACATTCAGTATGTCTACTACTTCGGGGGCACTGACAAATGTGGCAAATGTTTGGCAAAGGAGTATTTTCTACCATGCAATATCATATTTATGTCTGGTGTTCTTAAAACAAGACCTTTCATCTACGTATAAGTGGCTACTCATACACTTACGCTTTGCTGATATGGTCAACAGTAACGAACTAAGGAACGATAACGAAGGCATTCTTACGGCACAATTCTGGAGTACGCCATCTGATAGGGATACCAGCCTCTCCACAGGCATGTGCGTATGCTGCCACGGCGGTACAGAAGCACTCACAGTCCCCTCCAATGTCGCATGCACAGGAGTCATCAACACAGGCTTCGTACCAAGGATAGGGGTCAATCTATGACGAATCAAGATAATGGACAGATTAAATTCTGTGTACTATTATACTATTCATTTACCACTCCATTTGACTTTGAAACGGCAATACGAGGAACTGCGTGTGTGCTTTGAGACTCTCTAAAACTGGTCTATTATTCTTTGGAATTTAGATCGCGTGGTCAAAACGGTACGTTTCGTCATCTCATGAACTCAGTGGATTGCATCGCCGTGCTCAGAAATCATAATACATCGAATCATAGCAGGTAAGTATGATCCAGAACTCTCAGAACATTCAGGCGAAACACGAAAGGATAGCTATCAATGATGCTAACTACTGCAGAATTATCTATGTACATGTGCATCTGTTTGGTTTGAAGAAGAAAACATTACCGTGGAATGGCACGGTTGGAAGACAGCTGCATGTATGATGGCGCACTGTCGCCGTGCCCAGGGGACGCGGTGGCGGTTGAGCAGGCATGGACTGAGCCATAACGCGGTGGCATTCTCTTCTTCATTCATGAGGGTTGTCACACACAATGGGTTCACCTGAAAGAAGAACGGAACATGTAGGAACATTAAGATTATCACATTTTCGAAAGAACACATATGACAATACATGTATGATAATGAAATGGCAGTGTTTCGATAGAAATGTTGTGAGGAATTCTACACAGATTCTACTGTAGTTACTGTAATATTTATTCTAGATTTACATGATGAAAAAGAAAGAAAATTAAGTGTTCTTGCTGTAGCTTTTAGAGATTTACCAGTACATGTGCTTCCTACAAGTCTAGCTTAATAGAACATGAAGTGCCTTATGTCACATTTACCTGCCAGCTGGCCGCGAACTGCTCCGGCTGCACGGCGATGTCCAGGGCCCTGGTGGTGAAGTCATTCGCCTGGTTCCCGTCAAAGTTTCCACACAGACCACACACCTTTCCTCTGTAACATGAACGGCCATTATAATGTGTTGAAAGGTAAAATTTTCGATCCAACACAAAGAATGGTTCTCATCACCTAGAGCTTTCGACAAGTTACTCTGGTCACTTCCTCAATGGGTCAGTCTACAGATTGACTGGTCGAAAGCTCTAGATGAGAACCATTCTTTGTGATGGATTCAAAGTTATCACTTTAAACATGTAACACAGATTAGCTTTCATGAAGCCATTTTTAAGGATCAAGCAAAGGTGCACTACATCCATTCTAATGAGACGACGTGTGATCTTATATCTCATTCTAATAAGCCCATCAAATTAAGTGATAATTTCAATCTTCTTGATCATGATGTATGGGTTACAACACCAGCCTACGCTGCCTGTGGCCCACAAGTATTGTACTGTTTGCAATTTCAATAAATCAAATCAATCAAATGATTACGTGCTGTTTTGGCATCACGAGTCTCGCAACCATTCCTTTGCGTTGGCGGCTGACAACAACAGTCGGTTTCGGCAAGTGAGTTGAAGATAATAAGTACATTACTGGGTGTAATTGTAACAGCATCTGTCGTTTCCAGTATTACCTGAATTGTGGGGCCAGCATGACGTACACACGGGTTCCGAAGTCCCACATCACGGTCAGACCATGGTCGGTCGTCAGGATCAGGAAAAATCCAACTCCTGTGATTTAAGTCAAGCAGCAAAAGGTCAGGCACTTGAACATATACAATAGAATATCGACTACAACAAAAACCACACCAAAATTACCAATCACTGATTCTTATCAAACACTTAAGGGCATTTTACTAAACAACGTTGGGGGCGAATACGCGACGATCTTGGTGTGTACACCGAAGGAGAAGGCGACATTGCGCCAGTATTGGCCAGTATGTAGCGCAGAGACAATGAACACAACTTACGTCTAAAGTTGTAGGTTACACTGAGGCACGGGTCGTGTATACCCGGCAACGGGCGAACCTCCGGCTCTCTCGGTCGGTCTTTGTAGAAAATGATCTGTACAGTTTGTAACTTGATGGTGACAGTCTTGATGCAGGTCGCTCCAAACAAACCGCAGAGTTCGTTCTGTATGTGCACGCGGAAGGTTCCTTCCCTGCCACCACAGAAGTCCTGAAACATCAGGTGTTATTGTAAGTAAACAAAGACACACCCTAGCAGCATTCGTGTTATTTTATTCTATTTTTGGCATGCCAAACGTTATGATTGTTCAACAGATAGTTGCAAGATGAAATGACATCCCCACCGTGGCGAATTCGTAAGTGCAGGTTCCGTAGAAATGGTAGCGGAACCCGTCGAACGTGATGTGGTGCGCCTGTCCGTACGCGGTGCAGGTCCCCGTGCAGTCCTGTGCAGAACACTGCCAGTCTCCACCCTGACACGTACTGTAGGGACAAAAGATGGTGAAACTCAGGAATATTTAGATTGATACACACAACTCAAGCTTTTAAACACAGAAGCTTTCAGATGATATCCGCCATCCTTCTTCAGCTGCTAAAAGAGAAGGTAGTCAAAAGATGCGACACAGAGATCCAATGAGGGCCAAACACCGAGGCTTGTGCTTGAGTTACGGTCTATCATGTTGCCTACAGTACGTCGATGGCAAGATTAAGAAAGTCACGTTTCCCTGCTATGGATGATACACATGCCACGATAGATTCTCCATGGGGAGATTTTATCAACTTAGTTAACCTCATTCTTCTAGTGACATGGTTACATCTGACTATTGATAAGAAGTCCATATCGTTTACCATTGATTGCAGTCCATTTGAATGGTCTCTCCCGATTGGTAGCTTTGTCCGTTGTGGTAACAAGGGCACTCATAGGGGAGGACGCACTCATAGCCGACCTGTACCAGACCTCCTGGACACATGCATCCTGCAAAATGTACATTGGAATCAGTATCTCGTAGTGTAAGGCACAAAACAATTCCTTATCCTATCCCTAGTAGGCAGCAACCATAATTATATAGCTCTGTTAAGTGCTGTGTTTTATGACCGTCAAGCAAAGAATTATAAAGAATCTCCAGGGATATTGTGTACAACATCATGTACCTGAGATGCACTGGTTGGAGATGCACTGGTCGATGATGTGCATGTTCTGACATGTCGCCCTGCACTCTGTGCCCTTGGAGCCAGGGTTGGCAAAACAGCTGAAGAAGAAGAACGGCGGTATGCACATGGCAAAGCGACCTGCAATGGCAAGGAAAACAAATAAGTGAGAAAGTATAGCCCAGTAATGAAATAGGGGATGAGGCTCTTGTTGGATCTGGTTACTTGGGGAACTCATTTATTAGGGAACTCATTAATTATTTATAAGTTTATTAATACAGTTCCTGAAATTGGCGCCATATAATCACCCAAAACAAATCAGACACTGCTCAAAACCATCTTTCATGTGCAAAGATCGACAATCGGTAACACCGTGGTGTACGGTTCACTATCTGGGTAACCAGGGCACATAAGTGACCCGGGCTTGAAAGGTCAAAGTGTAAACACCAATGCCTGGTTATCCAAATAATAACCATGCATCCGTGGCGCGAACTCTATCAAGCACACAGTACAACCAATTGTCGATCTAAACCTAACATTATAATGTAGCACCTACCTTCTCGATCGCGAAGTCCTCCCACAGCCTTGTCATCCGTTGGTTGGACTGAGGAATCATAGCACTCCATGACACCATCCTGGCAGTAGCTGAAAAGAAAAACGTTACGTCAAATGAGTACCAACTCACATCTTCCTGTCACTTACATTATTCTTATAACAATCCTTAGGTCCAAACATTAACGTTGAAACGTCTCCCTGTGAGGTTATCTTCCTATGACTTGTTTGGTTCGTTTCATTGTTTGCTTCTTCTCCTTGGTCAATACAGCCTATCGAGAGCACCATCCAACTCACCATGTTGATCCCTTCCTATGGATGGCCTCATTCGGTCTGTAGAGTTCTCCGTGGTGGTAACAGGGGCACTCCGACGGGAGAACACAGTTGTCATCCTCATCCAGGTACATTCCTGAAGTCATAATAACAGTTAGCTGCAATCCGTTTGGCCTGGCCAATGCTTTTCCGAACCTCGTATCATAGCTACAGGCTAATAAAAACACAACCGATAGTCTCCAGTAAGTATAGCCAATGGTACGATGCTATTTGCATGTTGATGTTGTTCATGTCATTGTGTTCATACAATAAGAATTAACCTTGTGGTACTGTTCAGTCTAAAGATTACTCATTTACTGTGTCTATATCTCTCAAAACTTTCTTTCCTGTGCTACATTTGTATCATGAAGGTATATGTGATAGTATTGTGATCCCCGTACCTTGTGGACAGTTGCATCCCTCCACACACTCGTCGTCACACCCCTGGATGGGGTCAGACAGGGACCTGCAGGTGGACGTACAGGAGGACCCACACTGCTGCATCTCCTGTCCGCCACTGCACTCAACAGCTGGAACACAAGAAAATACACTTCAGGTTTAACACTTTACAGAGTGTGCAAATAAATGTATTTGCTCGTGAATGCTGCTGAGTAAACCCATTGTCATTGTTCTGTGTACAAACATCAAAATAATACGACTTTGTTCAAGAATATCGGAGATCTTGAAAGTGACATGTGTGAAGTAGAACTGCATGTGTGCAACAAATCAAAGTTACTGTTATTGGTAACGTTACATTCGGGCTTATGCTTCAAGACTTTCTGCAGGTTAGCAGCAGACAGTAGTACAGTAGTTTGCACTTACGGCATAGTTCTGGTGATCTCCACTCCACAGGGACGTAGTTCTTGGCACAGGCTCGCGCGTAGTTAGCCACAGCGGAGCAGAGACACCTCTCCCCCATCTCACACTCACACACGTCAAACAGACACTCCTATCGGGCAAGCAGATGACTTGTGTGATCCATACATGATATGTAGAATGACCATTAAATGGTTTTACGCCAGTCAATGACGGTTTGGATGGAATGGAATTAGATTATCACATTAAGAATGCCACAAGAAGTATGAAAATTGGAATGACTGATCAAAAATCAGGAATCCATTATGTGTTTCACAGGGTTATCTACCTTGAAGTATGGGTCTGGTCGCACAACCAGATGACAGGCAGCAAAGATGGGACTGTTGATGACGCCACACATGGAATCGGCGTAGTCAGCTGGAGGTAAGGAAATCAAAATTGTGTCAGTGAAACCTTGTTTATTATCTACATATCTTATGTAACAGCAGAAAGAGCTAAGAGCTGAAAGGCAACCGATAAATGAAAATGTGGCCAAAATCAACAACTGTTCGCGTTTGAGCATCACGCGTCGATTCATCCAAGGAAATCGTTCTGTATTTTGGTTGTTCTTGCAACCAGATTGTTAAAAACCAAATTGGTGGGTACATCAGTCTTACAATGTTCGACAAGAAACATCATCGTAAAGTTAGAACATTTGCAGCTATATTCATAATAGAACACAGTTACCTCTTTGTGTGTTCACCGCACAAGCCTCCAGGATCTGGTCCCTGGGTACGTCCAGGCAGTCTGCGTTTGCCTTCCAGCTGTTGCCGAAGGCCGCCACGGACGTCTCGGGCAGACCTTTCACCGTGAAGTCGTCCATCTGGTTCCCGTTGAAGTTTCCACAAAGTCCGCACGTTTTGCCCTACATGTGGAAAAATTATTACAGATTCCTAGACCACCAGAAAACGAGCAGAAGGCTGATTTGTTTGGTTAGCTATCATATGTATCTCGAAAGTCAAACCTCCAGGATTTTGTATCCCTATGTATCGGTACGTCAGACTTGAACGTAAAAATTTAGAGCATCAAGGCAGCATAACATCTGAATAAACCTTGTGATTTTTTTCTCCCTCAAGGACAGTGAAAACAGCCCTGATAAGAGGACATGGAAGGTAAGGTAAGGTAAGGACTAATGTTTATACAATTTTCATAGCAAAATATTTGCCATTGGTATCATAAATGCCTCACGATTACATGACTATCTCTAAAACATAAATAATCGGACAGTGAAACACGTTTTGCTGCGGTCGTACCTTGAACTCCGGGCTGACGGTGACGTACATCCGGGTCTCGCCGTCCCACTCAACGATCAGGCCGATCGATGACGTCAGCGACACGAACATGGACGAGGAGCGATGGATGATGATGTCATCTACGGTAACATTGGCATCAACATTGACATTCAATTATCAACCGACGTAAGCTGAAGTAGGTGGTTCCTGTTTTTACAACCCCCAATACACACACACACACACACACACACACACACACACACACACACAGCATATACATCTATGCTGTACGTACACGCACACACACACACAAACACACACACACACACACAGGTGGCAAGGTGATCTAGTGGTTGGGGTTAACGTTGTTGACTCTAGGTTCGATACCCTGGCAGGCCCCAATGTTGTGCCCTTGGGAAAGGCACCAAGGCCTATTTCCTCACTCGACTCAAGTGAAAATGAGTTCCTAGCTTCGGTTAGGGACATCCTCTCGAATGGGACATAAAACTGGAGGTCCCATCATTTGAGGAGAGCCACACTTCGAGTGGGTTAATATTCCAGTCCACATCGAAGCTTGTACTTACCGTAACTGGTGTGATGCGCCTAAAGGCTGTTGACTGATTACGCGAAACAAACAAAACACATGTACACTGCTCCATACTGGTTTCACACTCTACTGTATATGATCTATTTTCTTACCTTGAACATACGGCAGTGTGACGCCGACGTTAGCCACGCTGACGGCCCCTCCCTGGTGAAACGTCACCATGACGTTCTTCCCGGAGGACTTCAGGACGATGGTGGCGGTCTTGGTGCAGGTGACGGCCGAGTCCAGCCCACAGGGCAGGTTTTCTGTGTAGACGGTGAACAGTCCGCTTCCACAGTCCTGCGAAAGGTTCATGCATTGTTGCTTGTGAAGATATTCTCTTCTTACGTTGATGAAGGCAATGTTCAAAGACAAATCATACTCTACTCCTGGATAAATTACGAATATTATTTCCAGAAGTCATCTCATATGACATTGATTTATCCAGTGGTAGAGTTTGAATTGTCTTTGAAGATTCACCGAGCGGTTTAATCGCCACATGCCCGCGCACGTAAAATGGCGTCGTTGCACAACTAGCGCTACGAGCAGACAAAGTTAAAAGTTGGGCCGTAAACTACACATTAGCCGAAGATTCTCTTCTTTTTTCTTAAAAAAAACCAAAACGTTACAACTTCCACTACTGTAAACACATGTTAGAGGACTTGTTGACATTTTTTTCTTTTATTTATTTTTTTTTTAATATTCCGAAACAAGCAATCACAAGACGTGGTGACGGCACACTCAAGTTTTTTTCACTTATATTAATGCCGCCACCAACACAGGGACAGGACAATACTCATTTACACCTGAGCGAAGTGAGGAAAGTCGTGTTAAGTGCCTTTCCCAAGGGCACAAGATCGGTGGCATGTCAGGACTCGAACCCGGGGCCTCTGGTTCCGAGTCGAGAACGCTGCCGCTACGCCACACGACCTCACTTTTTCTTTTATCGTTGACATATAAGAATGTCGTCCCTACCTTGGCCAGCACGTACTGACAGTCTCCCATGAACGTGAAGCGCCGCCCGTCAAACGACTCGTAGTGGGGATCTCCGGTAGCCGAGCAAGTAGCTGGGTGGGGAAACAGTCATGATTTCATATATACGCGTACTATATACGTGTCATCAAAAACTACTGAAACATTCAGTATTGGCAAAGGATGCTCCAGATGACAATAGTCATAGAAAGCTACGACGCAAAAAAAAATGAAGAATGTTGTACTCGAACAGTACTTACCTGGGCAGTCGTGTTCTGTACATGTCCACCTTCCACCTTCACAGAAGCTGAAATCCAAACACACGCTTACTATGTTTTTTTATGTTTAAGAAATTAAGTCTTAAAAGCCAACATTGATATGGAATAAGACCATGACAGAAACTTATCATTTTTCCAATAGATGAGCACAATCTAAAACCCATTACGTCTTTGTATGTGATATAATCCATGAATTGAGCAGCTATGGTTATGGGCTGTATCCGCCATTGTCTTTCTATGAGGACCTACATCTTGCCACTTTACCAGACTAGATAGTTGTCCTTACCATTGGTTGCATCCCTGTCTGGTGGTCTGGCCGGGCTGGTACTCCCTGCCGTTGTGCAGACAGCTGCAGTTCGCCCCCGGCACGCAGGCGTCGCCATGATGCACCGTGCCGGACGGACAGAAGCACCCGTCCACGCAGTGTTCTGCGCAGGCGTAGCTGGAGTCCAGGTTGCGGCAGGTCCGCGGACAGGCGGTGCCGCACTCCTCGTGAATCTTTCCCGCCGGACACTCGTGCCCTGGCAGCCAAATAATTGTGATTCCGGTTTCCGAGCAGGTAACATTTAAGATTCCTTATATAACCTTAAAGTAGACGACGCTAGGATGAAGCAATTCTTAATATAGTATCAAAAGATATTAAACCGTACCACAACTGGATTACATGACTTACAATTTTCAAGAGTATGGACCTATCACAAGCTAGCAATTAATCTAGTACTAAAGAATTTTATGTTTTTTTTTTATCTTTTAAGAAATCCACTAGCACAAATCACTAGACAAAGGTTACCGATGCTTTACTTTCTAATTGCCCTGTAGATTTGCTAAATTTGCCTAAGCTTGATATTTCTGATTTTGGGAGAAGAAATGCTGTTGAAGTGAGTTCAGTGCCTAGAAGTGATATATGTACCTTTTCACTGAGCAAACTCATTATAAAGAAAATAATATAACTACAGCAAATTAAGGATTGACTTACAGCAGAAATCTTGAGATCTCCAGGACAGGACCACCTCGCTGTGTGCGCATGCGCGGGAGTACTGGGTGAGCGCGCTACACAGGCATTCGTCACGTGACTCGTAGGCACAGCTGCACAGGTCCGACACGCATGCGTGGATGTACGGAGTCGGGTCCATGGCGTTTCGGCAGGGCCTGAAGTCGGCGCTTTCCGAGAGAACACTGCAGATCTGGAAAAACTCCTAGAAAAAACAACAACAGGGAAACATTCATTTATTGCAAGATTAACTGAGACCTAAAACGTAAACTATTTCACTTACAACTTGATATGTTTGCTTTCGTGTTTAATTCAATTCATTAGGATACAGTGGAAATTCCTTGGGAAAATCGTAGATTATCCACAAAACGATAACTATAGTACAGATCTCGAACTTCCCATTCGCATGCGTGCAAATCTCGTGAAAGAATCTTGTGAAAGCCGTGTATTTTTCGTAAGAAACGCGTGTTAAAGCCGTGTAAAAGCCGCGTAATTCTCGTTTAAGTCTCGTGCATTTTTCGTGTGACACGCGGTGCACATGTTAGTTGTGACAAACCTGCAGATCGTCCGACGGTACTCCTGCGCAAGTTCCGGGCGTGTCGAACGGGACGAACGGACAGGTCTCCTCCGCTCCCGTCATCCTCCAGTTGTTTCCGAACTCCATCGTGTTGTGCAGCAGTTCGCCTGGACCGTGGGGAAGGGATTTTTTTGAGTATCAAGAGTAGTTTGATAAATTGTTACTTACTCTTGCCCTTATCATACTCGGAGTCCATTTTCTTCGTATATCTGATTTGTATGCTACTGCTAACAATAAATGCTGCCCAATGTGTCTGCAGATAGGCACAGGGGGACCTAAGGTCTAAGGCTAATAACACAAATATAAAGAGACGGAGAGACACAGAGACAGAAATAGACAGTCTGGACATAGAAAGATGGAAGGAAAGATAGATGTTCCGTTCAATACACTTTCAATGCGTGACAATGTTGAGACTTGAGTACCTGATCTTGATCTGAAGTCATCAGCATCGATCCCGTTGAAGTTGCCGCAGAGGCCGCAGGTCTTGTTGTGGTGGTCGGGGTCCAGTTCCACGTACACGCTCCCCTGCCCGTCCCACGACACCATCACGCCCAGCGCACTGTACAGCCGGACGTACGCGCCTGTCGACTCCACGTTGATGCCCTGGTACGAGTACGGCAGCGCCACCCTGTGACAGTCAATGGAAACGATTGGTCATTAATATAACATTCGCAGAAGAAGGCGTACTGTTTCTACACGTTTTCTCTTTTCTCCATCCTAGCAAATAAGGTCAATGGCCTGGACCAAAGGTCTGTTACCGTGGTAACTGCAGCTGTAGCAGATACCCTGTGGTGTTGGAATACATTATGTAGCAAGTGATACGAAAGAGTATGAGGAGCTAGTCACCATACATATGAATGTGTTGGAGTGATGGTAAACAGAGCGGTAAGTAGTTTGTTACAATAAACTATGCTTTTCAAATGTTCTATTTAGTCTTGATGAACAATAACCCATTCACACAACACTGTATACGTATGCAGAAGACCAGATAAATGCCCTATGAGTTTGTATTCTACACCAGGTACCTTTTGTCATTGACAGTCACATGGTGCCCGTCCTTGTGCTGTATGGTGACGTCCGTGTCCTTGATGCGAAGGTCGATCCTGAGGGTACATCTGTCCACGGTACACTCCCCATCCTCACGTACCTGGTGCACGGGGTTACAGGCGTTAGGAGGCAAACATAACGGCAAGAGGGGTTATTGTTAAGGGCCTAATGTTTAGTGTACAGTTCTTCTGGTGTTTGCTGCAATTCCGCAAGATGTCGCTGCTACCTCATCAACGAAGAACATGACCAACCGTTGCATACATTTCTACGTTTCGCTATAACGAATTCTTTGGGACAAATCCACCTCGTACGTTGCAAACCCCCGGTACTATGTCTTACCATGACGCTGAAGGCATAGTCCATGCAGTCTCCGGCCAGGAGGTAGCTGCAGTCGGCGTGCGCGGGGAAGTCGAAGTACCGCCCGTCAAACGTCAGGAAGTGCCTGCCGCTCCAGGCCGAACACACGCGGCCGGGGTGGGTGGAGGCGGCTGGCAACAAAACAGTCAGAATTATGTAGCTTGTGTCTTAAAAAAATTTGTGTTGTTTTGATCTTTCAAGAGAATATCAATTTAAAGAGCCAAAATGAACACATTTTACAAGCATGTATGGAACACTCACTGATAATAAACTAACCCGTGGAAACGTGCATTGGGTTAGCTTGTAGCTATGTTCAATGTACATATCATCCAATTATTATATCAATTGCATTTAAAACCAAAGGTTAGATACAATGTGTAACTAATATTGACACCTAATCTTACCTCCAAACTGCTGCGTGTGATCATTTTCAAACAAGCCTGGAAGAAAAATGTAACAAAAAAACGGTCAGACAATGCGATCATATGATAAACTTTACAATACGTACTATGCGTTATTGATGAAATATTTTCAAAAATTCAAAAAGATGATATAAAATGTCCCTCACTGTATTGGCACCTGGTCCCTCCGTAATGTTGCGCACATGCGCACTGATTAGGTGCTACGCAGGTCCCTCCGTGAAGACATGGTTCGTCACAGGTGGCTGTTGAAGGGAGGGGGGCAATTACTTATATCAAAAAACAACAGTACTTGTCTTCAATAGAAACAAAGAGTCATAACTACAGTGGTTTGCGTTCCGGCTTCTCTTTTGTCACTGATATTTTCAAATTAAATGTTTGTAGTTTGTAACAAAGCTACATGTACACAAGAAAACAAGCAACTGGTTTGGCAGTTTTCAAAATCTACCCAGTTGGTTCAGTAACTGTTTTCTTGTGTATCTCATTACCTGGATGTCTAACCTTCATTGACGTAAAATTACATGTGGTGTGCATATATTTGATTCAAGACACTGTCTTTACCATACAGTTACATATGCCCAAAATTTATACAAAGAACTTACGAATTTCACAGGTCTGTCCGCCCCAGCCGTCCTTGCAGCTACACCGTTCAGGGGCGACACAGAGTCCCTCGTTCTGACAACCATTCGTACAAACAGCTGGAAGAAATGATGTACAAATCACGTTTAGTCACACACTGTACAGATAGATCCTGTAGACAAATCAGACTTCGTTTGGCTTATCTTAAAAAAAACATTTTTTTTGCGAACAAGCTTCTGTGAGCAACTGGTTTGGTTTCATGTCACCGATAGCAACACGTTTTAGTCGTTGCTGCACATACTTCTGTCCCACAAAATCTAGGTTAATCAAAGTTATCGGGGTCATTGAACTGTTGATCTTAGTTCACAGCCAGTAGTTTACCATATTTAGCTTATGACGTATCGTAACGTCAGTGCTGACGTCACTTCCGGACCATGGACGCATGGACTTGCACCGCCTAGTATTTATCAGGGCTCTGCAAACAGCCTCGCCCAAATTTCTTCTCTACGAAAATCGTGTCGAGGTGGATACTATCTTCTATGCAGACAACATAAATCCCTTAACGACATTTTAAAAAGATTCTCAAACACTAAGGTTTCCCGTCCTTGATAAATAGGTGGTTGTCTGATGAATTTTATCAGTGATGGCAAAGTTGTAAACTTACGGGTTGCACAGTGGTTGCCTTTGTATCCAGTCGGACATGTGCACACGTTAGGCTGTGTACAGACGCCCCCGTTCTCACACGGGGGAGAGCAAACAGCTGCAAAACGGCAGAGGAAGCACTTCAAGTTTGTACTCTGGCGAAACAATCTACGCCTATCAATACAATTTATAGATTGTTGTACTTGTACATGTACATGGAAATCTACCGGAAAAGAGCTCTCAAATACATAAACACATAGCCCACTACAAATACTCAATTGGCACCCTATTTCATTCCTTTTATACTTAAGATACATTACTATACAACCAGTATGAGTATGTTAGAGTCCTGAGTGGGTAAATAATGTGTTCATTAAAGTTCAAATGTTCTCGTACCTGTCTGACACCGGTCCCCCTTGTAGCCAGTCTGACATTCACATTGGTAGGGGGCTGTGCAAACACCCCCGTTCATACACTCCGGATTACAAAGGGCTGCCGAAAAAATACAACATATAACTAGAAAGGCCAATATTTGCTTTGGAGCAAATATAGCGATGGGTTCACCACATTTTACGACATGGCAGGGAAAGAATGAGAAACACTAGAAAGGCCAACATTTGCTTCGGAGCAAATGTAGGAATTTCACTCCATACCCTTCCCCAAACAAAACTGAGAGATTCTAAATAAATCATACTGCAATTATACAAGGACAAGCTGTTTGAATCTCGACAGGTATTTACAAAACTGGCACTTGGCAATTATCTCCCTTTTTTTTACAAAGATACAACGACACTTTAAATCTCGACAGCTTTACTTTACACTTTTGACGAGATTGTAACTACTACTAACGGAAGCAAAATTTTCACGGCCTGAGAAAAATGGACATGTTCACGGAAGTATATATTCACGGTGGTGACAGTTGACAGGAAAAGAAAGTCCAGGAATTATTTCCTAACTGTAATGATAAGTTCACAATACAGAGGTGACAGTGAAACCGTGAACATTGACCCCCCGCTTGCGTTGCGGTACAGTAGAAAAAAAATCGGGAATTACAGCAATCAATTTACTGAGTATGTTTGCTTAGTTTCCAGATGTTTTGTACTTGTAGTTTTTAAATGAACGAAAACCGATGCGCGCACAGATGTTACTTTTGTGACAACATCAAAGTGATTTTGGTTTGTATGTTGAAAAAATACAAAAGACTAACATTCGAAGTTATTGAAATTCTTGAGTAAGAACAATCAGTTTTGGAATGTTAAAAGCAAAGCAATGGATATTAAAACGAAAATGTTAAAATTAAATGTTGAAATTGTTAAAATGTAAAATGGTTAAAATGGTTAAAATTGTTGAAATTGTTAAAAATGTTAAAATTGTTAAAAATTGTAAAAAGGATAATTAAAAATATCCAGTGTACCGGGGTTCGAACTCGTAATGTCTGGACTTGCAGTCCTGCGCGTTACCAACCGAGCTATCTGGACACGTTTCCAATACTTCCTGCATTGTATGTCATATAAAGTGAACAACATGGCGGTAACGATCGCTTCAAGTACTAGTAAGGGACTTTCTAGGAGATACACTCTACAATTTTGGTGATTCTTCAGAAATCGATAACAGAATATATAATACTAGTCGGTGAAGATTGTGGAAAATTGTTGATACCGTGGCGCGCGCGTATCGTTGTTTACAGTACTCGCGGGGCGCAGGTCATTGACCTCCCGCTTGCGTTGTTCCAACAGAGAAGAGCAAAATATCTGCCAGTTTTTGCGTCAGATTTTCAGTGTTTGTTAAAATCATATACAGGCATCCATGCAGCTATAATTCTTCCAACTAGTTCGTAGTTAGGTGAAATGTTTATAGGAATCACACGAATCGGTATCCAGTATCAGAGTATCATGGCCCACGGCCGAGACCGAGACCGAGACCGCGTGGACCAGCTGCGCTGGTACGTGAAAATGGTAGTAAATAAATTAATTAGCCAACAGCCAATCAACAGCCACATCTGCAAACATGACCACACCTGCTTGTATGCCCATATTTGGGCCTTCCCCCGAATTCCTTTCTTATTACGTCACGCGCGTACGCCCCCACAGTACTTTCCTATGGGGACCACTAAAAAGCAAATAAAACGATTGTAAAAGCTTGTATCAAAAAAATTAAAAAAACGCCTAAGGGTATTTACCCACTCTACCTCTATACGAAATTACAGGTAATTTCGCCTAAAAATGAAGGAGTTGAATCAATTTAAAGAAGTGGCAGGAGAAGAAGGAGGAGGAGAAGGAGGAGAAGAAACATCAGAAAAAGCAATATGGTTTCACCTCACCACTTCGTGGTGTGGTGAACCCATAATAAATCATAACGCAGATAATATACAGTCACTGTCGCGTTTTGTGGGTGTAATGGTCCCCTACAGGGAATACATACATTCTAAATCTTGCTTTTATAGAGGTTTTTATTGTCACCATGTCAGCTGGTGCAATCATTGGATTGTATTCTCTCAACGCTAAGAAATTAACGAACTTAAGAATAAACTTTACGATTATATGAGGCCAATAAATTGAGGAAACAATGGGGACCATATGTGGACCGTGCACCATTGTTCTTGATCTTGATGAGTGGGGGTTTTCGTTGGCCAGCGTTGCATCAGAATTTTGCCTGTTGAAGACGATATCTTTTCCCACACAACATTTGAAAACTATAGAGTATAGACATTATGTTTTTTTTTATTTACTTCATATTCACCACAAAGCAAGGCTCATGAGAGTCACTCAAATATTTTGTATTACTGTATAGACAGTGAGGACAGATTTTTTTTACCTTTGTCTTGATAAGTTTAAGATTACACCCATTTGGGAAACAATCACATGGTAGCTTGTTCTATAGTGATGTTGTTCTAGGAAAGAAGCTTTCAGCGTGGAACTTCCTCATAAGAGGTGGTGTATGGAGGAAGAGAGGATGATTTACTTCAGTGGAATGTCGTCATCCTAAATATGCGAATACGACCTAAAGGAGACATTCTGTCGAAGTGCTATGCACAATACTAGTATAATACGGGTTTCGCGCAGGCGCAGTACGTGCTGGCGTGACTCACCGTTTTCGCAGGTGTATCCATGGTAACCGTCGTGACACAGGCACGTGTTCATGCCGATACAGTCGCCATTGACGCAGCCGGGCAGGCACAGGACTGCGGACACGTCAGAGTAACGTGTTAGTTCATCCCGTATTACACAACAGCTTACAGATTGTCGCTCGCAAAAATCACAAATTGCCTTTAGAATCCATGTTGCTGTTGAGTGCGTTTTGTCACCCACAAGTGAAGTTTGATTGTGAAGCCCGACAATATGAGATTTAAAATGTATATTTTAAGGCAGATAAAGTTGATTCTTAAAAAATTGACTCCTGATTACGCACCATCTTGCAGTTCTTTGGTCAGCCGCTGTTCGCTGTTTGCAGTTAGCTGCTCATCTTGGTCCCTCTTTTCTTTTGCTGGTTGCCGAACAAAGGTGCCCCATTCAGACCTGGGCACAGGAAGAAGGCTTATATGAGTGGTAATTTAACGTGGTGACTCAACGTGTGGGTGGCTTATGTTAGGATGGATTATTACCTTCGTCAAGAGGGTTATACTTTGATATAATACGTAGCGTGGTTTTGTAGCTATGGTGTTCAGGCTTGACAGTATATTATTATGAAGATATTGACGGATGGATGGATGGATGGATGGATGAATGGATGGATGGATGGATGGATGGATGGATGAATGGATGGATGGATGGATGGATGGATGGATGGATGGATGGATGGATGGATGGATGGATGGATGGATGGATGGATGGGTGAGTATTTAGAATGTGGTTTCATCTTGAAATATCAAAGACGTGGTTAAATTTCGGGCACAATAGCGGCACCCTGTGGTACTAAATCTTACGGGCATACATATCTATATATTTTTATGTTGTATATTGTTGTCGTTCGTTCTTATCCATGACTATCTTTAGACATAAAAGAAATATTCTACTTATGTTTATGCTACCAACATGCAAACACCATAAACCGAGACACATAAAGTTGAAATGTGGTTTTAAGACCGTGTTCCAAGGTGACCGTGGTGGAGAGAAAGGTTTTGATTTATTCCTTATTTGTCTTAGTTGATACCAAGTGTTCTTCAACCTTCAGATCGTTAATTACGTCATATCGACACGCCTTGATCACAAAGTCCAATTAGATCACGAGACGTGATGTCCAGGTCCTGTGATGAAGCCATGTTTGTTGGTTGCCATGGTTTTAAGAGACGCTACGTCAGAGTTGGCCCTTTGTCCCTTTCGAGGGCACCTCAGGTTGAGGAGGGTTCAAAAGCCTCACCTTGTGAGCAAACACTATAAACCACGGGTTGGGTAAAGTTCAATGGCTGTTTCCTGCCGATGATGTTTGCTACGGTCATAATGGGGAAATTTCCTTACGCACAACTTTTTGTGTGACGCCAATTTTTAACTTTTAACAATTGTGGTCACGACTTCATGGGTTAAGCGGTCACGACGCTAATGATAAACGTGTAACGTACACATCATCCAGCGGCATGCTTCTCTTCGCCACATGGTGGTTGTTTTCCCGGCTGGACCACTTCCACAGACTGGCAAAGCCGCACGCATCTGATAAAGAAACATGAAACCATTTATTTTTACACTCACTGTCCCAAAATGGTGTAAGGTAATTCCTATAGCTAGTCAAGAAGCAAACTATCACTTTCCAAGAAAGAGCGTGCAGTTTTTTTTTATGTTCTACAAGAATGAGAAATCTAAAGCTAGGCAAAGAGTTGACTTTCTACCGTTTAACTTTTGTTCATAACTTACCAGCAGTGGTTGCCAGAAGTAGTATTCCTAGGATGACCAGGGCACATGACGGCGAGCCCCTTATCCTGAAACAAGATAAAGATCATTAAAAACGAGACTTCCTGTAATAAAAAAGATTACAAGAAAACGTTTCAGAAGTATTAGCGATGTCTAATAGTTCGTGATTAAACTTTCCGATGAGGTACTTGTCTCCTTAATTTAACACGACGTAGCAGTGAAAGATGAGGCAAAAAATGTCTTTCCTTGATTAAAAATTAAGCCGGCAACTGTATCACGTGTACTACGTCGTTTGCAAACTTTAATACAACGCGCTCGTATATTCAACACAACCTCAACATGTGATGGGAACTTTACAAAGATGTATAAGAGAAGCGTATATCAAAGGGATCGATATGCAATTAGAGAATGTCCTGGACTCGGGTCTGGGTCAACATACTTTACAGACTAGTCCTATCAAGAAGGTTCTTTTTTAACCTCCTTGGACCTATCTAAGGTCGAGGCCGAGACACTCGACAATCATCAGAAGTATTGTAATGGTTTATGTGTTATCCTGTCCACCAACCAACAAACAGACGATGCTTAAAATATATCAATCTCCACAGTGGAGGTAATAATGCCATAAACAAAATCTTAGCGGGTTCATAGAAACCAAAGCTAATCTATGGACTAACAGTAAATTATTGATACGGTCGCCTTTTCTGGACAGAAAAGCTGAAAACAAGTATGTGTGGTTGTTAAAGTTATTGATATACAAGAGGTCTAATGACTTTTCTTTCGAGCATCTTGCTCCAAATCTTTTGGACTTTGAGATGAAGTTACCTCAAAGTCAGTGACCTCCGCGGAGTATTGGAATGGGTTGCATTGCAATTGTGTGAATTTGTGTCTGTAGGTTCGCAGCTGTAACTCACGATCACATTGCTGCATTGGTATGTAGTTTGGCATGTCGTCTGCTAGTATGCGCGAGATGATGCACGTTGTTTCTTTTTATACCGTAGCAGTTTTCATAGATTATGTAATATCTAAAAAAATGCCCCTATTTTAATGGACTTAGCGGTATGAGCGGTAATAGCGGTTTTCCAAGCAGATATTGGGTTATTTGTGTCAGCCGTTCACGGTACTACTTAGCGTCATGGCGGACGGCCAGACAGCTGTCGGTATTCAAAGGCATCGTGCAACGCAATGCGGAAATTTCAATAAGGAAATCTGTCTGATATTGACTTTTACTGCCATTACCTGGCACGTTGTCGTCATCCTTCATACTTAAAACATTTGTTCTGCTTGTGAAGAGTTGTTACTCCGTGAAGGAGGTCATGGCCTCCGGATCGAAGTACATTGTACTAGCATTAAAATTGACGAAGTGTGAACAGTTGTGTGTTGTGCCAAAAATAAAACTTCACGGAGAATTGTCGCCTAGGACTACTTGTTGTGTTTTAAAATGATTTTATTGCCATCGGATGGCGTACCCTATCCTGGGTGCCATCCTCCGTAGTTTTCGCCCGCTCCCTAATGTCGCTACCACGGTGGACGAAAACTACGGAGGATGGCACCCAGGCTAGGCGTACCCTGTTATCAGACGTTATATTTCCGTCACCAGGTGAAATTTGACAAGAAGCAGACAACAGGATTATCTACTAAACCGCTGAGAACTGCTGTTATCGATACAAACGTGGTTAATTGGTTCATAACAGCATCTCTGTTTCTTCGTTTCCACAGCGTATTTGGAAGAGGTGCAATTTGTAGTATCAGTAGATAGTAACGTAGGCGGCACAGATGTGTGTATGTGTAACCTGTATCTTAGGAACGGCATTCCTTGTTATGCCTCAAGTCCTTGTTTTTCTTCTCTGCGTCTCGTTTTGTCAATAACATGTACAAGTTGTGAGGTAGCTGTATAGTGCAGTATTGGATGTAACTACATTTATATGTACATACATTTGTATAATGGCATCAATACGGCTACGGCGACCGGCGAAAATGGGACTGCAATAATCACTGCATCATAATGATTTCATGTTCTATTTGCATGCCACAATTAGTCTCTACCAGACTAACTACACTGGCTATATATAGGAGAATATTTGCTAGGGTAGTTTGGCCGCCTTGGTGACTGTCCTTGGAGGAATTAAAAGAAACAACCTTCCCGAGGTCGGACTGCCCTGGCCAATTTTACTCTCCTTTTTGCCGAATTCTACGATCCGTATTCCCGTAGAAAGGCCTGGTGGAGGCTATGCCACAATTGTGCTAACACAGATTCCGTACCGTGCTACAGGGTGTGTCGCTATGTTAGATAAATGTAAAATCTGACGGGTGTTTCACGCGCATCATACGTGGATCATCAACGCAGCATAAGTCCAGCGGTAGGAGCGCTGTAAGCTACACCATGTGTCATATGCCTAATGCCTTATGATAATCGGATCGTACCACCATTAAGGGCTGAGGTGAAAAGCCCTTAGTAACACTGTTGAAGGTTAAACATTGGCTGCGGCTACTGTAATCCGTTGTCTAAATGGGCATAAAATACTGAAGAAAACGTCCATTTCTCGCTATTACTCAGTTTTGAACATTTTCATTCTTTTTCTTTTGCAACTAACCAACCGACCAACCAACCGACCGACACATTTTACTCGATATCTTGGTCGTCTAGTAGTACAGATTTGTAAGCAAACAATTTTTGAGGGACATTGTAGTTGGAAATTTTGATGACGACCTCACTTCAACTGTCTATAAAATTGATCGTATTGCCTAACTTTCATAACTGCCTTGTGCGAGTTCACTTTATTACACAAACTGTGCTTTTATTATAGAGGACTTTATTGACACAAAAATGCCCATACTTGATATTGACACTACAAAGGTACAGGGACTTTCGTAAAGTCTTTGTATATACATCCTGACCCATTCCAAGAATCCATTCGTCATTGGGTACAATTCTTCCACAGTTGGAATATTTCCAACTTAACTAAATGAAGACTTCATTCAACCAATGATTTTGTTTAACCGATCCTGATTCAATCGGTTGACCGTGTGTTACGCAATCAGCGGTCTTGCCCAGCAACGTGGTAAGGAACAGGAAACAAAGAGGGAAAAGGTCTTCGAACAATACATTTGTATCTGGAACCGTGTGGACCACATGAGAGATAGAGTCCACATCTATATTGTACAAAACAACGAGGAAATACCAAGGACGTCTTACAGACGGAAGGAAAGACAGGCATTTTGGTCAAATTTTTGCCGAAGAATCTTACGTATACCCAAAAAAAGACTCAAAAGTTTTCAGTAAGGACGTGAGGATTTAACTTTGGCGCTATATGGCTAATTTTAATACGAAGTAATGATCTCCTTCCAAAGCAGTTCATGGTAGTTCGAACGCCGGGTTTTGAACCTCCGAACCATGGCATATTTGTTGTAAACCATTGGGTAAGGTAGTCATTTTACAACCACGTACAGTGTTGATTTCTTCTCTTGGAATCGCACACTTGACCTCAAACACGTTTAAGACCCCATGAAGTGCCGTACTGTAAAGTCTACAGAGCTGACGAAAACTGACCATACAGGTGTTACCACCAACACGTTAGGGAAACACTGAACGAGGTCAAGCTGGCGTGATTGTGTTTATCTATTTGGAGATAATAGCGCCTGTCTACACATGTGATGAACACGTTGGAACAGCGGGAAAGTGTATCTCCACAGCTAAATAAACCCAACTGTGGGATAAAACGCCGCTAGCCAGATAAAACCCGTTGCGCTGCAACCAAAGCTAGGGAAATGCGGTGGCTAGTTGAACTCACCAACTTTAGTATACATAGGCGTTTTCTTACTACGCTCTTAAACACGCGAAGAGGCACCGCCATTCCAGTACTTATAGTAAACGCCATAAACTGCCTTAACTGCTTTAGACCCACTAGAATGCTCTAAAAGATGTTTACCTGTTTATTCTGCTAGCGATACTTTCAAAAAATTATCTGATAGATACAATGCGCTTTCCCTGATTTTAGACTATGCGCCTTTTTTACAGAGCTTTGCCAAATTCAAAGTTTAAATACACACACACAAACACGCGTAGCTCGGAGTTGTTCTTTGACGACAAGTACGAACATTGTAAAACGTGTAGAGCTACGGAATAATGAGAAGAAGGATTGGCTGTACGTACAGTTTGGCTGTCACCCGTAAGTCCCCCATCGCTGTCCAAAGCCGGACTGACAAAAGCCGGGATTTGTCCGGAGCTACATGCGCACCGAGTGCGTAGGAATTTTTATAGCTTTGCTCTCTTGAGCGCGGCTGACGTAGGTTTGATCGGGATTTATAATCCCCAGGGCAATAAAATATATTAGTTTTTACAGCGTTGTTTGGCGAAGGAACGAGCTGGCAACCCGCGGGCAACTTTTCAAGGAAATGCTCCGTGTACGTGGTGCCCGAAAATGTAATTATTTACCGTCACAATTAGGCAAGATTAATTAGGTAATCTAATTAGTAGTGACTTTTCGGTCTGTTTAAAGCCTATCTCGAAGACTCTAACACTTAGATAAAGGCCTATCTTTGTAATTCGCCGTAACTTTGAGAGTTTGTTTGAAATCTATTGTCCCTACGTGCCAGGGGTCACTTGCGCCACTAGTGCGTAGCAACTTGCGTGGGCTTCAGCCTTCCGGTCTCTCCACATCTGGTAAAACAAATTACAGATATCATTATTCTGTCATCCGTCAGGCTAAAGACCCCCAAAGTAGACCTTAAACTTGTGATATATCGTACCTCGTGATTGATGTGACGACAGGGCAGCGTGTACGCCCTTGCCACATGGACGCACACGTGGGGTGGGACACGCGGGGAAAGGTGTGTCCTGGCGCGGGCTGGCCTCTGGCGTTAGTGTCATGAACTGGTCAAGGGCAAGGACATACGGCGGCCTTGACCGAGTGTGTTATCACATGCAGATGGTTAGATTATCCAGTACTACATCCTCAGCCATGATAGCTATGCTTACTTTTTCGAATATTGTCATCAAAGAAGTTAAGTGACATGTTGACCTGTTACTCTTATTTCATTTGTATATTTGATTTTAATGAACGTTATGGCAAAATTTAAATTGCGTTCTCAGGATATTGTTTCATTTATTTATTACCCAGCACATATCTTTTGTTTAATTGATTTATTTAGATTGTTATAGGTTAATAAAGGGAGGTCTTTCTCTTATACGCTTTCGGCCTTTGTTGCACTGTTGCGGTGTCTAACACAAGTGAAATAAAATTTAATCATACAAAGTAAACTAATGGTAATAATAGCATAATATCATAAATATACCAAAATATAAATCACAATGGGAAGACAAACAAAACCAAATCTTAAAAACCGAGCCATTCAGCGAAATCTAATACAGCTGACTTGTCTGATAAGGTAGCACATGGCAAGCTGAAAAAACAAATACGATAAAATCTTGCTCATATTTCAACATGTAAAAAAGAGTCCATTTATTTTGTTATATCAGACAGATGCTGCCTGCACAATGTGGACCTTGTAAAACATCTTATTTACACTAAAGAAACTTCATTAACACGACTAAAGTGTATAGACTGTTGTGAGGTAACTGTGAGTACATGTAAAATTCTAAGGTAGTAAATATTCTAGTTAATGAACTGTACGTGTGTATATTAATATAGTATCGTAGGGCGACCTCTGCCATGTTATGATACCAGGGCAACGATCTCAAAGAGAGTTACTTTGAAGTCATGAAGAAGTGTTTCATGTTAAAACCTACAGGCGATGGTCAAGAGATACACAAGTAAACAAGAGTGCTGACTGAACAGCTTTGAGGGACCATCAGAATTTCATAGTAAGGATAGCCTCCGTGGCTTGAGGTCTGAGATTAGCCTCTTCCAGGCTTCGGGAGCACGAGGCGGCTGGAAAGAGTAGAAATCGGCTAAATAGAGAGATAACCATGCCAGGGGAGAGGTCTGGTAGAGAGAACAAACAGTTCTCTTTCCAGCCGCCTCCCGACGCCTGGTAGAGACTAGTCAGGGATAGTCTTGACCCGGCTGGAACAGCTAGGTGCAGTTATAGCCCGCGCCGGGAGGCCTCGGACAAGTCCGGGCGTAGGGTTGATGTACTCCCGAGGCCTAGCCATGGTCAATCCCCGGAGACATGAAATTAGTTGTTCACTCCCAACCAGAAAACTATTGGTTTCTAAGAAACATTCATTAACTTCACTTGCCGCGTAATGTCCATTGTGGTCTGTGATTGGTGAAACAGGTGCACCGCGGCCTGTGATTGGTGAAACAGATGCAACGCAGTCTGTGATTGGTGAAACAGATGCAACGCGGCCTGTGATTGGTGAAACAGATGCAACGTGGCCTGTGATTGGTGAAACAGGTGCCATATAGTATAATAAAAGATCGATACATGATCACAAAAAGATTTTTTTATTTCCATTGGATCAGATTAAAATTTTAACAATGTAAACGTATATTGTATTCCTTCCTTTGTAAATATTAGGGATATTGGAATCATGACAGGCTATACAATTCGATTTTATCAGAAGTATTTATCAGCGTTGTTTCAATAATTTCTAGCCTTAACATTCCTTGGGTGACGAAATAAACCGTATGTCATATGTCTGACTGGGATTAAAACTGCACTGTATGTGATAACGCTTATGTGTATCAGATTAGTGTTACACCTCTACCGAACACCATGCTTGGGGATAAATTTCCCATTTTGTCTTTACGATACTACCAAAAATTTATCAAATTTATTTTATGTATACAAGGAGTCCGAATAGACTATTCCAGCAAAAGTCTGCACTGAAGGCGGATCACTAGCGCGGAGGGATACAGGTGTTCTCCGGTCGGCTTACAGAGTTGGACGTCCCGTCAGGGGCTGATATCTGTGCAGGTCCGCGACACTACAAGCCGTGCTGAAATAGTTGTTACAGTCGTTAGCAGGGCCTTGTGTGACGTTATAATGCTACTGTATAGTGAGTGCATGTTTGCATTGATTTTAAAGGTCTTTGATTTATGATAACTGTGTTCTCCTAAATGGGAAGTTTAGGACAAAAATCATAACTGTGTTCTCCTAAATGGAAAGATTATAATTAGGACAAAATCCTTCAGGATAGACATTAAACTGTATTACTAATAGTTACAGTAAGTTTACGTGTGATCTGTGTTACTGTATTCGCATTCTAGTTGTATATCGTGTGCTTACAACTACAGCAGAAACTTGGTACACACTGCCAGGGACAATCAAGAAAACTTACCTTGGAAATGATTTCTCTAACTTTGGCTTTTTCAGAACTGTAGGTAAAGATGTCCTCGATGTACTCAACGCCTGTGCGGATGTCGCTGATCTTACTGGAGAAGACATAATCATAAAATGAAGTTACTACTGTGTGAAAGGAGATCATGTTCAAGAGAAAATCAGTATCAAACTCGTCAAAGTCCGAAGAGCGCCGCCTACCGACCTTGCGATGATGTCCAGGACCTTCAGCTTGTCGGAGTAGGGCACGGCCTCCAGCACACCGACTGCTTCTGCGCACGTCATCGGGCAGAGTCTCTGTATACAGGGAGAAACACATGAACGTAGCGTATTGTGGGACCTGGTTCTTTGAAATGTATGTTACTACTATAGAGAGAGGGGGGAGGAAGGAGACAGGCAACCATCGTGGCATGGTCTATTCGACATGCCAAACAAAATTAAAATAGCAACTCACCCCCTGAAGTGTCCGGAGTGCTTTTATTTCGTCATGTACTTGTGGGAGGGTCTGGAAAACGCGAAATACCTGAAATGTCGAAAAGAATAGTAATTTTGTAAGCAACCAAGGAATATGACGGTTGAAGCTTTACATCGTATTACTAGTATTTGTATTCATACGTTGATTTGGAAGCAAAATATCAATGTCTTTCCTGGTATAGAAATGACATACAGAGACTTCTCCAACTTTCCTGTGCTTTTGTCATTGCAAATAATAACTATCATCATACGCCAGACTCTTTCTTAGCTGATAATGAAAAGAGTGAGTGTCTTAGAAAGATACCCAGCAAAGATGTTTTTGTCTCCGTCAATGATAAAAGTAGCTTCAGTAAATGACGAACCTGATCAGCGCTGAAGCTGCCTCTAGACTGGGAGAGAACCGCCAACTTGTCTTCTATAAACAACGCCTGCGGGAGACATATAAGTTAGTCTATTGTTTAATCGTAGACGTACGTAATTATACATTTCTATTCATAATCTTCACTATTTGCACCGACATTAAAACGTCCTTACTGTATTTTCACGTTGTTAGTGAATTCACAAGGTGTTAACTTCTTGCAAGTGGTGTAACACAGACCCTTCAAAAGATAATGATAGTCTTACACTTTTAAGTTTCTGTTCGAGTTGACTGAAATTCCTCTCGTCCATTCCGTCGGTACGCTGGGTACGAGATGCGGCAGCTGGTCCTCGGAGGTCGTCTCGTTCCCTGGCAGTAGCCGTATGGTTTTCATTCGCCTGTTGATATGCATAGCTAATTATCAATCATTGAAACAAAAATTTCTTTGTATTCAGGCTGTGCGCTTTTGCAACAAAAACACTTATAACTATCTAAGTCTAACCGGTAAAGGCAGAAAGGTTTGTAGCAATTTATATGTGCCTCAAAGTTCTGAAGACCCTTAATATTGTTGCTGTGGACTTACCCTAGTCAACATTTCTCTGGCCATGGATTTGTCGGGTGGCGAGTTGAATTGGTCTTCGATGTGTTTAAAACCAGAGGTGGCGTCAGTGACGGAGCTGTAAGAATAATGTAGTACAACTAGAACAGAGGTACTCTTCTTGGTCCCCTGGCATGATAGGGGAGTGGAAAAAAAGTTATGCCCAGATATAGCAATTTTCTTTTTCGATAGGGCCAAATAGATTAAGTATACATCATGTACATCATTTTTTATTAGCTATCTATCAGCTATAGTATTAGTAAGCATACTTTTGTACTTGAAAATTAATCCGAGGAACCATGTATCAAAATGCCTGTGAAAAAACGCCCCCTACTGACCGTGAGATGATCTCCAGGATCTGCATTTTATCGGAGTAGGACACGGCCTCCAGAACATCGGCTGCCTCTGCACATGTCATCGGACACAGTCTCTTCAAGTAAGAAGAATAAGTCAGAAATGTATATAACATTTCCAAAATACATTTCATAGACTATCTATCTAGGTCTTTTACGGACGATCGATATTTCAAATGGCTTTCTTTATCGAAGAACAGTAGTGTAAAATCACATATAATGTAGCATGTGAAATGAATATTTTGTAACTTACGCTTTTCAAATTCTGCGTTACTTTGACTTCGTCGTGTATTTGTGGGAAAAGCTGGAAGAGTATGACCAACTGAAACAAGGATATCGATATCATGGTCAGTTCATAGCAAACTCAGAAACGCCACCATGCGACAAGTTATCAACACTGCACCCCGCTACCATTCCCACTTCCCTCCCGCGAAGGGCTGTAAGATTTCAAACTTAACATTATGTCACTTATTTCAAACACACGCATACCCAAATCCCTAGAGACCGTATTAGTAGAATGTGATAGACAATGCGTTATATAATAGGCTGATACTTAGCCAAATTCCCTTCTTGTAGTCACGAATATGTGAAAAATATGGTGAACTCGGCAAACCTGGTTCGCACTGAAGTTGCCATGAGAACTCGACAGCACGGACAGCTTGTCTTTTGAAGAGGTCGCCTGTTGGATTAAAATTCGGTAGTCTTAAACATAATACTTCAGACGTCTTTTCTGTACATGCTACCGTCGCTAAGCTTGTCTCGGGGTGTTGTCTCCGCGTGTTTTGGATATAGAGATATTGTAACATTACCCAACTGGTTTTTCCGTAAGTCCGGCGTTCCTGTCAACAGTCAATTTACAATGCATCATAGCCTTTTGTATACCGCGAGGATGCATGGAATGTTAGATATCCGATGTTTAATACTACCAGCATCATGATATTTCTTATTTTGTAATCAAACGTTTTCTATTAATATGAATATATTAACATAATTTGGTAAACGTATGCGCCCATGTGTGTTGGTGGTTTCACCTTACTAAACAATCTGGATACAACACTAAAACACCAAAAAACTGAAGTCAATCTGGCATCACGAAGATTGAAACGTTTGTTTGTGTTGAGGAAGACAAATAATACTGTAGGGGTCTACTAGAGTGTAGTATTAAATGAGGTCACGCCTGTAAGAATAGTCCGTGAACCCTTGTAGTACCTGCTAGACAAGTAACAGCACTACGTAATTACACAGTACACAGCTTACCTGTCAAACCCCTGCTACACAACGACATGTTTTTGTACACACATTTCTTCTAATTCAAACTCCTATTGCCTTTTGAGGCAGTGCAGTATATATTTCTTGTTGTTAATGTGTTGTTATTTTTGGACAGGGAATCCCACCACAGCTGCGATTAGCCCTTGAACTTAATAAGAGCAAGACGGGTCGGAAACGTGAGAAAGTTGACTCAATCATTAACCACTAAGTAAACACGGTGATTCAAAGTCTAGTCCCGCCCAACGACGGTTTGAAGGAATGTTAAAAAGCACAAGTTTGTTTTTAAGGAACACAAAAGCCCAAGCCCGTGGCATCGCCAAACAAAATTAAAGCTATTTTCAGGTATGACATCATAGCCCTTGGGTAGGATTTGGGAGGGTCGGTCCCAGTCTATAATTTAAGACGTTACTTTTTATACGCTGGAATTTGTCCAAATATCGATAGCTTCAACTAGCCCTGCAAAGAATCTATGCGTAAACATGTCGTCACTTCAAAAGTAGGAGTACGTACTTGTTCGATCTGCCGTTGAAGTTGTTTGAAGCCCGTAGCGTCCATGGCTGACTAGAGACGGTGTGACCGGGACAGACTGAGCGATCCCTGTCGCCCGGGGCACATACTTGTGTAATTTGTACCGTACGTACGCCTACCTGTCTAACTATTCCGGTTCAGGGGTGCCGGGACACAACACTTTTCACTGAGGGGGGTGGAGGGAGATAACGAAATCGTTCAATGGCAGACACGGGGTTGGAATGTTAGAGCTTCCCTGTGAGAAATGAAAATAAACAGGAAGAAATTTGAGACATGCTAACAGTAATGACACTGTCTTGGGCCACCCCACCTCTTGACTTTATTTGAATTATACCGAATATCCTAACATCATCACAGCCTTGTTGGGGTTGGGTGAGCAAGGAAAATTCAAAATGGATGTGAAGGAAAAGGATTACTGTTTCACCGAAGGGAGAGTCGAAATTCCATAGATGTTGGAGGTGAAAGAGCGTAATATTTTCGGTGTCGTAAACTCGGACAGCGCCATCTACTGAAACGTGTAGGAACTGCAGCGCAATTAGCTGAAAATGGTTGCGACAAATTCTGGGATGGAAATGTGCTCGTTTGCATGTTAAGGTTTTGATACATTTTACAATAATGTGTTCACTAGTGGAACAGTTGACAGGCAACAACAAATCAAATGTTTCCTCCATTTTGCACGGCGCCATATTGCATTTATCATATGAGACACGTGAACACTCCTGCTAGAACAGTACGTATCCCGGGACTACATCGATACACCTGTAACAGCTGAACAGGTGAATGTGCTTTTACAGAGAATGCTTCAGCTCTAAAATTCTTATCTAACACTTTTCTTTACACTAAGAGAAGTGTTGCTTCCTTATAGTATGCATATCTGAAGCTTTTTATTTCCCTTTTAATCGTAGATTATAGATAGAATCCTCCGAACTGAATTATACATGTGTATCTCATGAAAGTCGTTCTTCCAAGTTTTCAAGTTCCTCATGAAGCCAGTAAAGTAGCTAAATCAAATTAAAATCAATGTTTTAAAAAAAGAGGGAGTTTGGGTGCCCGCGTCATTGGATGGAAAATTACAGAAAAGTGATTGACAGCTCAGCCAAACGTCATTCACGACAAATCCGGTGAGACGCCTGAACGTCAGGTGGCCGTTATCCCAGTCCCCGCCTCTGATTGGACCGCCAATTGCCCCTCTAATTGGTCGCGACCATCCCGCATAATTCCGGGCGCGAGGCAACACCGACGAACATTTGGGGAATGTCAGGCTTCGGGACGACTGTTTCGCCCCTGTTCAGAACGTTTGCTAACTCTCCGGACTGGGAAGCCCTGTACACACCGTGTGTACCAGCCACGGGAGCAGGCACCGCACACAGGCAACAGGACAGGAGCATGTCTGAACACGCTGAGGTGGGTTTTGCTGTTGTTGTTGTGTTGTCATGTAATGTTGGCAATTATGTCACACGTGTGTGTGTTTCTGTATCCCATACAGTTCTCCCGCATGTGTCTCGTTTGGCACACATTTACCACTTCTTGTTAACCCGATCTACCCAACCGTACAGGTGAATCTTGTCTAGCAGCGACGAAGAAAAATATTTTGAGCAGATATGTTGCCGAAAAATTGATGCAAAATTACCATTCCAGTACGAATTTTCGGTGTATCGTGAAATCTGATTTTCAATTAGAAACTCTGCATGGAAATCTTTCCACCGTCTGCCTCTTTAAGCTGACCTTTGTGCAGTGTAATTTTGTGTGCGATTTCTTCTGTCAAGAGTACAAACACTCGGTATAGCTTCGTGAAGTTGTTCCGTTTCTGTCCAATCGTCCACTTGCTATCTGTATTATATTTTAGGGTACCAAGAAATGTTTAAGTCTTAACATACATAAACCGTTTTAGGCAACTGTTAATGCGTCAATCCAGAAATAATTATTATTTGTCAAAATTAAATCTTTTCCACATGAGTTAAGTGTTACAAATTGTGATATAAAGTGATACCATACATAGGTATATAGCTTCTCCTTGTGTACGTGTCTGCTTCTACTGTAAATGGAAAAACTCATCTAACACTGTTTCTTCACGTTTGCGACCGTTGCTATTGGTTGATATAATATGATGTTGATAGGACTATAACAGAATTAAGTTACAACTCTAGAGGTTTGTCCATGTTGTTTTACAGTTTTTCAGAAAACGTTTTTGTGCAGTTATGAGCGACATTACACTGGGGAAACATGACCACGTCAAATCATATCCTTGTGTTCGCGGGTCTGTTTTAGTCTACGCTTTACCTACCAACACCTCCACCCCTATGTCACGACGATTTTGGACAGAGCCTTCTTGTTTACGTGTTTTTTTTTTCTTTCATCCCCCTAGATGGACAGTGAGTTATGTACGGGATGCGGCGGTCCTATCCAGGATAAGTTCCTGCTGAAGGTGGGAGAGCGGCAGTGGCACGTCAAGTGTCTGCGGTGCTCGGTGTGCCAGACCCCGCTCGGCAGGCACACCACCTGCTACACCCGCGAGGCAGACGTCTACTGCAAGGCCGACTACATCAGGTGACAACATTTCCCGTTACACCGGAAAGTTGTTTGGTTGTTAGTGTCAACAGTAGACTGAGATTGGCGTATACTAGTATGATAAAGTTATCTATTTACATACCTTAAACGTACAGTCTAAGCGGTCAGCAAAACATTTGGACAAAGTTTTTCCGCTGTTGCGTTTCAATACCCCGTTTCAGACATTACAACTGACAACCTTGCCATTACTCTTAATAACTCTTACGACAATTGCAGGCCCTATCAATGGTACGTTTTTATTGTCATCTTTATAGCATTCTTGTATCTAAACTTGGGTAGGAAAATGAACGACAACAGGAAACATTGCACAGCAGTACGCGCCGTGTAGAGTGGAGGAAACTTGCTGTCCAATGTGTAATCATTATAAGTAGTCACAATCTCACATGATAAGAAAACTCTATGCCTTGTTCTTCCCAGGCTGACATTTCGTGTCTCGTATCACCATTCCCATCCGGAAAAACATTATAAAAACGTATTCAGGGACTATACCCCAAGCAGCAGGGATGTAGAATAGACGTTTGCGTCTGTCAATATAGAGCTCTCCATACAGGTGTACATACCACATGGATGCTATCATCTCTTCCTGTATCATAAAACCTCGTAAAAAAAGTAGGATATCAGAGTTTAAGGTAGTTGTCTTTTTCTCTCTCACTGTACTGTAATATTCCAAACTGTGATATTCCAAACCGGAAGGTTCTACGAAATTTGGGACGAATTTGGACGTCTATCAGTAAAAAGACATGAATAGAGGGGAAGGGAACATTTACTGTTGTCTTCACATCTCTTCCTCTATCAAAAAGATACTAACTCTAGTACCTGACACACCACCCGTATGTTTACTAACGTACGCTGGGAAAAGTATATAGTAGAGGGGATTCATCCCTCCTCAAGCTAACCCACATCTCACACACGCAGTCGTCCCTCAGTAAGACATCTGGAGTGGCATAGTTCCCGTTTAGAACTTTTATTCAGCCTGTCGCTGGGAAAAGGTTACCACTCGGTGACGTGGGCTGTCGAGTCTTCTCTCTGAGGTCCAGTCCCCAGCCTGAGTGTCTTCCCTCCCCGCCTTATCTCTCTAGTTATCGCGTTTGCTCCGATTGGAGGGATTATACCGCGATTAAGGACAAGTCCCGGGCCTGTGTCCGTTCTCACACATGACTCCCTAACCTCCCATCGCCACGCCGGTACAGAGATACCCGGGCATCCTTATTTACTGTCCTTAGATTTTACCGTCGTCTGTTGGGACTAGAGACATGAGCTGTTTATGTGATGGGGTCACTGTGTGTCTTATTATTAGATCGGGTTGTCTGTGGAGGCAGGAGGCGTTTGAGATTGCCTTATTATTGCCTTCCTAAAGTTTCCTTTTTTTTCTGAAGCACAGACAACATAACACATAGGAGAAAGCAAGCTATGGTATCGAAGACACACAGAATTGTGAAATTAGAGCAATTGTGCAACCAAAGAACAAATAATTGTTGTTTTCATTTTATGCTGTACAGCATTGGGAATGCAAAGACAACCGACAAGATTAAGTGAAGCCTGGTGCGCGCGCTTATGCAAAATGGAGTTGCTACACAATCCTATGTGTTCTATAAAAGCAGTGTTAGTAAAGGTGTTAGTGTTAGTTCAGCACCAAGGACAGGAACAGTAGTGTTAAGTGAACACAGACCATACATGTACATCTACTAATGTGGTAATCCTGTGCTGGTAACATGGGAGCCTATTGTGTGTGGTTAACTATTTGTTTCTCTCTTTCTTGTGTCAAAACGGAAAAATGCTACATATAGAGACCAACAGCCTACATTATTATATGGGTCATTTGCTGCAGCTCTTGTAACCCATTTCCTCTTGGTCAGTGCTGCCCACTTAAGTTTTGCTTAAGTGTTAATCGTGGACATATATTTTCCTGGCAGCCGTTTAGCGAGCAGTACATTTTTCACGCGCCCAGTATCGCCACATGAAGGGGATGGTAGAAACCGTGCTCTCAACGACTTCATATAGACTAAGGCTTGATGTATAGCACGATTATGCCTGAAGAGAGCTCTTTGGCCCAGACTTTTAAATCTTTCACAACAGCCAAGCCATTTTGAGTCCAGCCTCCTCTGTAATGTCCACTTCTCCCATAGCTAGGATTTTCAAAATGGCGCCATTTGTGGGGATTAAAATGTACTTGTAGGTCCAGGGGTTAAGGAGCTCCAAATCCCGCGCAATATTTTATGACTGCAAAGTTTCTCCCCCGCTTGTCATTCCCAACTTAGAATGACGACGGTGATTGTTCTTCAGAGGGTGCTGTGGCGCTCGCGGCCCGGGCGGTGTCGTCCCTCTTGGCTGAGCGGTGTTTGAAGTCGGCGGACTGACGGAGACTCGCCACGAATAAAACCCTCCTCAGCTCTCAGAGTAATCAAGACGCTGAACCGTTGTTGTCACCTCTGAGTGAACTGAGGAATTATCGGACTTTCCGGCCGTATTTCTTTATTTGGCTCAACACCACATCAAATCTTCCCCACCAGTGTACATTATCCCACACTGACGTAACACTGTCGGGTACAATACTTTCAGAAACCGTGTGGTATCACAGACGAAACCTTCTCGTACAAAGGTGTCTAGAATTTGAGTCCATATTTTCCTCACATCGATTCATACGTGGCTCGAGCTCAAAAGAGGATTTGTCTAAATTATAATTATTGGTTTTAGTACAGGTGTTAGTTACGACGTTGGACACTAAAGACTGCTACATACAACCATGCACTGCTGTCCCTGTCCTTGGTGCTGAACAACCACCCCATTTACTCGTTTTCTAGTATACAAGTAAACTCTCCGATAAAACCGCTCTCCCTCTGAGGAACCAGAACTGTTTTTGTGTTATGGTCAGTCTATGCCAATGTCCATCGTGTAAATATATCCCTGTGAATATATTTTTCTATATTAACACGTTTACTCTCTCGCTGTTTCAGACAATTCGGCACCAAGTGTGCGAAATGCTGTCGGAACATCCAGTCGAACGACTGGGTGCGTCGCGCCAAGAGTAATGTGTACCATCTCGCCTGCTTCGCCTGCGACGCCTGCAAACGGCAACTGTCCACGGGGGAGGAGTTCGCGCTGCACGACGGGAAGGTTCTGTGCAAGACCCACTATCTGGAGGCCATGGACGCAGCGGCCGGAAGCGGAAATGGATCAGGTATGGGGTGACTGGACACACACACAAACATACATACATACGCACACACACGTACACACACGCGCGCGCACGCACGCACGCACGCACACATACATGCACACACACACACACACACACACACACACACACACATACACACACACACACACAAACACGCACGCATGCACGCAAGCACACACACACACACACACATTCATACATACGCATACATACGCACACACATACACACACACACACGTAAACATACTCATGGGAGATTTGAAATATTTTTTTAGACATCGTATTCTTGTACTTCAATTTATTTCATACATGTTTTCCTCATCCAACATATCCTTGTCTTAATCTGCCTGTTTCCTCAGAACTATCATCACGATGGGGCTTTATTAGATACGCGGCAGCTGACTTGTATCTCCGTAAACATTTGCCCAACTCCGCTAAGCACATAACACAAACACGTAGAGAGACTGCAAAGTAGCAGGCGTCCCGAATATCTAGTCGGGTCAAGTTTAACCAACAACCATAACCCGCCCTTAGTCACACTGAACGAGCGCTCTCCCTGAGAGAGCCATTTGCCGTGGAAACAGCTCCGTTTTTCCGCTCGGAAATAATCTCTCGGCCGGCTTAGTGAGACAGTTAATGGACGTAAAGTAGTCATTTGGCTGTTGCGCAGTGGGTTTCCGAACGATCAACAACCTCGGCGCACTTATCTGGCTAAAAGTTCTTCAGTGGTATAAACGGTCGGCAATCGACGCGCTCAAAAACTGTACACAAATTGTGCAAATCGTCTGCTTGAAATCGAGTTTGCGAGAGAAGAAAAAAAGCGGCCACTAAAGCTCCGATGGGTTGAAATCGGCGTGCGTAATGGGACACTGTTGCATATAAATCGAACCTCAAGTGGCAAAATAGCATTTTAATACCCCGCCGGCCCGCGGAGATGTCAGAATTAAACCGCAGGCCGCTTTCAACCACATGTACGGAACACATCGGTCACCTCGATGGGCGCGCGGATAAGGCTGCGCTGAAACAAGGATTAGCGCAATGGATTTGGCGGATAATACCGAAATACCGAATCGCCCACCGCCCTTTCATGACTTGCATTTAGCACGGGCAGATTTAATGAAGAAACATTCTCCGACGTTATGCAGCTGCGCAAACGGGCGGCTTGGAGGCAAGTCGGCGGCTTCGTTCGCGGAGAGATCGCGAGTCGGGAAGCAATTAGAGTTTAGAACAAGCTTCAGCGAATCTTTCTGTACAGTCATATACATAACACGGACCAAGAGTCAGCAGTCCTTTCTACCGAGGATTCTACCTCAATTTTTAAGCAAACATTTGAACAAGATCTCGATAAAATCTCCTTTACATACACCCGAGTACCCCCAACAAGTTCATATTTTAACATACGTGACTGACACAATAACAACTCACAAAGTTTATTTTAGACCTGGTTTCTGTTGACATACAATTTGACTGAAATATATTAATGACAATGGCTCGTCACATGTCCTAGTTATCAAGGCCAAAATTCTGCCTTACTGCAAATGCAGTAAAATCTTTTTCTCTGGGTTCTTAGCTAGAACTGTGGTTAGGGCCATAAACAACCTTCTTCGTTTTAATGCTCTTATTCCGCACAGATACAGTTCAGAATATCTATAGCTACTCTTCAAGAAAATACAGTTGTGGCTACTAAGTGTAGTTACAGTGAATCAAAGAATCGGTGTAAATATTAGCTTGTAACGATTCCTCTCCCCCTCCACCCTCAGACTGTGACTCACTCTACAGCGGAGAGAGCGGCTCAGGCGGACACCGGCCCAAGCGCGTGCGCACTACCTTCACAGAGGAACAGTTGCGGGTCTTGCAGGTAAGGATAAATTAACAACGTTTTAACAACGTTTACCAACGTGTCAGCAATAGATGGTAAGACTTGCAGAATAACCAACTAAAACAGTGCTGTCAATCATGTACAACTGTCCGGATTTGTGTGTTAAAAGACGTATGGGCACATAGAGGATCGTGTTGTCACTGCTCTTCATATATATCAATGGCTGAAACTGAGCAGCTACACATAAAGAAACACATCGAAATGAACGTTTTCTGTTTCCAGGCGAACTTTAACATCGACAGTAACCCAGACGGACAGGACCTGGAGCGGATCGCGCAGATCACAGGACTCAGCAAACGCGTCACACAGGTAACGGCTTACTAGCTAGTTTCATATCACGTAATAATATAACAATCGCTTCTCTGGATCAGAAAGATGGAAGCTTAGACTGCTATTCATGTCCTTAGCGAAGAACAACATTCACGCTAACACTGTTGCCCCTGTCCTTGGTGCTGACCATGCTCACGCTAACACTACTATCCCTGTCCTTGGTGCTTAACATGCCCACACTAACACTACTGTATCTGTTCTTGGTGCTGCACATGCCCACACTAACACTGCTGTCCCTGTCCTTAGTACTGAACATACCCACACTAACACTGCTGTCCCTGTCCTTGGTGCTGAACATGCCCACACTAACACTGCTGTCCCTGTCCTTGGTGCTGAACATGCCCACACTAACACTGCTGTCCCTGTCCTTGGTGCTGAACATGCCCACACTAACACTGCTGTCCCTGTCCTTGGTGCTGAACATGCCCACACTAACACTGCTTTCCCTGTCCTTTTTACTGTTGTTCCTTGCAGGTGTGGTTCCAGAATTCTCGCGCGAGGCAGAAGAAATACGGCAACCTCACTGGAAGCAAGTCTCTTTCCCCAGGTAGGGTTTGTGGCTTTGACTTCATCTGCCTTCCAATAGATTTAATCCACACTTTAGAGTGACTGTAAAGGCCACCATTGTTACAGACAGTTACACGGGTGTCTTAGGCTATGTCAGGTTATGTTATGTTATGTAAAGGTACTAAACATGCCTATTTAATAATGTAGCAAAGTTTGTAACTAGTGTGCAAAAAAGTCAAAAGTAATTTTCTTGGCTAATGGAGGTTGAAATGTCATCAAGAACAGTTTGCCGGCTGATGTCACCCCACTAGGAGTACTTATGTTGTCACCTGCTGCACTTTGCAAGTGTCACTAAAACGACAAGATAATTGTGCCTGCGCGTATCGCCGACCTCTCTTTGTTAGCTTCCGCACACAAAACGTCTCTCTTTGTTCTGGTCCATTTCTGGAGCGGCCTTTGCAATGACGTCTCCCATCTACTACGTCATAGGCTACTTTTCGTGCAGTATGGTTTGGGTTATTTTAGTAGATAGCTATAGGGCTGTGTAGTTGAACTTGCGTTCATGTTCAACGTGTTTTCTGAGTTCATAAAGGGTCAAACTATTCACTCTCATTTTTTCAATTGGTGCCACTAGGCTGCATTTACCTCTGTTTATATTTTGATTTTCAGTACTTTTAGAGTTGAGACAACATTTCCCGTCCTTTTAGAAATTGTCTAAAATTTAGACTTGTCAAAGCATCTTGTAGCAGCTATTTTAATCTGGTCACACAAAAAATGTGTAAACACGTTTTAATGTGTGCTATGCGAATGGCACAGTTATGCACACGCGTACGATCCACATTTATTGTGACAGAAAAGCTTTCCGTAGATCCATGCCGTTAGTTGGGTCTGTCTTAAATAATCTCACTCAAAATCTCACCACAAAAAATAGTACGACTACGCACAAACAGTTACGGCTGAATTCCTTGTTTGATTTCTAAATTTGCGTCGTTCCGGTCCATCCCGGTCCGAGTGCACGAGCGGTGCTTCCTGAGCCGCGCTCATCCGGGCAGCGTTAGTCATCTCACGGCGGCCGGCACCCCCGCACGCCGGGTCCCGGGGGCGGGCTCCTGTTGACTTAACCCGATTGTTTGCATGTCCGCCAAATTCTAATCACTTCATTAGGCTGAATCCCGCCACGGTGCAGCCTCATCACCGTCTGCATCCCCGCGGACTTACCGAACTGATCATCCGTGCATCGCTGCATGTCTTTAACATTCATAACGCCCGTCCGACACGGCTCGATTCGCCAACGTTTTTCTGTAGAGAGTCGGCGGTTGAAATTTAATTGTCGATCGTTAGCAAAATCAGATTCCCGCGCCTCCACCACGCGACGCCGGGGGAGACTAGACTTCAAACGCCGTTTAATTCGAGACAAATTAACAAATACACACTCACATTTGCGCCCAATTTGCATTGCGGCGTGCTAGGTCGCAAACTGGCAAACGTCGAATAGCTGTGGTGTACGTTGAAATATTGTAGCTGTGGCGTTGAGCAAAAGCTAGACGATATTTATAGCTAGACCTATAGGATCACAAGTTTATCTTTTTTTGCTATCCCAGGAAAAAAAGTTCCATTGATATTCCTCTGTCTTCAACCCACCTTGACTAGATTCTAAACAAAGTCTATAGTGTTGATGTCCCAATGCCGTCACACGGTGGGCGTAAGATTGTTTTTCCTCGAGTGTTTGCAGCCTTGTAAAGTTTTAAGTGCCTGTCTCTTACCACGCGCTTCAACGTCTTGACCCAAAACAACAAGGAAACATCTTTGAATCAGAAAGGTTGAGAGTCTTGCACAACTGGCCTTTTGGTGGTTTAAGATTTAGGCCACACCAAGTAAATTTTATGGATGACGTCCGCGCGCGCATTGATTTTGGCCTGTTCCTAGAAAAAAAACAAGAAATTCCGCTTCCTGTAACTATGACCAAAGAGTCACGACAGTGCCGCAATTCATCAGATTGACGTGAAACCCATAACGCGAAAACAGACGACAACTGCTATTCCACCTGATTTATTGCTGTTTTGATGATGAATAAAAGACTTCTTGCTTGTTACAGTGTCACCTCATTCAATCTGTGTCCTAACATTTGTCGTCTCTTAGTATATTTCTAATCTAGGCATCTTGTTTTTTAGGGCCCTTCTTGTTTTTTTCTCGCCCTCTCGCATTAGATTTAGGGTCTCCAAAGGACGTCATCCATAAAATTTACTTGGTGTGGCCTTATGTTACTATATTTGTAGCAGGACGAGTACTATTTTCTACACGTAGGCCCACGTGTGCGAAACATACTCACCGTGCGACCGACAGCCGACACAGTAGAACGGTAATCTACTGAGAACCAAATTTTTACTTGTTATAGTCGTCTTTGACCATCTGAAGATATTGTTGACGATATGAAGATTTTATTGTATAACTTGTTGTATAGCCGGAAAAATCCTAAAGTTTACGAAGACGTTTTTTTTTCAAATTTTTTTTAGTAAGCTGACAATGTAAAATAGGTATTTTAGGTATATGGCGGTCATGTAAGCTAGCTTTGTTTTGTCACTTGGTGTTTTTGTGGAGTTTCTGTACATGTTTATGTCTGTATAAGTCATGTTATGTGTGTCAGGTGTATATGTTAATTGACCACAGGAAGAATAGCTGCAATATGAATTGTTAAGCTAATTGTGGATCTAAATAAACCAAACCAAACCAAACAATCAAATATGGAATTTTTTTATACACATCGGCAACTGTATGGATTTTTCGTGCTGCTTTTGAGCATACTTTTTCGTTGACATACGAGGTTATTTCAAATCATTCCATTCCATCCCATTTTATTCATTCATTTCATTTTCCGTCATATTTAAACAAGGTTTCCCACTCACTGACTCACTTCTTTTCAGTTATATAACTTATAGATAACTTATCAAATGGCAGATTTGACAAAATCACTCACCTTTCTAGCGGTGAGAAACATGGATTACGTGATACCAGTAGTCCACTTCAACACAGACCCTCCCATACACAAGTGTGTGGTCCTTTACTTCATGAGAAACAGGTTGTTTTGGAGCCCTTTCTAAAACGTTATTGCGTCAATAAGCCACGCGATGCTAGCAAGAGTTCGGTTCCCACCGCTCCCGAGCATCTATTTCTGCTAAAGACCGGTCCTCAGCACAATAACTCGTTACACTAATCCCTCTGAATGGTCGCCTCTTGTCAGTCATTTTCCACGTCATTTAATCTGTATGAGAGACCCACCATCGAGTTGAAAGCATCGCAGACTCAAAAATAAAAACAAGAACACTTGAGAGAATATCTGGGAGTTGTAGTGACATCATTTAGGGAAAATAAAGCACTCGTGATTGCATTGAGTTTTGACAAGAGATGAATATGGTTTTAAAGAGGCATTCAAGTGGACAACCGTGGGAAGCTACCTGACCTTTCTATCTATCTGCTGACAGGTTGATTGGTTGTTTGACATAATATCTTTCGTTCCTTATGGATAGTTGATGCGGCTTTGTTAGTATGAAAGTTTGGACTGTGTAGCATGTACATGGGGGCTAGAGAAAAAACTTGCACTTTGTGAATACGTATCTTCTCACGAAAACTGCAATTAGCAATACTAGTAATATGGGTAGTTATTAAAATGGCTAATCGAAGGACGTTTTTTTTGTAATAAGTATTATTTCATATTTTGCAGGTCGCAAGTGCTGTATCAAGTGCGGACAGATCTACTGCGCATGCGTGCAGGGGGGTCTACAAGCCACCTCCTGTGCGTGACGTCACTTCCGGTCTGCCGTGCGGGACATGTGCCAATATGATTACGTCATTCTGTAGATATACCGCGTCAAAAAGTCTTCTTGTATGTCATAAGGACCGACCTTCAGTTCAAAGCTACATTATTTATCTGTGGGTTGTAAAACAAAAACTGTAAAGTGAAAATGGTAGTGGCATAGAGTTGTTGACATACATGAAAAGTTGTACTCTCCAAGCAGAGGTTTGGGTTTTAGGTTATTTTGGGCGTGTTTTTAGGCTTTTTATTGGGGTTTCTTTTTTGCACTGGAATTGTTTTTCACCCCCAAAAAACTTCCAGTGCAAAAATTAAGGAAACCCCGATAAAAAAAGCCTAAAAACACGCCAAAAATAACCTAAAACCCAAACCTCTGCTTGGAGAGTAGAAAAGTTTAACAATTTGACTTGCATATGTTTTGTGGCTGGGAGATGCGTACTTTTTGTTGCAAATCCCCTTGTGGAGATGGTTTACGCGCTGAGTTAGCCCGGGATAGTGTACATGTCCTGTCATACCCATCCCTCCATTACTGGATGAACACTAAAGCCGAAAAACAAACGACATTTAGCCGTAGGGCAGGTGGCACGACACTCCACCATGGGTCATTCACGGATCACATACAGGCTGAGAGATCAGAAGTGCACAGAGGTCTGTTTGCCTATCGTATTATACCAGTGACTCGGTCGGTCCGTATATCATTATGTTCTTATCGTGATGTCAATATTTGATGCCGATGTGATCTTGTGTCTACCAGGTATCAGTAGATGTGCGCACAATATTCTGATTATTAAAACGCGTGCTAATGTGAGAATGCATGAGATCCACAGATTGACGGTGACTATGTCAGACATCGGCCGTTCTTTCCGAGAAATGTAATATCAGTGGTCGATCTGATATTCAAATATTCTGTTATGTGAGATTTATCTAACCAAGAAAAGCTAGAAACTTACTTAATTATATTTATTGTCTGTTCTGTACTTTTTATTTATAGTAGGAAAATTATCTTATCTAGATCAGTGAAAACAACTTGGACATTGGGAACAACACAGTTCTTTCTCTAGTAGCTGTATTTTATATTAGAACAGCACTACTGGGTATCGCGTGTTCCTCTACATGTTGATTTGATGACATGACATAAAGTTTAGACATTCCAGTGACTCTGTTTATATGTATGTCTGTTGTGCAGAAAATCGTAACAAGTTGCAGACAGAAAGCTCGCTAGCGCTATAGTTTACTGCACAGTGGCGGTTTAATATTTAGAGTGAAGACACTGAAGAGTGACGCAGGGTGTCGCACGCACATACGTCAGTCGACTTGATAGCTTTTGAAGCGTTGGTACAAATAGATGCAGCACAGGACTTGTTTCTTCCATCTCCCGATGTTTCCTAAATCTTGCCGGCTTGACCCATCCTACCGTACGTGAACCCGTGTGCTGCAGACCCCTGGTCTCTCCGAACAGAGCCCGTCTAATTATGACGAGACTTCGTAGAGCTTTTGAAGGCTTTAGATGCACAAGACTTGTTTGTTCCATCTCCCAATGTTTCCTCAATTTTACCAGCTCGACCCATCCCTACCGTACGTGAACCTGTGTGCTGCAGACCCCCGGTCTCTTCGAACAGAGCCCGTCTAATTATGACGAGACTTCCAACCCTAAATAGCCGGATATCCAGAAATCTCCGGTCTAATCCAGGTCGTCTGCGATGAAACGGTTTAATCGCTCCACGTCGATCCTTCATCAGACAAATCGTCCCGGCAACTCAGACAACAGTCGGATCGGTTCTATCTGCAGCTAGACATTAATTAAAGCCCGATTATGGACGGTCATTAAGATGTTTTTATTGCGATACTGTTTTCCTGGATTTTTCCGCCGTTGAGGGGGAGACAGAGTGACGTGAGAGGATTTGGAGAGTAAAGAAGGCAGAATATTCGCTAACAATCAGGCCCTAATGATCCAGGCGAGCACACGAATATTTCTCGGCCGCTTTCATCGCCCAGAAGTGAATCATACATGCCAAATACATCGAGCAGAGAGTGCTATCTAACTAAACTCCGGTTGAAAGACTTTTAAAAAACTACACGGTACTTCTGTTATAGTTTCACAAATCTATTGTCTTGAAAGCAAAATGGGAGACACGGAATATCTTGTGCATAGGGGATGACACCATGTGTGAATATACGCACAAGCTAATGAGGAGTAAGTCAAAGTAAATACAAGAATGGGAAACTTTTGAACGATAAATATTCAAAACTTCATTAGAAATGGTAAAACACTGTTTGTAAATATTTAGCACGTTGTGGGTTGTCTTCATTAAGAGACGTCACTGCAGTAATGTGTACAGAACTGGAGAACACATGTGCATAGGTAAAAGTTGATGATAAGGGCCTATACCATCATCAGTGGCAAAGATGATGGAAAGATATTGTAAAATCAAGACGTTGGTGAATTACAAATTTTGTTTGGTAATCATATGGCAAAAAATGCGTTACTTTTTGCACTTCTGTGAGCCTTTTTCTAACAGCTTACCCATCTCCTACACCGCGCACTGGCGCACACACACAGCTCCGGGATTTCCTCCCAAATTTTCTCCCAAATTAAGAGCGAATCAATATTTGTGCTGATACGGAGCGGCAGTTGATTCTCATTCAGCACGATTGTGCCCCGCTGATTGCTCGATTGTCAGCGGGGCTCCCAGGAGACCACTTGTTAACATACGCTTCTCTTCAGAGTCGATCCGGGGAGACGAACAGCACCAGTCTCCACCAGACTCCTTTGCAGGCTTGATAAATTGTAGAAATCGGCCTAAACAGAATGTAGCTGGCCAGGGGAGTTGGCCGGCCATAGAGGGTCCAGTTTGCCAGCTATATTCTTTTTTAATAGGCCGATTTCTACTATTATTCAGCCTGCAAAGGAGTCTGGTGGAGACTGCAACACTGGTGCTGAGAGGGGAGGTTTGAGAAGAGGCAGGGTTGGTCTGAGAACAATCTTAAGCATAAGCAGCACTTACTTCTAAGAGAGTAAAATTAAGGAATCAGGAATGTTATTTCAGCTTAGCTTTGGAATCTCAGTTTCTTGTTCGGCAGCTTTCTTTGTGATGTAAACAAAATGTGAAAGTGAAAACACTCCCAGAAAGTCTACGATTGATCTGCAGCAAAGGACTGCTGTTAGGAACCTTTTCAATCAGACTAAGAAGCCTCTTCGTCATTACATCATGGCCCAATGAATGAATCAGCATCAAGATTGCCTCAACAATAAAGTACACCCTGCATATGGTCCAGAAAGCGCCGCCAAATGCCTGAAATCATCATTGCAGGAAAATCCCGAATCTAGCAGCAGCAAAAACTAGAGTTCCCCGATCTCATACCTTCGCCAAATGATGTTAAACTTTATGACTGACAAAGTTTAGATTAGATTATTCCCCCCTGATTTAAGAAATAGGAACCTAATTTTCATTAATTATATCATTTTATCATAATCTCAGCCAAAAGACAGTCTTATATTAACAAAGAATGCATTCTAGCATTTCCTAATAAATTATGCAAATGAGGTCCTGATTTGAATAAATTATGTTCAATGATGTTCATCTCAATTTAACTTTCAAATACCACAAGTATGAAATTCCAGGCAGTTATCATTACATAATTATAAAATTTTCTCATTAATTATGCAAATTAAGTCATTATTAACATAATCAACATCTTCCTGTGTTTCTCTCGTTGTCAATTACCAATGTCACAAGCTTCAATTGTCCTATCATGGAATGCAGCTGATTTATAGAATTTCCCCATAAATTATGCAAATTACATCCATATTTGCATAATTGTCACATAATTATATTAAGCATCACGTAAGCTACCTACATACCAAAATCACGACGATCCGTCAACCGGTTCTTGAGTTATCCCCTTTTGAATATTTTCAAGAATTTATCCCTGCAGTTCCAGAGCAAGCCGCTAGGGGGCCTAAACTCACGTCACTTCTTTCCCAGCACAAGAGCTACCTACCATCTAAATTTCCATTACCTATAGCATGTCTAGATCATGAGATATCAAAACCGGAAGTTCAGCTGCAGTACCATAACAAGCCGCTAGGGGGTCCAAAATCTAATCATTTTGAGGTCTCATCAAGACCTACCCACCTACCAAGTATCAAGACAATCCATAAAGGCCTTCTCAAGTTATCGTGTTTACAGACAGACAGACACACACACACACACATACACGAACGCCCCTGAAAACATAACCTTCTTGGCGAAGGTAATAATATAGATCGCTAGAGGTCCCCAGTGACTGGCGTACTGACGCTATGTATGGTCATAAGGCTAGAAAATTGAGATATAAAGGGAAACAAATTCAAGGTGTTTCAAATCTTCCTGAAGTGAAGTTTGCAACCGGATCATTGTTTGTTGATAATATAAGTCATGAATCTATAAACTACGTACCATAGACGGTGTAGACTTTTAAAAAGCAGGTGCATAGAATGAATGTAACGAAGAACATTGTGGACACTTCGCAACTAAAATGTGGACACTTCGCTTCTGTTAATTGGTTTCCCATATCTCTTCTGTCATCTATAAAGTGTCAAAGTACAGAAATATTGAGCTGACTTTAAAGTAAAGGGGTCGGATGATTATATTTATCCACAATATTTCATAAACAGACACTCTCTTGTGCCTCCTACTTTTAAAGGCGAAGTTAGTGCGGGGATAAAATGATTTCAGTGTAGTCTTTGGCCGTTTTGCGGGTAACATTGCTTCTCTCCATCCTAGTATCCTGTATTTTCAGTCGGCCGGATCTGAAAGAGAAGGTAGAGGATCTGTATCACAGATGAGTATCTGCTGTGGGTAGAGTGCATCTACGTATACAGAGTAATCATTGTACTATTCTAACATTCTGCAACAAATATCTAGATCTGTGGCGTCAATATACTTTAGATAGACAAAAATTAATGAAAATGATCACATGTAAAGCTAGTAAACCTTTCCCTAAGACATTTTCAATCTACTTATGTCATCTTTAATCTACTTAGGCCAATATATATATATATATAGTGAATTACAAAAGAGAGAAAGTATTGCAACAGATAACAACGCCCTGGTAGTCTCAGAATAGACTTGATTGTATTGTTCACATTGTCATTGTTGCCATGCATTGTACCATGTACAACTGTCGAGCAATAAAGTTCATTCCTGCATTAGATGTTCGTAAACTGAGGCGAATCCGACATGCTACGGTACCGAAACAAAACAAAACAAAACAGACTCTTTACCCATCTGACAGATGTACGGGAGTGTCACGGATCCCCGTGTCAGGTCCCACTGCTGGTCCTCCAGTAAGACTCCGTAGTTCCCGCGGTAATAAGGCGTGTGTTCGGTTATCCAGTTGGTGAAGTCCCCCAGCTCGGTCCCGTCACTCCACGCGAAGTAATCCGTAAGGAGATCGTCCAACCCGATGAAATATTTCCTGAGAAGAACCCAAATATGTCAAAACACTGAGGTGTACTCATATGGCTTAGTAGCCATAGTTACTGGGCCTATGCCTAAAATGCAAAGTTGCCAGCAGCCTAGTTGTTGACTTATATCAATAAAGACCCCAATATAAAATATCGTAGGTGTTTGAAGAAGCCGCTGTTTAGCTGACTGTAGCCACTATGTTTTCTATGTGTTATATTAAGTATTTGCAAACCTCACGGAAAGAAACACTTATATTTACACGATATTTACATGTGTAGAAATGTTGCGAAAAGGTCATATTTGTCTTTCATTTTCCTTTCAGAAATCGTTAAAACTGCTGAAATATTTCACCGCCTTTAATATCCCTTTACGTAGTTCGTAAAGTTAGTGTTTGTTTTAGATATGGCTTTTCGTGCTGTGCCAAACTCACGCCTCATCCAGCGGCCTGTTGGTCCGTAGGAAGTCCTCTATGAACCCCTGCACGCCGGCGGTCTTGATCATGGCGAGTTTCCCGCCCAGGAGAACGCAGCTTTCCTGAGCGTCAGGGTACGTGAGCCGGTCCCCCCTCAGCGGGGAGAACCAGAAACACTGGTTATCGTACACGCCAAAGTCACCGGTGGATACAAGATCGGGGTACAGCTCCTGACACGCTGAGGAACGAGAGACAAATATCTAATCATACATCATGTGATGACGTAAACTCACCATTGTAAGGAAAGCCAACATCTTCTTGTAACAAGAACGCCACATGAGTTGCTGTACATAACACATTTGGATTTATAGTAGGCGGAACAAATAGATGGAACAAGCTACCACGTGATTGTTTTCCACATGGGTATAGCCTACACTTTTCAAGTCTAAGGTCAACAAACATCCGTCCTCACCGGCTGCACAGTAACCCAACACATTTGAGTGGCTCCCATGAGCCTTGTTTTGTGGTGAACATGAAGTAAATGATAATAAAAAAGCTTTCACCACTACTCTAGACGTGACGTCACAGGACAAGGATGCTTACATGCGCAGCTCCTTCCGTCTGCTCTCAGAACGAGGCCGTCCTGACATGCGCAGAGATACGACCCGACAAGGTTGATGCAGATCTGTTCACAGTCGTTCATGTCCGGGTTGTGACATTCGTCTGAATCTGAAACAAACCATATTGTAACCATCGAGCAAATCTCCTTTTTTCACGACAGCTTATTTTTTGTTTTGATTCACATCGATGGTAATATTCTTACCTGACTGCCTGTTTTTGGGTCACCAGCTAGTGAACTACACTGAGTTGGCTAGACCTCAGGGATGGAGATTTTCCCAAATATCTTCTATGAGTTCGAAAGGAATTTCTTTATGGCTACACCTCACCTCATATCTGCATAGTAGGAAAGCCCTTTAAAGAGTGTTCCTTGTCACTGTTGAAACTATGTTTCAGATGTGGTTTCTATTTTGGAAAATCCTACCTTCAAAAGTTTCCTTCCAGACCTCCATGAGCACGCCGGGAATGTTGTCACATGACACCATGTCCGTGACGTCAGTTCTGACGAAGACGTCCGGCTGTAGCCTGGTGACGCCCGTGTTGTCGCACAGGACCCGCGCGTACGTCACACGGCCGATCTGCGCGCGCTGGGCCGCCGTGAACACACCGTAGTTCTCGTGCCAAAATCTTGTAAACAGAGAAAATTGACTCTGATAAACATCCAGTCCACACTTTACACACACGTTACACAAGAAATGGACAGCGGTCTGTTATCATATGTTAGCCACACAAAACTACATATCAGATAAAAAAACGGTTTTAGCTATATGTGTCCTGTTTTCTTGTCTTCTGGGATGGGAATTTTCATTCACGCTTCAACTAGGTCGCTTAGGTATCCACACTTTTTCAAACGTTTTGTAAACTACCTTTATTTTCCATTGTAAAAGTGGCTGCGAGAATATATATTGTGTTTGAGTTCGCAGCCACATTGTCTGTGTCCTTTCATTTGTATTCAACAATATTCTTCTGAATAAAAAAACTGGCAACCAGGCAAATCAAACTACTCAAATGACGAATGAATACTATCCGCTTCGTCCAGGGTCGTCGCCAAAAAAAATTCTGAGATATTTCATTGGGCAGTCGAGAAGTTTTCGGACATCTCACCTGTCTCCTTGCCTTATCGCCTTGAACTGTGCCGCTAGGAGACACCTGAAGGTGGGCCCCACCCGGCCCCCGGTCACGTGATCCTCCAGCAGTCCCCCGGGCCACAGGTCGACGTTTCTGACGTCACCGTACACGTCAGCCAGCTTCTGACGGATGTCGTCGTCTGGTATGTCACCGGAGAGGTCGTCAAACGATTCTGAAAACAGAAGAGATATTTGTTTTAAACAACGTTCTAACAAGGTAAAAAATTTGATCTAATACAAACCTATTTATATCAGGGCCCATCACTCTTCACTCAACCGCGACGGGGGCCGACATCGTCTACAAGACATCTTTGACCCGGTATTTACGTCACGCTTCAGAGAAGCCACGTGACAAGTCTCACTGGGTCAGTCTACTGAGGAAGACCAGAGTGACTGGTCGAAAGTTCTAGGCGAGAACCTTTTCCTTGTGTTGGATCAAAAGTTGTAACTTAAAACATATTCATACATCTTGGCGTCTTTATAAAGCATATGGTTCAAATACAGCTATTCCGTACGATTTGTTATTTTTGTTTATTCATACTTGTGGATATTTCGTCACCTGCTAGCAATAGCTCACAAATATCCCGCCAGTTGTTGTAGAACGGTATGCCGTGGTCCCTGCCCCGCTGGATGGTGATGGCGGCTATGTCCAGTCCGGCATGGCCAGGCAGGGCGAACATGTGCTCAGTCAGCTCTTCATGGATAACCTACAACGTAGGGGGAGTAACAAAGCACCCATTCCCACTAAGATAAAACTATCCGGATCGAGCCGAATCGATTCGCTTTGAGCCGACTTTAAGCCGGATCGAGCCGGATCAAACGAATCGATTCGACTAGATCCGGACAATCCTAGTGGGAAAAGGGCCAACGTTGATCAATTGTTCAATTAGGATTTTTCAAAGAAATGAAAGTTCTCTGGGCGGGGGAGGAAATATAAACTGTCAAACGAAAAAGAAGCTAATTATGTGTTTCATACACAATTGAATACCTACAAAAATGAACGTAACGTGTGTAACTTTTTTTATTGAATAAAGCAATACAAGACAAGGACGAAGTGGGGCTGAACTCAAGTTATACAACTTATTTTACAGCCCCACTTAACATTTAACATAAATACAATGGTCATACAAATAGTCGTAAAGTAGTGCGTTGAGAAACTAGACCCCATACATACAGTAATATATCTAAAGAGAGGTGTTATATAATTTATATATTACAAACAAAACAGAGTATACTATGTAACGAAAAAAACGTTTAGTGCCGCTTATAAAAGCTTGAGTAAGTAACATAATGTTTGTAACTTGAGTATTCCTTACATTTCTCGGTGTTGCCAGCTTGGCGGGACTCCCGATCAGGCCTCTGACCAGCGAGTCGATCCCGCTTTCCTTCACGATCCGCCAGGGGGCGAAAAACGTGTCGCGCAGGGCCACGTTTCCTATGGCAGGGTCCTCTTCATAGTTCTGGATAAAGAGACGGAATAATAAGATCCGATATTTTTCAAGTTTTATATTTTTATTGAAGACCGTGTCCTTTTGACAAATATCACATCAAGGAATAATCGACTGAATAGGCCTTACTTGCCATCCAACATACAATGTACTTCGCTCTCTTCTTTTCAAAATCCTGCTGACTTATAATTACTTCTGGATACAGGAGTGTTGTTTGGTGTGTTTTGAATTTGTGTGTCTGTTTGTCGGGACAGAGCAGATTGACAGCACGTGGGTGAGGAAAGATTGGCAGACAGAACAACAGTCGGTCAAAAGGTCAGACACAGGAAATGGGGTGAACTTCAACGTCACGAAAACCCTAAATACTTCTACGATTTCTTGTTACGTTGTTTCTTACCTGTAGTGTACCCTTACCTGGTCGTACCGCTGCACCAGCGGGTCCGTCGCCGCGTCGTTGAGTCGGAAAGCTGCCATGGCGACCGAGTTTCGTACGGACGGGTCCACGTCAGGGTCGTACTCGGAATACTCTCCCACTTCTTCCATTTCTGTGATAATATATCAACATCATTACTTCCTGCCAGTTATCACATAGGATGCTTCAGTCTTTGTCCAACTTTGTCCAACTATATGCTAATCAGTTAGACTACAGGATAGATGACATGAGATTAAATGAGATGAGATGGGAAGAGAAGAGACGAGAGAAGAGGAGCAAGGAGAGCGGCTACCGGTCGGTCCCAGGATCTTGGGCAGGTACTCGGAGAAGGTGATGTGTTGTATCTCCGCCGCCACGATTTCGCGCGCCTCCTGGTACAGCCTGTCTCCGCCCCAGTGCGGGTTAAGGCCGTGGAGTACCCGGGCCAGCCTGTTGTGCTCCCGGACCCAGACGGTGTGAGACGCGATGGCTCTGTTGTCCTCGTTCGCGCGACTGTCACCGGCGAGGAAGCAAGGGACGCTGTCTCCACCTGCCGGGTCCTGTAATATCACGGTGTTTAAAGATTGCTATTCTATACGGATGTATGAATCGTTTGTTCTGCTTATCAACGCCGCAGTACAACACTTGTGAATGTCAGACAGTAATACATTGTATCAGCAAGCAATGCATTTGCTAGCCATCCTTTCTGACAATGCTTCATCGAAGTTTCTCATGGCTGATCTGATAAAATACACTGTTGTGCAACTTTACTTACCTTTCTGACAAATGTTCTTTAAAATAGACACCACTACTTACCTGATTGCAGGGTTTGTCTTCTTCCTCCTGGAACGGCAGCAGGTCCAGCCCTGAACTGACGTCCGCCCGCGGCTGAACACGCAGCAGGCCCAGATCGGTCGTCAAGTCCCGCAGTCTGGACAAACGTCAAAACAAAGAGTTTTGCAGTTCTTCTCGCATGAGATTCGGTCATCAATACATGTAAGATGGTAGCCTTAGTGTCAGCCTTTTAAGCTTTCGTCCGCTCCCCACGATCCGCTACTATCTAGTATTACAGACGGAAGAAGTTACTGTTATTGTTTCAGACACATAGATGTCATCCAGACTGAAAACAGTACCCACAATGATCATGGAGGGTAACAACAACCACGACAGCGTTACTCACGACTGCGCCAGGTGTTCCGAGGACCCGTACACCATGGAGGCGTCGATGAAGCTGGAGACCTGGTTGATCTGCTCGCGGTCCAGGAGATCATCAGGGTTGGACGTGTCCCCTACAGCCACCCCGCACATGGAGCTGGACCGCGTGAACGGCAGGCAAGGCTGGGGGGAAGGACGGGATCAAACGGTTTATCATGGGCTCCTCCTAGATGCACAGGAGACACACTAAATGTGCATGGCGAGTTATGCTACAAATGCAAGAAAATAGCAAGTAGCAAACTCCCCTGGCAAATAGTCTCCTATATACATGCGTATAGCCAGCGTAGCTAGTCTGGTAGAGACTACATTACATGTACCTTCTGTGTGTTGTTTATCCGTGGGTCGTCATCAGGGACGGCAATGGGGAAACACGGACTGACGTTGTCACACGTGTCTGTACACAGGATCTTCTTCTTTCTGGGATACATATAGGAACATACAGCGATATCCTGATTATATCCCGTAGCCTGTAACACAGTCGTGTTAGCTCTAACTTCCTCAGCAACTGGTCAGTATGCTGCCAGAAAGCCTTGTCAGCATCTCCTTTAACGTATGTCCAAGAAACACTGGTTTGACACAAAGTATTCTATGGAGTTTTTATGGCATTTCTACCATCAGACTAGTGACGTGTTAGTTTAACAAGCGTCTTAAATCATTAAACTTTAATCGAAAATCGTGAATAGGAACAGTGAGTATTTTCAAGTCGTTGTTGTTGAGCAACAAAGTCACTATTATCATTATGTAACGACGCTGGATGTTTGACTCACGACGCCAGGACGGTACAGCCCACAGCAGTGGCCGTCTGCTCCATGTCGTGCCGTAAGAACCGGCCCCACTCCGTCAGCATGTGTGTGTACTCCGGGTCATCCTCTGTCTCAGAACTGGTCAGCAGCTGGGGAATAGTACGAGTACTCATTACGCAAAAGTACCGAAGTAACGGGTTCCTTTTTCAGCACTCTATGCTACAGATGCTGTTTCTGGTGCACGAGATGGGTGTTGTCCCTAGTGCTGAAAATGCTAAAGATGCTATTTCTAGTGGAATGGGTGCTGTCCCTAGTGCTGAGCATGCTATCCTCATGATACAAATGCTGTCTTTAATGACAAGGGTGCTGTCCCTAGTGCTGAACATGTTATCCTCGGTGTACAGAGGTGAGGCGGCTTTCGTCCTAGATCTCCAGTGCCGACGTTACGTCAACACTGGGTGTCCAGTGCTAGCGGCTTCAGCCTTGGAAACTCCGAATCGGCAATGGAAACCGAGCTAGAGCTGAGACTCATTATAGTTATGATTTTCTAGGAAATCTACTAGGAGATTATAGTACTGTTGGCAATGCTGAGCGACACAAACTGATGTTTCCCGAAAACACACTTTCTGCAAACTTTCAGATTCTCATAATAGTTACACAATTCAAAGCCAAAAAAGGATTCCTTTATATTATACTTGCACAAACAAAGCTGCACGTACCACACTAGAAACTTGGCGGGGACTGGGAAGAGGAAACCCGTTGTATTCCGATTTCTCCCATCCAATCGGTTCGTTCCACCCATCGTCATACTTCGGCAACATAAAGCGTTTGAACGGCCGTAGCGCAGCGCCCCAGTGCGGATTGTCGATGTTATTGCAGCTGCCGTCGGCTGTGCGATACTTGTAGATGGAACAGTTCGCTGCGACGGCAAGCTGTTCACAACCCGACATGTCGGCGATTATGTCTCTCTGGGCGGGGGAGATAGCTTTTCTTATGTCGCACATGTCTGCAAGAGAAGCCGTTTGATATGCTTATCGAAAGTTTATTGATATGAAAGTTTATTGCAAATCCATGCCCTAGGGCTAATTGCAAGTACATGATAAAATAATAAACACTTAGTCTAGTAAAACTTAATAACTAGTGACTGCACATACTTCACTTCTAAAATAAAGTCTTCTGCAAAGAGATACAAGGTCTTATAGCACGAAGGCTGACCTCCAGCGGCGACCCAGTCCTTGTTGTGTTCCCGGACCCGTTCCAGGACCAGCTGCATGGTCCCCTCCACGATCGCCGCGGCACGAGCCTCCTTCCGCGCCTCAGGGCTCATGTGGTGCAGCCGCTCCAGGAACTCAAACGGCGTTCTTATCCTTCATAAACACAAACACAAAAACAAACACAAACAAACAAACAATAATAATGATAGATAAACGACAGATTATTCCGAATGATTGTCGTTTTCTTTGAGTTTTAACACGGCCGTTCCAAAGCAACGTTTAAGTTATTCTCCTTACATTGTTGTTACCTTTATAAATTTCAAGTTTGATTTTTGTGACATGTGTAGCTAGACTACACTCACCATTCGTTTCATATTTTACGGCTGACACACTTCAAATAAAGCGAGAAATACCTGTCCTCATCATGGTGGAGTTTTTCTGTGTTTGTTATGCTGCTGTCCACTTGTCTTATTGTCTCCTGTAAGGAGGACGCGACAAACACGTCTCCCGGGTACCGCTGCTCGTGTGTCCTGCTGTCTTCTCCCCAATCATCCTCCGACACTGGTAAAACACAGGCAGACACAGGTACGATATGTCAGATACTGATTTCAATCTAAACAGTGATAAGGTATGATATAGATCTATTCCGTAGAGATAGTTGTAGCAATGCTGACTTATACGTACAGCTGCACATATACAGGTCTGCTAATATGATAATTTCAAGTAAATTTTAAGAGGAGACAATTTATATAGTCTGGGCAAATAGGGAAAAACATTAAAGCAGACCGTATACGTCAGACCGTATACGTAGAACTCCATGTTAGCATATAGTGTTAAATCACCACATTCTGTGCACCACATTGCACTTTTGAAATTAGCCCCCGGGCATGAACTTGCATTCTTGCAATAAAGAACTCATTTAAGAATGTTTTAATCTTAGAGACTACATATTGCCGCTGACACTTTATGTATTCATATTCTGAACGTAGGATGACTTTATTATGTATGTATTTAGTTCGATCTTAGTTGTATTAAATCATACGAAAGTCCCTCTTTTGAGTCAATAAATAATCTATGAAATATAGCTTTACATCTTTTCGAATGGCCATTCTGTGTGTATACGATACTTCGTCAATAAGAGAGATGTCGAACAACATGCTAGTGTTTTGGTAAACGTGTTACATTGTGCACACGTACTCGTATAGAACGGAAGGCCATGTATACAGAAGATTTTTTCAAACGCTTACGTATGAACTCTTCGCTTGGCTGCTGTTCCGAACTCTGCTCAGTGGGAATGAGTGCCGCACATGTGACTTCACCAAACAGACTGTACCAGCCTGTATGAATAGGTTGATATAAAAACATGCTTGTATTGATAGTTATGGAGGCTCGCTATGCGACAACCTCCAACATGTTTACAATACAAAATATTTCCTGCTCCGTTTGAAACCCGCCATGCATGAAGCAAAAACAATCTGTACCCAACCTGTGCTGATGTATTTTAGATAACTTCGACAAAATGTTAGTTCAATAAAAACTAGACTCGTGATGACTTATTATCATCATTTTGTCAACCTCTTACAAGTAATTAACGCCTATCTGTGCGTGACTAGCAGTCTAAAACGCCATCGAAATCTGTTTATGTATCTCCGCGTCTACACTTGGATTAAATAGTAGTAGTTGGTTCAACTAATCCCCAGTTACGCCAAAAAAACAGTTACTCAAGCAACCGTTGGATATGATTTTCAGGTAGCATCCACTACCTTTCGTCATTGATACTAGAGAGTTGTCAGAACATCAGATTTATAAGTACTGTTTACTATGCAAATAATTGAAGACGCATTTTTTTGAAAATCCCAAAGGAAACAAAAGTCAGACAAGTCAAAGTCTCTCACCTGTAAGTACCAGCAGTATACAGAGTCTCATCGCTTCACAGGTCGGTGGGTCAACTGACATCAGTCACCAGGATGGACTGTGGAGAGATACTAGTAGTCATAAGGCGTCAATGTCAACATCTATCAACCCCCTTCCACTAGACGGGGACCGCTGAGCGACCGTTGAGCGACCAAAAGTGAATTTTCGTAAATCTTGATTTCAAAATTGGAATATGAAGCATAATATACAAGTTATTCAATTAAACGACATTCAATTACAAAATACACAAAAGACAACCAAACTCTTACCACTAAAATCGCCTTTAAAATCTTTGTTCTATGCATTTTATTGAGCGACTTGTAAAATTTTTAGTCGCCCGTCGGCAAGGTAATTTTACTTTTATATAGCTTTAATGTTTATGTTATATCGAGGAATGGTTTGTATTTTTGAATCATCGATTTATTGAATGAAGCTACATTTTATGATAAACATTCCTAATAATCCACATCTTCCAAACTTCCCAGCCAAGATCCGTACAAGCAAGGGCAAGGCTTCTGACGTCATGACGCCACGACGTCGCCAAAACTTAGCGCTATCCATAGCGCTATCTATATAAACAGAAAATAATCCTCTGACATGTTACCTCTGTAAACCCGGACATATCTACGCAGTCATAGAACGTATGTAAATATTGCTTCATCCAAATGTAGCGACGTGTAAGTGCATTGAATCCCACCGCCGACTGACTTTAATGGGGGTTGAAATCCTTTGACAATATCACAATACGCGTGCAAACGACCGGGGATTCAACCGGTCGTAAATTGAGCAAAGGTTTCAAATCTCCATTTTCCCCTGATCTTGACGCACACACTACATTCAGTAGTGTGGTTACTCCAGACACCCTGAGACCCAACATACGACCTCACCATTACAGGGACCATAGCAACTTACTTAGGTTCACATCAGGGCAGCAGCAATAAATTGCATTGACGTCAGGAAAAGAATGTCGATGATCAGGACGAAAGTAGTCAATCACAGCAAAGCCAGGACAAGCAAAGAGCACTTAAGTTGCACCCCCCCCCCCCCATACTCCTCTCCACTTCTGGCGAGGTAAAATAAAATGTGGAGTGAGGATAACCTCCAAGCAGAGGTTAGAACGTAAAATCGTAGGTTTCTGGCTGGGTCTGGGGTTAGGGGAAGCGGTCAGAGCTTCAGTCCAGTCAGGAACCGTCAAAATTGGTCACCAAAGATCTGGTTGGAGGTGACAGTTTTCTTAGTCCTTCATCTGCTCAGTCAAAATACGCCACGCTTTAGACCTCAACATCTGCTTGGAAATCAGAGTTAGGGTGGGTGTTTCTTGTTTGTGTAACATCCACGTCCCTCTGTTTCAACTCCCCAAATCTAGTGAACTCTCAAGTGAAGAAGTACTCTACAAATTGAGACGAACGTGTTGTAAAAAGAGAGAAAATCTTACCGGACTACAGAAGTGGCTGTATCCATGGGCGCCTGGTGCCGGACTTTCGGCGGGATGCCGCTTTGGTGTCTACTGTCAGCCTTCTAAAGCTTAAAACGCAGATCCGGCTTTGTCGATTTGACATTTGCAACTTAACGATTTATTCTACGTTGTGGTGCATTCTGCTGTACACAGTATATAGATCTCAATACCTTCGTCAAAATTATCATATTTTCAGGAGAGTTTGTTTCTTGAGGATTTTTAAGGAACGTTCCACGTCTGGAGACGATTGGAGAAACCTTAGATACAGTAAAAGTAGAAATGCAGCTTTTCCGTGACAAAATGGGATCACTCTTTTGTAATTATTTGGGCACCAAACTGGTCAATCGAAGCAGATACACCTGTAATGTCTGCAACGAGATGACAGTGTAGACATTGTCCCAAAGAGTCATTGCACTTAATGCTTTTAACGACTCTGCTACATGCAATTATAGAGGGAGAGACAGTTATATAATGTAGTAAGCACTATGCAGACTTGAATATAGTGCCAAATGACGTCTGTTATAGCATAAAGTGCTTGAAAGCACTTTTGTTCAGCGTAGTCTGGCACTTCAAAAGATAAAGTATTGAGTGAGTAACACTGGTAGTGTCTGTGTAGTGACGCAGAAGCATCACCCAGAATACAAAATGTCTGGAATATTGTATAACCGCGTGAATATCCCTGCTAGGGAACAGGACTTTTATTTTTTGTGGTGAAAAGAAAGTTGGGAAAAGTAAAACAGACAACACTGTGAGAATAGTGCTTCTTGTATTATCATATTTCAACTTTTCAACTTCTTTACACAATGAGGAACTTTTAAATCACATGATCACTGTACATAATTACAAAGTGTTTTAAACAACAAGAACCACATAACTACTGATAACATCCATTGAAAATAGACTCGTACCATCTCTCTTTTTTGTATTTTCTGTTTCAAAACAGCACAAACTGTAATATACAAAACACCTGAGTTGGTCACAATAATATACAAGTTCTGAGGACTGCTCCTGGTAGGCATCCTGAGGTGTGTGTAGTTGTAAAGGCAGTGCGTGTGAAGACATCTAAAACTCACAAAAGCTTCACACCACGACACTTAGCCTCTACACATTTCTGCATCAGATTAAACATTGCATCACTAAAATGATAGGAAAGTGGCTTTTATAAACATTTATCTTTCCATAGCTTGTTACTGACTGTTATGGCTCTACCATACATCTACAACGTTAGATTGCCATACCCAGCTATTTCAAATTACAAAACACAGTTTAAGCTAAATCCAACTAACAAGTGTTAATAATGTAAGGACTATACATAAATATCCTTCGTTTGAAAGTTCTTGCTACAAAGCTGCATCATCGAGCGGTTTAGGTTATGGCACATAGCTCACCACTAGACAGGCAGTCGTCACTTTACGTTGTTAAAGATCTAACAGATAGAAAATGAGTTCTTATTTACACATTTGGGGTCGCTGCAAGGCTAATTAAACACAGTATTGCCTAATTAACTTCCTTTCATCATCCAAGCTTTGAGTTTAATTTATAGTTCTTGATCTTTAACTTTCCCTAATAAATTGGCTGTCAGCGAGGTATATTGTATCGGTAGAGTGGATTTGATTGTTTGCTGAGAATCAAAACTGTACAAATTTGTACAAATTCCGGTTGGAAGTATGTTATTTCATTGGTACCAAATTCCGAGTGAATGATTCTGTAGTCTTGAGCCCTGTCTTTTATCTTTCATTTTATCAAGGAGCAAAATAAATAAATGTCACATCCTGTTTCTTTATGTGAACATTTTGTCAGCAAAAACATTTACATTGTATCTGTTGATATACAAAATGTACTGGAGAATGGGAGCTGCAAACGGTTATCTCAAATGCTCATGGGAAACTTCTTTCAAAAGATGATACTTGTAATAACCCCCTCCCACAAACACACACATACACAAAAGTACAGCATCTTTAAAAATTTCAAACTACTTTTTCTTCAACAGCACACGAGTGTACTTTTAGTTAACTTAAAGAGCTTTTTAGCTGGGAATTCTGAAAATATACAATACACTATAAGGATATAGTGTTAACCATCCATAGACCAAAAACCATGTACCAGTTCATGGTACTTTATGCAGGGTGCTTACTAGTATATATTTCCTTCTAACCCTTTCAGGGTTATCTCCAAATATATGGCTCATGTGGCTCCTCGAGCCCAGAAAGTTTCAAAAGGGCACATCAGGACTATATTATTTACAATAGTATAAAAGGAGCCCCAAAATTAACTTTTCTTCCAGCAAATAACAATTGTTTACCCCCTCAAGTACAATAAATGTAATCCAATAAATAAGGAGGTAGGATTGTCACAAGGACATTCATGTACATATAAAATAGGTGAGCTCCAATTCTTATTGTGCTTTGAATCTCCTTCAAATAAACAGATAAATATCATACAAATACATAAGAACACGGATGAAAACAGTAAAAAAAAAACAAAAAAAAAAAACAAAAAAAAGCTCAACAATATTTTCCTTTTGTTACATGTATGTACTTATACTGCGTACCATAACATACCCTCTACTGTATTGTCTTCACCCGACCTGTGAGGTAATCCCCTACACAATGCCAACTTGGGGAGTTATTTCTAGATCTAGTCTTTACTCTGTATTCCACTAATTCTCAGTCCAGATCATTCTGGGAAGGAAAGCACACACGCCTTCCACCAAAAAAAGTGTAATCTGTTTGAACACGATGTGATAGTTATCAATTAATCAACTGAACTTCAAACCCACTGTATCTACTAGTATTTCATTCGACAGTTAAGAGAAAGATCTAGAAATGACACCACAACTCTGGCAAGTATGTTATATAATATATATATATATATAATCTCTGTCGATGAAGGTTAGACATCCAGGTAATAAGATTTGCCAAAAAACAGTTACTCAAGCAACTGGATATGATTTTGGGGAGATGGTCAGACACTTCAGGTAGCATTCACTACCTTTCTTCAGTGAACTTTCGTTTCCTTTTGGACTTCCAAAAAATTATCTTCACTTATTTCCATACCAATCAATAATTCTTGCTTATAAGCCTGCATTTCTCCTCTGGTCTCTTAGTGTCACTGACGAAGGTAGTGGATGCTAGCTGAAACGTCTGACTTTTCTAAAATTATATTCAGTTGCTTGAGTGACTGTTTGTTGCTTGTTGCCTTATATAATCTCTGATTTTTTGGCGACAGTGGATTGCACCCCAGCTGAGTGTGTGTTAGACTGACGTGGAACCCGGCTCGGGTTTTCTGCCGTTCTGTGTGTGGTAACTGTTACAGTCGTACACTGGTAACCTGTTTGGCAGCGGTCGGTGTGGGATGGGATGTCTGGGGGGTACGGGGGAGCTGTTGGGGTCGCTTTTCTGTCTTTTGGGACCTAAAGAAAAAGACAATGAACAACGTCATGTTACGTTACCAATAAAATACATTTAATTTATCATTATGTCATAATTACTACGTTGTACCTATATCAGCTACTGTTTGTAAAATATGTACATGTACATGTACAATCTGTAAATGTATGAGGGAAAATTTTTCATGTTCTACTTATTGTATAATATAAGTCAGGTATTTTGTTGTTTCATAGCCATGCTTTATGCCTTTCCAGTTGAGGTTGGTTGGAAAGAGAAAAGAAACATCCGTGATTACTAATGTTCCACCACTGTAAACATTAGCTTTGCCTATGTTAGTGTGAATACACCACTAATGTAACATAACTCATTACCTGTGTGCGTGTGAATGTACCAGAGCGTTGCTGTCAGGGCTATGCCGATAACGAAAGCGGCAAAAGCAATGCCCACGACAGTCCCTGCCTCCAGGCCTTGGATCACAACTAGACAATAGAAAAAAAAACAATGAATTAGAACACATCAAAAGTTTACTTGCCAAATCATGCATAGAGCATTCGGACCAGTCCAAAGACCACTGCAATCCATAGATCAGTGGGTACGAAAGCATGAAGTTACATTCCAAATATTAAGTTTAACATGCACAAGTATATTAATCATATTCATCAAATCTTGAAAGTCATGTCTGGTACTCACTCTGAGGACCCTCTTGTCTGGAGTTGATTTTTGATTCCTCTGCTTTTCCTGTGAGAAAATTGTGTATGATTTAATTAATGTCTAAGACTTGGTCACATGAAACACACTGTCACTGACAGGGGGTGCCTGACTATACTGAAAGGCTGGGATAGAACGTTTGGTACAAACAGTTCTAGGATATAAATCAAAGAATTCTCAGTATGTATTTCAATCAAAAAATGAATGGTGCCAAGTGTCGATTCCATGCTGTGATTCCATGCAGCCCACCACTAACTCTCAGGCCATGTAGAGGGACAAACCAAGCCCCATTCCCAATCCCACTGTAAGTACATGATTGTGCAGCCTACCTTTGTGATCTGGCTCCTCAGTGCCCACACTCCCACTGATGATAAACGGCCCCACAAAGCGGTGCTGTGAGTACACGCTGCTCTTCGCTGCCCTGTGCTGGCCTGATGCTTGCTTCCTCAGGCAGAAGTCATTCAGGTCCACACACTGGAACGTGAGGAAAGTTCAGTGATTCAACAACATTATCATCAACACTTATCAAAGCATCTGTTTTACACATAAGCTTTGCAGTTCTAATGCAGAAAATAAACCTGTAATTTGTTATAAAAAGAAATATGCGACAAAGAAATTATTTCCATCCAAGCTTGCACGATTATTTTGCAAGAGCCTAACATTAGTAGATAACAGGTGTCACACACGTAAACATGATCCCATTCTTGGTATCTTTTGTTGTGAAATGTTTGACTGTGATTTGGGGTTATAAACATATTATGTACCTTTTTGTCTTGGAGAGAAGTGCTAGACCATCTTGTTCCTTGTAAAACTAACTGTTTTCCCTACCTGTTCAATGTCGTCAGGTACAGAGCTGTCCCCCTCGCTGCACACCGTCAGCTGACAGTGCAGGAACACAAACGGCATGACGGTGTTCTTGGGGAGGAAGCTGAAGCGCTGTTTCTTCTGGCTGGACATGCTGTCTGTGTCCAGCGGTGTGATGGCCAGGTACTGCACACTGTTACTGGTCACTGGGCATCTGGGGTGGATAAACATACATAACATTTTAAATTTACACTTCATTTTTCCATTTCTACTGAGGAAGACCGGAGTGACTGGTTGAAAGCTCTAGGTGAGAGAACTTTATTGTGTTGGATCTAAAGTTTTAACTTTAATTTTTCCATGTCGTTTACTATGTTGTGAAAGTACCATCTTATATACTAGTAATGATTACCTATTTTTCACATTAGTCATTATTTTGCAAACTTATGGCGAGATGTCAGTTTGTTTTTTATCACAATTTCTTCCTGACAAACTTTTTTTCTTCCAAAAGATTAAATGAAATGTTTCATTCAATTGCTTTAGTGTAATGTAGTGTAACTTTTCCTAGACGGCCTATCATGTGCCATGTCAGTTCCAGACAATACAATCAAACTTGCCGAAAGTTCTTGATTGTTTGCTCCTTCAGAAGTGTAATTTGACATGACGAGTAATTGCTCTTCCGGGAAAAGTTATGTTATTGTTGTTGTTGTGGCTACTAGTATTTTTCCATTTGTTTGTATTGGCTACAGAAACAATTTCATTACCGTATGTCTCAAGGATTTCCTATTGAGACATAACAAATGGGAAGAGGGATAATTTTAGTCAGTAATGGCTGACTCTACCACAGGTATTGATCGACTCTAAGTGGACTCAGAAAAAAACTCTTACCCGTCTTCTATGAGGTTGTAGAGAGGTGGACTGTCTTGTAGAGAGGAGTCAGACATGTAGCAGTGTTCCACCTTCAGTGCCAGGCCTTCATCTGGACAATACACCAAGACAAAAAAAAACATGACATCAAGCGTTAAAATAGCAGAAGAGCCAATGGAAAGAATGTGTCAAAAAATACATGCTGGATAAAGAATAAAAGCTTCATTGCAATACTATACATCATATTTTAGTTTCCCTTATTGATACGTAAATAAAAACAGGATTTTCAATCCCAAACTTCATACACAAATCAACTAACACTACATCGACTACACTATCTCAGTCACTTGCTACAAGTAAGTAGCGGATGCTTTGCTTGAAACGTCTGACATTTCATTTCAAAACCTATCAACTTGCTTGAGTAACAATTTCCTTGAGGACTGTGCTATCAACCCCTGGTACTCAACAAAAGTCCTTTTTTGTATAGCAACCTACCGGTCATTGACTCAGGGGTTTTTCTTAACCAGGGGAATAAGGGTGCTACTCCCTCATGTAACCAGCCAGCTCCCTCATACCAACTTTCAGATTCAACCCTAAGTGGCTACTTTCACAGCATTAATTTTAGTCTTTTTCCAGTAAGGATGAAAAAACAATACAATAGTACATTCTAGCATTACAAACTGTGTAAAAAAAAATCCTTCACTCCTTCACTTGCTTCACTCCCTCCTAATGCTTGCAATCTGTTCCCTCATGCTAGATTTTTCTAGAAAAAGCCTGTTGACCTAACTATGTGTATTCTCCCTGGTACTTTATCCTCAGTGACAAACCTGTAGCGACTTGAATGTCGACGAATATTCTCTCATCAGTCTCCTTCACCATAGGGAACTCTGCCTCAGGTCTCATGTAGAGGGACGTCTTGTAAATCTCCATGTGGAAGGACACGGGGTCATCGCTGCCTGCTGTAGGTACAGCCTGGAGAAGTAGTTAGGAAAACGCTTTTAGTGACAGACTGTCAGGAATTGTCGGGAGCTTGGCCAAAAAAGTTTTCCCAGTTTTCACTAAAACCCGTCTGGAAGTCAGACTATTGCAAGGGGAATTATACAGGCTAGCTCCTCGGCTCTGAAAACTTTACCATAAACACCCCATCCGATAGACTCTCAGTAACGAGAGATAAATTAGACCCCCAGGTGCTAACTCTGGGATCGGGGCTTGTGACTTCCCCCAGCCGAAGGGAGTATTGTGTCGAGCTGGGGTCTGGCAACCAGGCTATGGAAAAAAGTGTGTATGATGCAAGACTTAGTGAAGAATTGCTGGATATCAATTTTGAAGTACAGTGTATTGTTGAACACTAGCTGTTGATTGATCATTCCCGCATGAAAACACCAGATTTTGAATGCCGGTAACTCTTTTCACCAGACCTAGACTATGTTCAGACAACCTGGGTTTGTGAACCTGAATGAACCACTCCTGACTCCTGAGAAGTGCGACAGACAGACCCCACATGTAGCTCTACTGCAGGTGGGGCGTCCCAGTGAGCTTCTGTTCTTTGGAGTCCTGTTCCTTTCTGACCTTGTCATCCAAAATTTCACACATTTTCAGCATCTGGTCAGCTGGCCACACAGCTTTGTTGAAAATGTCTCTGTATTACATTGGTGAAGGTTAGACATCCAGGAAAAAAAACCTGCTGAATTTGAGAGTTAACCAATGGCACTGACATAAAAAAGGGTATACATAGTGGATGCTACCTGTAAACATCTGACTGTTCAAAAATCATATCCAGTCGCTTCACTGTTGTTTTTTTTTTTCTATCTCTGTATCGTGTAATAAGAATTGACAACAAAAACCTACCTCCAGAATGGAACTATCCATGTTGTCCTCTGTCAGACCGACTGCTGGGTAGTCACACTCGAAGTTTGCTGTGACAGACGGGACCTCTACCTCCATGTCCTCAGCATCAGGACCATCGGCTGAGCCAAAATCTCCACTTCCCTCCTGTTGTACCTCTACCATGCCTGACAACACCACCTGTAGTAGATGGGACAAAGGAATAAACATTTATACCATAACAGTACATTATCTTGCAATCCACTTCAATGATTGCATCAGCTTCATTTTCACAGCACTAAATGCATCCTAGATACACCTGCCATGTATCTCTGTGTAAAATCTTTTGCCCGGGTACCCACTGTACTTACAGTGATGGGTCCTTTGTCTCCAAGGTGATCAAATTAGTGATGTATTTTGGTTTAATTGGATGATAACATGAGTGATTAGGTTTGCACATCTATAGATATCTTCCACCATGGCAATCTAAAATGTAAGTCAGTGAAATGAGTGTGTATTAGGGGCTAAGATATTGTTATTTGTCCACCAATTATGATCATTGTTTGGTTTTAGATTGGTTAATTTTTGATTGTGAACAGTGCAAGGGGTCATGCATGGATCTTTTCTTCAAGTTGGTAATGGTTAAATGCATTCTTGTTCCATCTAGCTTTACATTGTTGGTTTTATCCACATTCACAACATTTAGGTTGCATCATTACCATTTACTGTTGCTTTTACATGAATTTTGTAAAATCAAACATTAGTGAAAAACTGACAACCAGTCTGGTAATTCTGCATCATCACAACCACAATTTCAGAGGAAAAATTTGTCTGTTGCACATCCTAGAGAAAATTAATTTCTCTAATGACAAGAAATTAACCTTCTCCAGTTCATATAACAATAATTGGATTGACCAGTAATTGTCTGCTGAGATACAAAATGTACTTCCCTTCTCAAACAACATATTGTACTGTACTGTACAGTCACTGCAAATTATACAACACACCATGTATATATGTATTGCTCTATATCATACATAATATATCTCAATCATTCTTTCCCCTTTAATGTAATTTCCCCTCTTGCATGGCGGAAATTGCTTTGGGCAATAAAATCAATTATGCCTGGGATGCTGGTGGCAGACTAATAATAAAAGGAAACTTTTCTATGTAATTGCGACACGATGTGCAAAAAGATGAGATAACATCATATTGATTTCATGGTTACTGTAGCTGTGTGTATGTGTGGGCAAGGGGAATCGATATGTTGTTACTGATCAAACTGATAAATACAGAGTATACAGTCATAATGATGATACATAGTGTGCATCATTTAGTCTTACAAATGTATTTAGGGACTTGGCACTGTTTTTTGGCCTGGTAGAGTAGTTATGTTGAACTTCTAGAACTGTAAACAATCTCCTACGTAACTGACCTAAATGACACATGCAGATTTGTTTGAACCAGGAAATATTTTCCTATCACCCATACATGTACTTATACTATGCTATACTATATCCAGTGGGTGTCACTGGAAGACAGACAAAAAGATGTCCAGACTATGCATGATGTACAAAATAATAATTTTGTACATCATACAAATAATACAACACCTACTGTTCCTTGTGACAAAGCACATTCCACTATAATTCCAATAACTCCAAAACGTTGTAATTGTCATTGATGTGGTAATCAATGACACCAGTACAACCAAGCACTAAAGGGAATCTTTCTAATTGTGATTGATTTTATCACTATCGACAACTAAAATGCAACTAAATGAAAAAAACGATGTGAGCACCAAGGCAGAATTTTACCCTGATGATACTGAAACTGTGGAGCTTACAACTGAAATTTAGTGGCCAAAAATTCAAGGTTATAGTGTATTAATTCTTAGTGATAAAATTAATGTAAATCTGTAATGATACCCTATTCCGTCTAGTCTAGACCCTGTCCTATCCCTACCCCTCCTCTCCTTGACTCCACTCATGACCTCCCATCCTCTAAGATCAAGGACGGCAGTTTCAAATGGAGGAAGTAATTTACGCATAAAGCAAAGGGGGAGAACACAGCCTTCCTTGTAGTGGGGGTTGTGTAATCTTTGTTATTCAAGATATGCTTCAAAGGCATTTCCTATTTGGATAGCTTTCATCCAAAGCATACTTCAGTACACATGATCTTCCCATTGTGTGTGCAAATCAAGGACGTTCAAGTCAGGACAAATTTGCCGTCCTATAGCCAACCAACGCCTCCGGCAAAATATTTGGTTGCCTCTTTGGCTAGTCCTATTTCTATTCTTTTACAGTGCCTGAAAAAACAGGAAGAGGAAATACAGAAATGTCCTACAATCTTAATATTAACCAAACTACCTTTAGGAACATGCTTGTGGTAACCTTAGACTATGACCCCAAATCATATTGCTACAAGAAAATACTTAATATGGTTAATGACATGCCAAACTTTCTGCCATGTGGTTTCCACAAATGCATGGTACAGGAGCGTTTTGTCATGTTCTCAGCAACTTTTGCAATAACAGCCTTCTTTAATGATGACATATAACTATGTGATAACCTGGGTCATAATATCACATATATCACTGACTGCACTCCACCCCACCATGACCTGGCCTTGTACATGTACGGTCTAAAATTGTTTTGACTTGTAGTTTGATATCTATCAATTGGTCTTGAATTTTCAGTTACTGCACAATGCAGTGTGTCATCATCAGAATACTGTATAATACTGTATAATACTGCAGCTGTTTTGAAATCACTTGGCTTGTATCAGGTTCCATAATTTACTATATTGAGACACTATCATAGGAAATGTTTTTCTCTACGCTGCCATTTTTAGCCTAAAAGCATGTCTTTTGACAATAAACATTTCTGAAACAGTATCGTATATACAAAAACATAGCGATTATAAGATTTTTTTCAGTCCAATTTTAGACATGATTCTAGGCATCCACCCTCCTCAAACATATGTTTAAATTCAAATATCTTCCTCTCTGTTTGAAAGTCTAATCTTCATCTACTCTGTTCAGTGGAGGTCTTCTTCTAGAAATAAACAAGCATGATAAAGTGTGAGGTATCATTTCAATGCCAGGCTGCTGAAGAACAACTTACCACAACAAGATTGTGGTGTTATTACAAGGACAACACAGAGACAAACAAGTTAAGAAAACCACTCAGACATCAATACTTGGTCAGATAGAATCAGTTACATATGATAGTTTTCCTGTATCAAATTTACATACTTGTGGTTAGAACCTAGCTGCAGTTTGAAATATCAGCAATCGATTTGAAATATAAGACTGCTGGAAACTCTCATGCCTTATAACTCTAACAATTAGGCACTGACGGAACCAAAATAGTGATATGAATATATTTTTGCACTTTTGATTATGTGATGGTACACATATCACAATGCTGTTTCTCAAGTTTAATCTAATAGATGTATCAATCTTGCATGCACAAAAGCTAATTTTGACAACCCTTTTAGGTTTTCAATACAGGAATCAGTGAGATTTTAGGATCGGGCATAGTGAAATTTGTCTAATAATGGTTAAAGACAGAAATGCCTGTAAAAAAACAACAGGTTTACTTTCATATACATGTACATGATTGTGTATACAACTTGTTATTCCTCCCTAGGTTAATGTAATCTTTCCCACCAGTACTTCTAACGGACTGGAAGGACAACAGCCAAGGACAAATGTAGGAAATGAAGGATTGAGTCCTTCAGCTTCTTCCTGTATGCAGGTTTCCTACCGCCATGCACACTATGTGTTTTCATAGTTACACACCTCTGGGGGTTCTGCTTATGCATAGTATGAGCACACACACTTTGTTTTAATCACTTCCTTTCTGTGTGATACTGGAGTGCACAGAAAAACATGACTGGCCTTGAAAAGATGCCAATGTTTTGAAAGGAGGAAGCACTAAACATTGAACTGATCAGCCCAGTCTTGTGAATTCTTGTTTTATTCTGAATTATTGTAAATTCTTGCTGATTCCATACATATTCCTCAGTCACGTATTCCCAACCTGCTGTGAGACCATTTTGACCTTTCTGTCAATCTGTGGTTACACTATTTCCCCCTCACTTCCTTTGATATACTATTACTACTATATGCTCTACTATATTCAACAATAACTACTGGTGCACTAGCCAAGTGAACAGAGACAAAAAACCTCCATACACTGACAGAGGTGACAAGTGTCTTCCATCCTAAGTTCATGCCACATTCTTTACAGATTAAAGGGTATATTCGTTGAAGTAAAGTGAGACGTTGGGGATTTGAGAGCCCAGTCGCCCTGGATTACCACCTTCCACAGCTTTACCCGCAGCAGGATTATGAAGGGTAATTTCATTTCAAAACCTACATAATACAAGGGTTTGTCACAGTGTTCTTACCAGCGTCCATCATTCCACGGAATTTTGCCGTGATAAGGTTCTTCCAATTCTAAGTCTACATCAAAGTAAAGACACCCACTGGCAGATGGTAGTTACAGTACTTGTTAAAAATCTTCTCCAAAATACAACACTTCTGATCCACCAAAAGCAAAATGCTTGGATCCTTTTCAAAATCAACCTACAGTATGGTAGTGGTATAGCTCAAGTCATTGTGTGGTGTCAGGTGGCAGTGTTGGGTAACTTGGACGGAGATCAGGATCTGTCAGCTTACTGAGCTAGCTAATAACGTATGGGCAGGGGACTTCCTGCCAATGTCTATGTAACCAGCCATTAACATTCAACTCCTAATTCAAACACAGCAGGCTGGGTCAGGGGTGGCTGTGGCATTCTTACACTGGAGGGACATGTCTGCATGTAACATGATGTGCAAATCAGTGTCTAACACTGTAAAGGGCAGGGTTTTACTTTGGGGCTCTGTTTAAAGGGCCCAGCTGGCACAGTCCTCAGAACAGGCTTGTGTACTTTTCTGGGAACCTTTCGTCTGAATGGTTTTACAAGTACAGAAATATATTTCATGTCTACGATCAAGACAAAAGGCCATGAAAATGTAATGCTAACAAAGAAAAGGACTGCAGTTCAAAAGGAAACTGCTAAGAGACCCTAAATCTAGTTCAGACATGTAGGTATTGCTGAAAAAAAAATAGAAATGGACTTAAACTTATCTCCAACTTTTTTTATGTCCTGACAATCTTGACAACAGCTGGTACTTTAAAATAGTCAGCTGTTAGTCGTTCATTATCTTTCGGTCAGGTTTTTTCATCAAATGCCAATTAATAGGTTACATGTACATTGTACACCACAAGGGCAAGGGCAGGTTTCCTTTGTCTGTGTTATGTCACTGGGTCTTGACATTGTCAATCTCACAAGGGTCGTACCAGAGGAACTTTAGTTGGATAGCCTCATAACTACTTATCCAGATGGGGGACATTATACAATGTTTACCATTTCATTACACGTGTGCTTAGAGAAAGGATTTCAAACATTTATAGAGCCTGAGAAAACAGGTCGAAGTGGTTTAAGGGCCAATCCAGGCTTATCCAGCCCATTGATCCTCGAGTCAAATTAAGGTTTAGTGGTCTTGACACCAAGGCCCAATATTGACATCAAGTAATATGCCAATATTGGAGAAAGCTGCTTCCAGATTTGGGGTGCATGTGGCATGACCATTTTTGTATTGGGTTATCCTGGTAGAAGGTGGTAGACTTAGTGTGACTGAATAATACTTATTTGAAGTAGTACTGAGGTAAGAGGTACTGAAGAAAGTGGCAAACTTGGTGTTCATGTGTCGTAGTCATTCATTGGTTACTGTGTGCATGTGTCGCGACGGTTCATTGGTGTGACTTACAGTGTTGAAGAATGTAACAGACTTGGTATGGGTGTGTTGGGACTGCTGATTGGTTACTTACCGTGTTGAAGAATGTAGCAGAATTGGTGTGCATGTATCGTAACCATTCATTGGTTACTTACCGTGTTGAAGAAGGTGGCAGTTTTGGTGTGCATGTGTCGGGACTGTTCATTGGTTGGCAGACTTGGTGTGCATGTGTCGGGACTGTTCATTGGTTACTTACCGTGTTGAAGAATGTGGCAGACTTGGTGTGCATGTGTCGTGACGTAGCGCAGCCCTCCAGCGTGGTGGACAGGATGAAGTGCGTGATGTTGGCACCAGCCGTGCAGTCAGCGTCCTGTAGACTCAGCTGCCCTGCTGTGATACCGTACGGCTGGAACACAAGTGCACAGTCAGTCAGTCAACATGGCACAGACCTCAAACGTATTACATGGCTCTGAGAAATTAGTACAATTGCTGAAAGGAACGTAGAATGTTGATGAACTATAACCAGCCACTAATGTGATGCTGTAAGGCTGGAACACAAGTGCACAGGCAGTCAGTCAACATGGCACAGACCTCAACGGTATTACATGGCTCTGAGATATTAGTACAATTGCTGGAAGGAACATACAATGTTGTCGAAATGCAACCAGCCACTACTGTGATACCGTATGGCTGGAACACAAGTGCACAGGCACTCAATCAACATGGTACAGACCTCAACGGTATTACATGGCTCTGAGAAATTAGTACAATTGCTGAAAGGAACATAGAATGTTGATGAACTATACCCAGCCACTACTGTGATACCGTATGGCTGGAACACAAGTGCACAGGCAGTCAGTCAACATGGTACAGACCTCAACGGTATTACGTGGCTCTGAGAAGCTGGTACAAATGCTGAAAGAGAACATGATGACATACAAGCAGCCATTGCCATATCCTGTGAAGTTGGTATGTTACACCGAGGGGTGGTTATACACAATAATACTGGACATACAAAACAATAATGACAATACGGAGAAGAAAGTGGATTTATCTCTTTGAAATTGAAGATACTTGCAGACATCTTTCATCATCATGTTTTTTTTATGATACCCGATAACTGAATTTTGCTCTTGAATCCCAGAGACTAAAAGTGCTAGTTACAAAGCTACACTTTAATATACCAGTAACTATCATGGCAGCACCTCATTTAACGAGGAATCTCTGTATGGATCAAAATGCACTACCCTTCTGTACCTGGCTGGTAAGGGGACCCCCCCGGGTTCAACATATCTTTCTGTGGACTTCAGGACTGAACGTTAGGCTGTGTTGTGACTCAGGTCCCACCTGTGGCTCAGTAATTGAAGTCCCAGAGGGATAATCCCTTCTACATGATTACATCCTTTGTGCAGCAGCATAATCACCAGGGTGAACAGCTGCATTAATTGGCAAGGTTAAAATAGGCCACTGCCTCTGTACCTATGTGGACAGGATTTCCTGCATAGCCAGTTATTATGTCTCTTACTGACAAGGTACCGTTGGTCTATTGAAATTGCTGGATGAGGTTCTTCTAAGCAATTACACATACATTATGTGCCAGTGGACTAGCCCCCTGCTGTAGTGCTGGCCCATAGAAACGAAGATGGACACCTCCCTGTGTAACTTAATAATAATTATAAGGTGTGGGAAGGATGTTATCTATTAGTAGACAATGTATACATAATCCCATTAGTACATGGTTGATCCACTCAAGCAAATGACCGTAGATACATTTTCAATACATCTGCCCTACATTGGTAGTTTGGTTTTCTTTTCTGGAAATCAAAAATTTCTGATGATTTTTAATGCTGCAACATGTGACAGTGACTTATTTATATCAAGCAACTTCTTTTAATATTTTCTAGACATTTTCAAACATACTGGGGCTGATTCTAAAATGTCTGGATCATTGGAGGATCCCAGATGATACAAACAGCAGTGAAAACAATGTACATCCTTGAACCTTTCCAAGACACCTTAATGTACCCACATTACAGAGGCTTCAAGTGTGCCAAGTTTCAAAACTCCTTGGGATCTTTAAGGACACAAGACCACGCACACACCTGCAAACACGCTTTTCTCCTTGAACCCTTGGAAGACATTGGCAACAGATCCATCTTACATAATCTGCATTTGGGAACGACTTCAAACTTTTCATGACACAAGATCAAACAAACAACTGCAAACACATTTCCATCCTTGAACTCTTATTTAAAACTGGCAGCAAACCAGACTTCCCTTATCTTCATGTGGGACAATGCAACTCCAAAATTAAGTACAATGTAAGGTTAGAAAATTCATTTGATGCCATTACCAGCTGTAACATGTCCACCTTGTATATCAACCACAGCAAGAAGGTTTTAAATGCAATTAACTGTCATTTCACAAACTTAGGAAACTCCTTCCACCTGTATAAAGTCTGGGTGAGACCTGTTGCCAAAAAAGACTCTGTTTGCAAAATGGCTAGTTTCAGATGATTAATGTTACTGTGATCTTTGACATGTATGAGCCATTTTTCACAATGACTGTCATGTGGATGTTATACAATGTAGATATGCTCTGTACAGGGTACAGTCAAACCTGTCCGTCCAACCAACTGTTTAGGGCAACCAACTGTTATCAACAACCACATTCAAACAGTCCCATCTCATTTTACATAGTAAGGACCCCCTTCCAGGCAACCAACTGTATCAGCAGGCACTACGTAATGTGATTCGTGGCCCAAAACTGCTTAAATAAGATGAAAATGTAGATCCAACATCACATAGAGACTGGATGTACTCAAAACATTACTTACACTACAATGAGGATGGTGGCAAAAAAAGGTTACTGTTACTAGTGTTAGTAACACAGTGTACATGTATGAGACATGGTGAAGGTGAAGTAAAACCAGCTGGTATAAGTCCCTTTTGTCTGAGCCTACAGTAACCTTTAACTATCACAAAAACAGTACTAGAAAACCTACGGATGACAACTAAGAAAATGTCATCCAGTCTTCTCTCCAAATAATTGACAGCCACCTTTCGAAAGCAATAAAGTCATCCTAAAATAATGCTGAGTTCAACACACAACGTTGATCATAACTATGCATAGATTGCTGACAGTAAACATGTGAAATGCTATGACATTTTTGTAGGTGCAAGCTGTTCTATTTCAAGCCTCTGTGGACTGAACATGTCTTAAACACTGACTGATGAAAGGTTTTTCACAAAGCTTACAAAATGTTTGCCTTCTGTTTCAGCCAAACTCAGGCAACAAGCCATGTTTTCAGCTCATGTTCAACATCAAGTTCCTTTACCTGTCAAACAGCTCTTGCAGTGTGTTTATGTCCTTGTAACCCAAAATATGCCCCCTAATCAGCCTCCTGCTTGTTATATCATGATAAATCAGAGTGCTGTACAGCTGCCAAACCATAAACACAAAAGATGAACAGCTCAAAGTGCTTTCTAAAAGGTTTCCTTCCAAAAGGTGAGCAATATGGTAAGCACTTTCTTGGCCTGCCTCGATGCATTCACCTTGAATGTTTGACAACAAAATATATCTCACGTCTACAAACATCCTTGTTAAACTGCACTAACAAATCTACTATGCAAATAGGGTCCAACTAATAGTATGGAATATCAGGTTTCTGCATCAGCTTTATCCTAGATGTGATTTAACAAAGATGGGAGGTAACTATGTTAATGGCATTACTACTAAGCGAATTGTACCCTTTGCATGGTCGTTTACATCATCATGTTATACAACCACCATTTGCGTAACATCCTGGAGAACAATTATTATAAAAATAGTTGCAGGCATACAACTACATCTCATGTTATGTAATAAGTACAAAGCATCAGTCAGTCAGTCCTTTTTGAAATCAACCACATGTTGAGTTTGGAGTGTAGTGAGTTCCAGGGAGGATGTGTCATTGACAAGTTGGCTCAGCACTTAGCTGTAAACTCAGCATGTGGCAGCCAGGCTCATGGCATGCTCACCAGGATTTCAGAGTCGTATGTTGTGTGAGAGCAACAAGTTATAAATATGAAGAAAGGGGGACTGTATGGGAAGGTGAACGCCATCCAGGGCTCGAAATTCATTTTTGGGACAAAGTGCCAGTGCACCCAACCTAAAAAATTGGGTGCACAAAAAATATTTTAGGTGCACCATGTAAGATAAGATAAGTAGAATGTCAGCAACAACTATAATTATGTGTAATTTCAAGAAAAGTACTATAACAATGATTGTATTATTTTTTCTGACACTTAGATGTTAAGAATATGCTGTAACTACTACACATTTAACATCTTTACATATTACGTTAAACCTAAAAAAATATTTGGGTGCACCCACACCCAAATTTTGGTGCACTAAGGTGCACATGAATCCAGTATTTCGAGCCCTGCCATCCCTTTTCTTCTGCTACATTTTACCTCCCCACCTGAAGTCAGGTGCCCATTGTACAGTCCTTAGTGGGTGGAGGAAAGTTGTGTGAAGTGCCTTTCCCAAATATGCAACCTCTTGCCAAGAATGCCAAGAATCAAACCCATGATATATTGATCTCATATTCAATAGAGGCTCAGTCATTTAACACCACATCCTAATTCAACAGACTCAAACATTGAGGATTGAGGTGGTCAAAAACTAATTCTTTGCTAGAACTATCGCTGTCACCAAGTACAGTAGGGGCATTATCATTAGATAGCTTTAAACAATGTTTAGAGTTGGCTGTTCAAGGGTTAAGTGTAACAGGTCATTCGGTGTAACATAGCTAGCTGCCGCCGCGCCGTGTGCCTGTAAAGCTGGTATCTTATGTCAAAGGGCAGTTATACCGGCTATATATACAGATACAAATACAGAAACATAATCAGCATGTACCTGTAGCACAGCCTTGGCGAGTGCGACCTCCATGTCCCTCTCCCGACAGCGGACAGACATGGCGGCGTACAAGGCAGACTCCAGCTCCTCAGGAGACATGGGGAGGGGGGGACGGCTCACCGGCGCTGAACCATCCAACGTCCTGCCTCCCACCAGGCCCTGCTCTACCATGCGACTGGCTTCTAAAATGTAGAAAATAGTTGATAATGTTATGATATATAAAAACAGGAATGTTGTCTTTTGAAACAAATTCATCGCCATTATAGAAATCTATCAGTGGATTTAAGATGGAAAATTTTTTCTAGTTCTATTCTATTTTTTCTTGTCTACCCATGGTGTGATGATGCTGAGTGTTGTTATACCTTAAAATCTTGTTCACTGATCCTAAGTAGTAATCATTAGCAAAATCTGCTGAACCAAACCAGGAGAAACTTAAAACTTATTTACAGGTATATCAGCGCGGATTGCTATTAAAAAAACACCACTTCTATCATACTCTTTTTCTTGTAAAAAAAATTTATCTTTGGCACACTCAATTTTTTCCTTCTTTTCATCCCCTAATAACTAGATACTGTATTAACCTGGGCTGCCCAGCTGTAGCTGTAGTCTGTTGGAGAGTTGTACTTCGGTGTAAGACTGGATACGTTGGTACCCCTTGTCCTCCTCCACCCATCTTATAAGGTCCTGTCCGTGAGCCGAGATCTTCACTGTCTGGGAAGTTACCGGTGCCATGCCTGCCTCCGACACGTCTACCAATGTGTTAGCCTGGAACAAATCCAATTCAATGGTATTCAGTCAATCATACACGATGGAATGGAAAAACAGCAAAGCAGAGACGCAGGATGAAGTTAACGGTTTTTGACAGACCTACAATAGATGCCAGCATGCTGCAACTGTATAATTATGAGATCAAAAGTGTTTTGCTGCTCCCAAATCACAATCTTCTGCTTCATAGAGAATGTATCTTAAGGATTTGAGCACTTCTTTATTCATTTGTTTTTTTACACTATACCCTTGAACTTCAACTGTTACTTCTGTCTTGGTCTACAATTGTTTAAAAAACAACATCTTTAAAAAAATATAGGAACCTTAAAAAGAATAGACTTTTTTTAATGAGCTTTTGAAACTTTCCCTACTGAAAAAATGTGTCTTTTAATCTTTAGTTCTTTCTACATGTACTTCTGTTGACTTGAAATGTGGTCAACAGTATTAGAAATTAACTACAGAAAAATTTATACAATAGATAGCTCTTTATTAGCAGTGTGCAAGCTGTGAACACAGGGGCATGCCCCGGTGTGCGATGGTCCAAATACTTAACTGATGATTCACTACGGACTCCAGGAAGAGTAGTGTAAAATTCACACTAATGGAGATCCTAAACAGAAACAAACAAACAAACAAACAAACAAACACTAACCAGAACGTGCAGGGATCCCTTGATGTTCTGGGACATGATTCTCCACTTGACTCCCTTGGTATGTGACTTCAGTACCAGCACAATGTTCTGTTCCATCTTCTCCTTGTCCCGTGGTTGGACGTCCACCACGATACTGCTCAGGATTTTCGCAAACGGGTTCTTGTTCGCAGAGTGGACCTACATGTAAAACAAAGTATGTAATAGTGCCAATTTGTTGACACAATCTGTATTCAATACTATTGCCTCATTCCATTATAATTAGGTTTAAATTTCAAGAAAAACAAGTACAATATGGGTAAAATGTTAAAGCCTTTTATTTTTTTCAATTTAGCTGTTCTATTTTCATACCGAACCATAATACCAGATGTGTACTTGCAGAAAGAGCATTGACCCTGTCAAGTGCACCATAAAATGAGCAATAACAAATGGATTATAGATAGTACATTCTCCAAAAGGCAACAAGGTGCGAAAACAATTTCTCTCCTTTCCAAAAATAACTCATCATCCATGTACTTGTACCAACACATGGAGTATTAGTATACTGCTCTAAACCTGATATGACTCGTGAGCTGAATTTTTCCTTGACTAACACCTTATGTCTGGTAACCCAAGCTCAGTGTCAGCTCTAATCCCCACAACAGTGTACACTTGTAGTACCAGTCTGTGCCAATTAGCCACACAGGAACACCTGCCAAAATTGTTACACACTGAAGACTAGTCCACAATTGGGGGGGGGGCATTACACTTTTCTAACTTTTTTCTGTATCCTCCTATTCATAAAACAAGTAACGGTTTCTTTGTTATAATTTTGCGTATACCGAAATCCATTCAATTCCATATTTGCTGCTTCCCTTTTCTACATGGTGGACTAATAAGAATTTTTCTTAAAATCTACCCCTCCTCCCAACATTTCAAGACCCACGTCACTAACACTTTGTACATCTCCACCCTTCCAAACATATGTTTGTTATCATTTGAGTGTAAGTAGGTAAAAGGTAATCATACTGCAGGATACTGCAGTAATCATACAGTACCACAAATAATATATATACATTCACACGGTGGAATGTTTACCACATGGTGGAATGCTAAAACACAATCTCAAATATGTTTAGACAAAAAAATATTTTATACGGACACATGTCAAACTCTCAGTTGAACAAAGCAACGTTGACCACTAAGTATTATATTTTTCGACACACTGTACACAATAAGACATTTAGTTTACAAAATATACCCTCACAGCTAGAAACCGTGTTGTTGTAAATGGGGTAAGCTATGTTTGTTTGTATGTAAGTATTGTAATAAATTTTATGAATTGTAAAAGATGTATATACATGTATATATATATATATTCACCTCAATGACATGGACTTCTTGTTCCTGATTGGCTGTTGCCATGGCGAAGCACCCGTGTGCCGGCTGTGGCTGGAGATATGCTGAGTAGGAATTTGGACTGAGGAAATTTCTGGTGATGTTACAGCGAGGAGGGGACAGCATGTCTGTAGGGAAAATGGAAGAAAATGTTTAGTTCTTCTCACATTTAAAAAAAATAAAACATGGATGTTCCAGAGCATCATCATCATCATCGATACCCCCAAATAACCCCGCGAGGGGTGCCGTTAGGGGGGGAGAGGAGGTCAAGGCTAAGGCAGGCAGGCCGCCAGCCCGGCCCGGAACAACTAAACTACTCGGCCGGGTAAGGAGTTCCACTGCATGAGATATAAAATAAAACCTGAAGTTCTGCTACAGTACCTAGGAGAGCTGCCAGGGGGTTCAAAATCTAGTCATTTCCAGCTTTTGTCACACCCTAGCAACACAATAATATGAAACCAATCCATCTAGTCATTCTTGAGTTACCGGTACCTTGATCACACAAACTCACACACGCACACATACACATACACACGCACATACACATGCACTACTGCTATTACATGCACATACACTAAACTATTTACATGAACCTCATTTTTTTATGGAGGTAACAATGTGCAAAGCAAAGTAATAGAATGCCCTTGTCATCAATAACAAAAAATGTCAACAACACTGTTGTTTGTTCTGTGGCAGCTTCTGACCGCTACTGACCCATGTTCTTGGATGACAACCAATGTTAACTCTCACCTTTGATGTTTAGGAACAGTGTCAACAAACATTGTTACGTAGAGACCCTGTTTTGCATTGTACAAAGTCCAAGGTAATACTATGCGGGACATTCCATTTAGAAAGTTGGCAGAAGCATCAGACAGAGAATCTTATCCAAAAAAAAAGAAAAGAAGATTTTATAGTAAAAATGGCAACGAACTGAAAGTTCTTTGAAAATAAATATTCAGTTTCTAAGCTTGCTATTGGTCAAGTGAAGAAGTTGGATGGGCCTTTCATCAGAAAACATCTTCCAACTGATCAGAGAAGGCAACCAACCAACCAATGTAATCTAATGAATCTTCCCATGAAATTTGAACTGCTGACAGGGAAAACGTGAGGTGGTTCCTGTTGAGAATGTAAGCCTGGCATAGGGCCAGAGCTACCTATTGTATATATTTTTCTGTAGTTAATTCTAATACTGTTGACCACAGAACTAAAGATTGAACTATAGGGCTGGAAATACTCTTTCATTGTTTCATTGCAAGCTTCCAGAATTTTACCCACAAGGTAATTCTGTTTAATTGCCTGCAGTGATCCAAGATAATAAATGTGTTAAAATTTTACAGCAATCAATTTCAATTACTACATGTATGCAACTATGGCATTTGCAACATCTAGTTTCTTCTAAGCAAAATTGGCAGTACACTGAAGGTAAACACATAACAGGAACATCCTTATCTTGTTTTCTCATCATCTTTCTGTCACGTTTACGGTGGTTTGAGAGACTTTAACAAACTTGAGATGACAGAAAAAATTTCAGGCTGGCTTGAACACAGCTGTGCTCTACTGTGTTCATATTATACCCCTCATAGTTCTCACTAAACTATTTCCCCTACACTGTGAAAAACTTGTGGTGAGAAACCTGACACTAACCTTCTCCGACTTTGATGTAGATGTCGTTAGCGTGCTCCAGTTCAGTAAAGGACGTGATCCCATGGTACATGCGCCGTGTCCACGCCAGCAGAGCCTCCCCCTGCAGCGGCATGGAACCTTCCGTGTTCACCGCTACGATCATCTCTCCCTCGACTGTGACACTGGAACCCAGGGTCACCTGTGGGGAAATATATCAAAACATGTATATCAACTTTTCATGAAGCAGTGTATGAGATGATTAAGGAAAAAAATTCCATTTCTAAACATACATGTCTACCTGTTAATGAAACTTCTTGTTATTCAACTTAGATTTTATGTTTTTCCTTCATTCCTTCATTCTGTTGGTCTTAATACATTTGTACATGTAATCTGTTGTCTTTGGCCATTCCATTTATGTTTTACAACAATTCTAGATCTAGAATTAAAATCCAATAATGAATGACTGGTATAAAGACATAAAATTCTTATCTACAATGACTGAAAATCATTATTTTGTGTTATGTCTTCTCCTGGTTTCCAATAATTGATAAAAAGACTGATGACACTACAAAACGTAGCCCTTGAACATCTAGTTTTAACTTCTTGCCTGTGCACAAGGCCACAGCGGTATCAAAACATCCTGGATTATAGGCACACGCATTGCTGTATATCATGAGTCATGATATACAGCAATGCGTGTGCCTATAATATTGAGGACTGACACGTGAATAACAACATGTAGAACTCTACTATGGCTTACCTTATAAAGTTAGTCTAGTTAACTTATAACAACCAAAAATTTCTACAAAGGAGTCCCACAAACTGTTCTAATAGTAATACAAGGAGGATGAAATCATAGACAAAACTCCTTTGACATTAGAGAGGCTACATCCCTACCTTATCTAATCACATACATGTAGAAATGTACCTTCTATAGGACCCTTGCCAAATTCATTGCAATATTTTCACTCCATATATACCCTAACACAAAAATTACATCAGAAGTTAGGGAACCCTATTTACTTTGATGACTACACATACTGGTAACTAACAGTAACAGCTGCTACTGCTACTGGCAAGATTTTGGAAGTACACTGTACATGAACATTAGTAACGTTACATGTATCTGGGTTCTTACAACTTTGCCTTTACCTAATGTTCATGTGTTCATTTTGATTTTTGGCCAGTTCAAATTGACAAACAAGTACTTTCAGCAGCAAGTGTGAGGGGATCTGGATGGCTTCACATCTCTAGATGGCAACACACAAGCACAACTGGTAACATTCCAATCAACCCCTAACCTCTAGGTCTACGCTAACTAGACACATGTGCACGATCAGCGTGCTGGGTCACTGTTCCCCCACAACCAGCACACCTCTGTCAGTATACCTGACAAATTACGTGTGTAGAATATTTCTACTGATTCAGATCATCGGGGGACCATTTGGGCTTGGCATGTGGCACCATTCCTGGTGCGTAGTCTTCATCTTAGGAGACCACCTCCTACAGAAACTTGGAAAGAGGACCGCCTATGCAAAGATCCAAAATAATTTAAGTATCTGCACTGTATGCCTAATTTGGTGCACAATATCATTAATACTGGGATTTAGTGCACAGATGAAGGCCCTGAGTGCTTGCGAGTTCGGATGCAGATTAGAAAAAGTTAAGCTAGATCTTAGGTGTCAAACAGGAGAAAGGCATCCCACACAAGCATTCAAAACAACCACCGTACCTGTGCGCTCATTCTGGTACACAATGTACAATGGCAAGGCCATTATCTTACTGAAAAAAACTGAAGTCTAGGCTACTACGTACAACCTAATGTACGGATTAGAATCACCAGTAAAGCAAGGTCTGACATATAGTATACAATTCAAACAGGTGGTCCCAAAGCTGTTGCAATACTAGACTCTTTTCTCCATATAGAGACTCAATTCAGAATGTTGGCTGCTTATTGGACAAACAGTATATGTCAGTACATACAGTCAGTACCAACAGCAAGTAACAGGGATGCTGATAGAGCTTGTCAGGGCCTGTATTTATCAAACTAGTTGGCTCAAGCTCTAGACTTATTTTTGCTCCGTTGCCAAAGCCTTCAATCTGCACTTGTCTGCCAGACTAACAAAGCTAGCTGAAAAATAGTGAAATTTCACCAAATACTAGGCAAATGATTTGGCAGACTAGTTTGGCCACCATGAATTATATACATACATATACAATATACAGTAGACTTGTCATGTGATACACTCGGAAAGTATCCAGAAGTTTTGTCATGGTAAGAAAAACATTTTAACCTTTTACTGGTAGACATAATGTTATGTCTCATTTTTGTATCACACAAAAAAATACAGAAATAAATATCTGTTTATTTACTGTGATCAAGGGCCATGTTACCTGAACCATGGTTTATAAAAGACATAATGTTATGTCTCATTTTTGCATCATACAGAAAAATACAGAAATAAATATCTGTTTATTTACTGTGATCAAGGGCCATGTTACCTGAGCAGTGGTTTATAAAAGGTAACTGACGTGCAGTCGTGTCTGAAACAGGGCTCTTACAAATGTCCTTCACATCTTCAGACAAAAATTTTAAACAAAATTATGTCTTTACTGAAATCTGAAGCTTCTTGGGGCTTAAATCACTGTAAAGTGTTTTGCACAAATCTTTCACAATTTGGTTAATTTTGGTATCATTTTGACTTCAGTGGGATGCATTCTAGACAACAACAATGTCCTAGCCTCAACAGAATCTATTTTAAAAGACATATTTTGACGGAATCCTCATATTCAAGCATGGCACAGAACAATATCAACTTCAGATGAATTGTCTATTGTCTTGTCTTTTCTTTCATACACATCTTGGTCTTTCAAGTTTTGTTTGCTTTCATCTGGTCATCTTTCCTTTTCAACTTTTGTCCCTCGATTTTCTTCTGAAGTTTTCTTTTTCATCGCATTTTAAGTGGTTTATTTCTGAATGCAGAATGTACTGTGCCTGCGTGAAACCCGCAATATAGATCTACATATATTATGCATATAGCACTTTGAAGGAATGTCTTATTCAAGGTCGTATCCCGTCTATGGTTTTCAAATGTTGTGTCAGAATTCAAAAGATATCATCTGCAACAGGCAAAGTTCTGATACAATGTTGACCAAACATCCAACAAACGTGAAAAATCCGGGCTTTGCACAGGCGCAGTACATACTGCCAACATGCTGCCCTCCAGCCTGTACTCTTGTGCCAGATCTAAAGTTTCTTTCATTTAGACTCCCTCCTAACTCTGTGTTGACAAAACATGTATGCGACATTAAGAACTGTCAGCTGTGCAGCAAAGTTGGATGTATATAGGCATATCGTTAATGGACCATGCATCCGATAAGCCCTCCCCTTGTTAAAACATACACTTACCCTGGCATGTATAAACTTCACCTACAACACTTAGGAGCTACAAGTGGGAGAGCCATTGTACCACTACATGTACCAACTTTTGCATATGCCTGGATACAGTGGTAGTTAGGTTTATGTATTGTTTATTGACATAGCTGCTGCACTAGCAACTGTGGAGATGGAAATAACTTGACAAGAATGGAATCCAACAGGCTAGTAAAGCCCTGAAGACTTTACACACAGAACTATGCAGTCCGTTCACAAACTACTACAAATACCATCCAATTGGAACATTTCAAGTTGACAGTTATACTAACAAATACACACTTTTTCGGCATCTGAAATGAAACGTGTGTATATTATTATATAACTGTCTTGTTTAAATCCAAAGCTGTGGCCTATATATGTTTCTCAACAAGTTAAAACCAAGCCTGGTGTTCAGTATACATCGTACCATGGTTTGGGAGATCCCAGCTGCCCAGTTCAACAATGATAGGTGAAGAGGCAGTTCAACTTCAACTGCAGTTGGTTTTGCAAGACAGGAATTTAAATGCTAATCAAAAACTCAAACTCCTACAGAGTATAAAACTTCTACCCGGGAGCCTACTTGAACTGGGCAGTGGGGAATGTCAACTGGGAGCCCAAGTAAACCATGATAGACTGGACACTAGGCTAACACAAAATCCTCCCAACCTATGCACTCTGATCTCCGATAAACTGTTGATAGTAGTGTTACTATAATTTCAGCTTGCCCTGTTTCTTGTACAACCAAACAATGTCATGTACAGTAGCAGGCCTGTCTCCAACATAACAAGTTCAAAGTACACAGGAAACACATAATTGAGTTTTGATCTCCTTTTCAGCTTGAACTGTGTTACCTGCCATCTCGTTCACAGTGGCATTAAACATGATATGTAAACACACTGTTGACTCAGAGAGAATCTGTTCCACGGTCAAAAAAAGACTTGGTTATCCACGAGTATAAGAACAAAGGCTCCTTGGCATACATGTTGGGTCTTTAACTTACTATGCACACTCACACAGACAACATTCCAAAGATACGGGCAGGAAAAAGATATGCATAGTGTAGATTTCAATTTTCATAAGACTCGATTAAGAGCAGGAAAGAATACTCTGATTTTCCTGCAGCATACAGTTTAGTGAGGATTATAATTAGTACATTCATACTATCATAGTCATACACAGGAACAAGTATACCAGCTACTGTAACTGTTACAAGTACATGGACACCTAGATAGCACCAATAGGCATGCGGAGATTTCCAACTGCTGCCTGTGCCAAATGATAGCAATCGGGAAATTCAAGCCCTCCTTCTTGTTGATTAAACAGGACACACAAGCCCTGCCTGTAGTCTCTATCACATCAGGGTACAAAGTGTTTGAATACTGATCTCCTCATATCATTTACCTCTCATACCTGCTGTAATCAGCTTTTAAAGATGTGGGAGAGAGATAGTCTTGGAGTACATGCCTGCTCGAGCTCCTTATCTTTTGGCATACTCGTGTCTAACAATAACTGTAATCTCTGTACTTGTGCATTGTCAAGAACTCTGGTAACAATTGGCAACATACTAGTACCCCTTCCCTTATAATAATACAAGGACTGCCTTTCTTACGTCAAAAGAGTGTGAAGACTGACTAGAAATTTCTACCATTCAAAATACAATCCCACACAAGTTACCGGTATGTAAATTCAGGTGATTATTCTGGTGTCATCTCTATACAAATCCTTAGAGTCAGAAGTGTTGAATCTAGGAGAATGGTACTTACATGAAAAAAGGCCTGTCTGTTTGGTGCTAGTCCGTCCACTTTGATCTTCCACACGATGGGTTGGTGTGAGTTGAGGACAAACATCAGCGGCTTCTCGGTCAGGCCCGTGAGGATCCTGTTCATTCGTGCCGAGATGTGCAGGGCCACCTCCGTGCTCGCCACCGCGAGGTACGCCGGGCTGCCGCTCAGGAGGTTCACCACGTAGACCTCGTGGTCGTGCCCGACGGTGGCACGGCTCTCGCAGCCCGAGGACACCGTGAGCTGCTGGTAGAGCGGGGTCACGTACGGCGAGCGAAAGTTCCGCTTAGGAACACAGGATAGACCTGAAGCCAGCTCAACTAAAGAAAAAACATGGATGCCAACAATAAGCATCTTTCATAAAAAATGGTAAAACTTGATGGTATCCATCTTAAAAAGTTAAAATCTGTTTCTACGCTCCCTGCATGTCAATATTCCTCTTTATGTTTCACATCTTTGAAATGGAAAAGAACAGCAAGAAAATTAAAATGTAAGGTGGTAAGGTATTGAGGTCCTACACTTACAAGTACTTGTACAGAGAACAGTAAGATATATCTGTAAGCAAATATTTTTGCCATAACTCTTGGCTTCATGCCAGACTACAACACAACAGTAAATTATGTTGCACGTAACTTGTTACATTCTGATCAAAATCAATGTCATTGGAATTTTCTGGCTCTTTGTCAATACCTGAGGGAGCTAGAAGAAAATTATTGCTGTTTTTGCAACTTATTTTATCATTCAACTGATCTATGAATAAACCATCTATCATATCCCATGTTCAACCCTTAAACTTCACTTCATGTTTAACGTTAACTCTGCAATTCAATTCAATAAACGGTTGACACTAAAAAAATAATTCAAAATTTCTGATTATTTTATTCACGTGTTAGATTTCCTGTTCTGGAAGCGATCATCAGCCAACCATGACCAAACCACGGGTAGGAGACCGTTTATAAATCGATAAAGGCGCGGTTGACACGCATGTTTTGCCTCACCTGTTGCTCCCAGCAGAGCGAACATCACCAGGGCGTTTGTCACTGTCACCGGCGGCATCAACATCACAGGCCCCCGCCGAACAGCCATGCTCGCCTCGGTGCCAACAGCGATCTCTCGGCGCTCCAACACCACAGTTCCACCCCCGATCAGCCGCTCTTTTACGCCTTTTTCGATCGGACTTGAATCCTACAAAAGTCTTTCGTCCACCTTTTTCTTCTCAGTCCTCTACTACTCCAAACTTTAGTCGCTCATTACACATTACAAAAGGCCACTTCCCTGCACAAATAATATCAAGTTCTCTGGGCAAGAAAATTTTCGCCCTACCACGTCTTTAAATACATCGACTCCGACCAAACACCCTCAAGGATTCACTCCGTTTTCAGTCAAACACATATTTTGCACCCAAAGTTCTACCTTAGACCAGCGATGTGCCGATTATCTGGTGGCCAAAAAAGCTTGGGAGAGGCTTTGTCTTCTTCTTTGGTAGACAAGCTTGCTCTGTCAGGCGCCCAGCTTCCCTCCGGCCTTCCCTCCAACTTGTCTGAGCCACAGCTGTTCGCCCTAGTTTTGACTCGTGCTTTCCCGTCGTGCGTAAACGCCTTGATTGCGACGTCAACAGGTTCCCGTAGCCTCGCCCATGACGCCGTGACGTGAACTTGGAGCGCCAGAAGTTTGGATGTTAGTTTGTTGTACCTCACCTGACGCCCACCGCCATCTTGTACGCCCGGGGCTGTCACGTGATCCGACTCGTTCCCAGGCTGCGCCGTGAACATCTACAGACGGTGCCGCTGTCCAGATCAATTAGTTGCCATGGCGACTGTAATTACAGAGTAATACCCAAAAAAATCTTATGAAGACTACAACCGCTTCGATGTTAATAAACTATATCGTATCGGTCCGTATAACATAGCTTGGATACCAATCCACCACCGTGGTCGAAAAACAGGAACTGAGGAAGACAACTTTTTCCTACATCAAATGTTTTTCACATTTCTCATGAATATGCATGTTGCGACCGGTTTTATTGTTCTACAATGGCTTCATTTTATTTCCAAATATTACTAGTATTTCAACCCGTGGCAAATTAGCAGCTGACAAATATTTAGCGGTGTTTACCCATAGACAAGAAGGCTATCTGGTTCATATAACTTGTAACGTTATCTAAAAGAAAAGAAAAGTTCCTATTTCTTTTGTTTTCTCTTCCGACAACTGTTCTTGGCTGACTATAAGGTACAGATTGTTACAATCCTGAGGGATAACAATACAACGTCTGGCGTTTAAATCACCGTAAACCTTTGCTGCAAAGTCTTCCTTGTCCCCCCGACGACCAGTGTCGGTCATGGGACTAGGTAGGTAGGTACGTAACCTTCGCTTAAGTCAAGGACATTCTACAGATGGAAGCATTATTACTGTAACTGAAGCCGCGTTCGCCTGTCGACAATCTCTCCCAAACGCATCGAGACATGAGCTATACATAATACACATGTAGGATGTACTACTCCTATCGTGTAGTTAAATAAACTGTATAAACCAAACTTTATGGAGGTCGTCGACACTGTTTTCTCGTGGATAGATGGAATGTCACGACTCACGATCCACGGAGGCTAACCTCCTTGCATGATCAGAATTTTCGATAACATTGGCCACGCGCTCTTCAAATATTTCTGACGTTCTGCAGTAGAAAACGCAAACCCAGAGGTTCGATTCTCGGCCGCTAGGTAGCGCTTCTATATTGCTTGTCGCAGTTTATTACTTCGAATCGTTGCGTACCGGAGCCATACGAAGTCAATACTTAGTACTGTAAACCGGGATAGGTACACCTGGCAACGTTATGCCGTAATGGAATGTGTCTTTGGCGCCAATACACAATCATCACCAATTAACAGGGCAATCTGTTATTGATTAAAATGACAATAGTGGGAGGAGCGTCCCACGCTGAGAAGTCGCCCCTTTGCTGTTTGTTTCACACCTTATCAAACAACTGGATCGGTATTCGCGCGATCGCGATATATATCGCCGCCAGAACTTTGTTTGACACAGAACTACTAGCCTTCTGTGCAAGCCTTCGGGCGGGTGGGATTATTGATGCTACGTTTTGTAGATCTAGAATTTGTGGCGGGTACAAACCTTCTCTGGGCGGCTGGTTATAGGTTGGCCGGCAAAAGAACGCTTTAAAAATTCTACAAAACGCAGTATCAAAACTCCCGCCCGCCCGGAGGCCTGCACAGGAGGCTAACACAGAAGAGCAATTCTTTCAAGGGAAAAAGTCTTTCTGTCTTCCCAAGTTGTTTTTTTTTTAAATCAGTTTCATCTCTTCTTGGTAGAGGATGAAATTTTTTTTGCTCATGACTGTCCCACTTTTTTTTACCCCAAGCAAGCAAGTCAGGGTTTGCTTGAGTCTTTGTATATTCATGAAATACATTTGTACTCGCCTGCTGACTGCTTTTACATTTGTATATGTGTGCAGAAGGTAATTGGCCATTGTTTGTACCCCTTTTCTGCTCTAATGTTTTATTGTTGTTCCCATTTGGAAGCGTTAATTTTTCTGATGGAGTGAATCATTTTACACGGAGGTGTGAATCAGCCCTATTGACGGTGCCTGCATGACCTTCCCTCCCTTTTGATGATGCGTAAAATCCATTTCATTCAGACTTCTATTGAAGTTCTAATGTCTGCTTTGATAAAGAATGGGGGTAATTATCACCATGAAAAATGGCTATTATATGCCCCTACATAATGTCCTTGGTCATATATACTTGAGGTTTATTGTACCATCTTTATCTTACATTCTAGCAATATAAGGAATCATGAAATATTGAAGCAATGATTGAAGGTCTTGAGGTACATTTTTCGAGGTAGGGTAGCCTGGGTTCCAGACCCATAGCACGCTGGACACAAATATCTCAGTGAGCCTGAGATATTTTGTGTCCAGTGTGCTTTGGGTCTGGCATCCAGGCTAAGGTAGGGGAGCATAATGTTGTTAATTCGAGCAAAGAGGTTCTATTCTCTATCAAACCTCTTGCTTCTAGAAAATAAATTGCTCTCAAAATTCTTGCTTTATAAAGCAGGCTTCAAGAGCAGAAACCAAAAGGGGAAAAGTAATTTTCAAATAATTTTCTGTATCCCTATATCCCTATATCATTTCTACTCATATTCATATAAAATTATCATTTCTGCCCTTTATTCGCATGTTTTTGTAGCCTAGTTTTTAGCCTTTTTCAATACAGTGTATTGTCATTTTTATTGAGCTAATGTTTGGTATTCATCCAGCATGTGAATGTGACCCCGATCTTGTCCTTGCCTCCGCTTCTCTCTTGAACTGTTCTGGCAAGGTCAAAATGGCCGCCGCTATCCCATCACACTTGTACGGTAGCCTTCCCATGATGCTCCACTCCCACTTTTCCCACCTGGAGCAAAGTATAGTAAACGTCAGCAACACAAAAAGTGGTTGATTTATAATGTGCAATATTTCTTTACTTTACTGTTTCAAAAATGACTAAGCATTGGATTCATCATTCTATTTCACAACTTCATTCCTGCACCTGGAGTTACCAACCTGTCTAGATCCAGAGTCTGTACTGTGTCTGTGTACTTGGAGTTGGCATGGGTGAAGCCACCGAATACGTACAGGGTCCTGTTCAACACACAGTGTCCGAACCAGCAGACAGGGATGGGCCAGGTGCTCACTTCCATCCAGCAGTTCTATGCAGGCACACATGTATATAGTCAAGGGTTAAACACTGCCAAATCTTGTTAGCAGTCTAAGTGTTAATGCTTTCAAGTTCACGTGCACAGTGATCTGCACAAGACAACATGTTGGCACCCTTTCAGGAGACAATAGTTGGTGTGTGTATTGGGAAGGGCCTTTACCATTGGCCCTGACATTTTTGAGTGCCACGTCCAATTTGACAACTTAACTAAGAACAGACTAAAAGGATTAGCTAAGACATCATTATTGGGTTACAAAGACATGTTACCTTATAGTGGACTAATCATTATATGTCTGGCACCCTGCTCAACTTGTCCCATTCAAAAATGCCAGTACCTCTCATACTATTGTAACAATGAGTACAGATCAGTATAGGCCCAGCCCAATGGGTCCTGGACCTTTTGGCTTAATCAGTTGGTGTGCTGGTTGAGAGCTGACACGCTGTGCAAGTGGCACAGGTTCAATCCCAGGGGTCAGAGTCAACCTTTGAGTTACCCCTTTGTCTTTATGTGTTACACTATCATACAACATTTTTTGTTTAACACTGAGACAGGGGGGGGGGGGGCAAACTTACTCCAGCCAGGCTGTACATCTCCACCTGTGCGATGGTGGTTGTGCCGTTTTCACCCCCGAACACCAGGAACCTGCCGGGGACCGCCACCATGGCGTGGTTACTCCTGGCATGTCTCAGTGGGGCGAGCTCCGTCACGCCTGATTCGGGGTCGTACAGGCGGAAGCCGTTCCTCCCGCGAGCGATGCTGCGCCCACCGCTGATATAGACCCCGTTGCCATGGACACAGCAGGCGTGTCCGAGCAGCCCGACGTCCAGACCCGCGGCATACTGCCAACGGTCCTCCTGTACGTGTGATCGGCACATCAACGAGAGTTATAATGTTATAACGTTAGTATCTAACATAACTTTCAAGGATACATGTATTTTCTGAAGTGAAAAACATTGAGTCAGACTTAAAGGTAAAGGTAACAGTAGAGGGTAGAGCTATAACATTAGTATCTAACATAACTTTCAAGGATAAAATGACAGCAACGGGAATTTGAAGAATATCATTTCATCACACCTGATATTTTTCTACCTCCATGTGTAGTTAAGAGGAGAGAGAGAATTATATTTCTACAAAAATGAATCTATCAATTTTTCAGTTACTATCAACCCATCTATTTTTGTGTCAGGCTAAGCTGCTGCTTGTTGTAATACATGTAATACAACCTTCTATCCTTTCAGAGGCAAACTCACCAGAGGAAGGTACCTCTCCACTGTGGAGAAGATTCTCCTCCCCAGCCTCCCACCAACAATGAACAATCCCCTGTCCAGGGGGAGCAGGGAGAAGCCAGACCGGGGATGTGACAGGGGGGTCAGCTCAAGCCATTTGTCAAAACGGGGGTCATAGCGCTCAAAGGTGTCCAGGCAAGTTGTGTCCCCAAACCCTGCAACATATGGCCGCAATTGTACATAATTGTCCCCCCAAAAATATGGCAAATCACCAAAAGTAACTGTGTTCCTTTCAAAAATTGAAGGTGATGTTTGAACTTCGAAGAGCTGTTCATGCTATTAGTTTCAGAGAAGCTAGAACTTTCAAAATGTGAAAAAAAAGGTTCACCTCAGGCTTGTAGACACATAAACAACTCACACCATGATGCTCACACCATTGGACAAACATGACCACCCAAAGAAACAGTCCAAATACCTCTCACTGGATAATAGCTTGAGCTGATATTCCCATTGCATCCCCAGAGCAGCAGACCCTTTAAAAAATCCCCTGTAAGATTTTAAATTAGCAGGACTTTATATGATGTAAACTTTATCTTGACCCTTCCCTCTTCCCTCATGACCTCAATGAAAAGTGGCTTGCATGCCAATTTGAGCTTTCAATGGTTCAAACAAATTATTGCTAATCTGGATGTCATCCAGGCTAATCCTCAATAACATGTCAATATTTTTACCTCAAATGAATATTTTTCTACAGTAGAGTTGATCTCCTTCCCCTTCCACCCCCCTATGGCGTACATGGTCCTGTCCATTGCAACCAAACAGAACTCTGAACGTGGGTCTAACATGTGCTGCAGCTCAAACCACTTGTTCCAGCGGGGGTTGTACATTTGGAAGGTGGACAGCCACACACACTTGCTGAACCCTGCATACAGATAGCAAGAACAAACATACAATACACCATAAAACACACACCAAGAAACTATGCTACACGTAATCCATAACAGCATGTTTTATTAGACTCATTAGACAGCACAATATACTAGTAGCAAGAAGCACATCGGCAGAACGTACTGCGCCTGTGCAGAACCCTGATTTTTTATGGTTTTCGTTGAAAGTTTGTTCAACGTTGCATTAGAATTTTACCTGTTGCAGAGGTTATCTTTTTCGAAGAAACTTTTAAAAACTACAGACGGAGTGTTAACCTTGTATGTGGGAACATAACCCGAGACATTCTGCCAAAGTGCTGTGCACAAAATATTAACGGGTTTCCCACAGGTGCAGTACACACAGCATACAGCAATGTACAGGACATCAGAAAACGGCAGTGTCAATTTTACCTCCAGCAACATACAGAAAGTTGTCCAGCACGGCGACTGCATGGTACATCCTGCCACGGGATGGCAGCTCCTCTACCTGTTGCCATGGCAACTCGGCATCTGGTTTCCATGAGGAGGACAACGATGGATCCAAATAAAGGACCTGGACAAAAAGAATTACATGAAGGACATTGTAGGACACTTCACTTATCATATTGACTTTGAATATTAAGGAAGAAAATCTGAGAAAGAAGACAAAAATCAGTGGTTGATGCAGGTAGAAAGTAGGACGCTGAAGGAGTCAGAGTTTGGAAATGTCATTTCAGACATATGTTAAAAGTTCATCTGTGTTGGTAGATGTCATTATGACGCAAGTTCTACTGTAATGTCCAACAGGAAAATTGGACTAACCCCGGGTAAACTTACCCAAACTTGGTGAGCTGTGGATCATAAGTTGCAGTGGATCATAAGTTGCAGAAAGTCTGTCCCCCCTCCTCCCCTCAAAAATTGCATAAGTCATATTACTTGTGTTAGATAAAATCATGCAGTTTAAACTTGCTTCATACTTCCAGACATGTTTTTTTTACCTCCCTACTCTCATCTGCCTCCCCCTCCACAGTGGACCCTCCCACCACCACCAACACCTGACTGGCTGAGCGGACCTGTGTACGGCGGGTCTGCTGAAGGATCTGCTGGGTAGGGCACTTCTGATACCTGTCAGGGGAGACACAATGTTAGCAAACTCAGGAGACTGTCCTCTGGGAACATATGTGTGGTAACAAAAGGGGGTTCATAAGGTACAATAGCGCTTGCCAGAAATTCTTACTCTTTATATACAAAGATCCATACACGTGTGCTATTATAGTGCATTTTTCTTTCTAATAGTAATCACCTTTTGTATCCCGCTAGAGGTGTCAAGAAGAGTTAGGGGTGACCAGGTGTGGAAGGATACTAGTATAAATGTGAGCTGTGGTGAAGTTGCATTGCACTATTGGTTGAAAAAGCACTATGCTTTGCCTCAGAGGATGACAAAGCAAGTGTATAGGTACGTCTTACGATTCTGTGAAGCCTGAATGAATGAAAAATTGTACAATATGTGTACAACTGATATGTACATACTAGGGCTGCGGACCGGTACACTGTACCGGTCCAATACCGTAAAAATCGTTTCGGTACAGGTCCAAAATACCGGATCATGAAGTAACGAGTATATACCGAAATAGCTAGTTTACACCATGTATATGACTAAAGATAGGTAAATCCTACCACAAAGACGAAAAATTAGCACTGGAAAAGACGTAAACACCGTCGATTGATTTGAGATCCTCAGTCTCACGAGACATCGCGAGAGTGTGGCTGATCCAGGGTTGTGATTGGAAGATACTGACAAGTTGTCAACACTTTATTGTTTGTGTCATGATTGAAAAAGTGAAGAACACGTGTTAATTTGTCAAATTGTTCAGGTACAGGTACAGGTCCGGACCTGTACCTAAACCTCTATACCGGTACCTGTACCTGTACCTGATGTTGCGTTTAGGTACGCAGCCCTAGTACATACATATCAGTTGTACACATGTTGTACAACTGCTGGATGCTGTAATGTGTACGTACCGTGTTGCCTCCATAACCAGAGCACGGCAGTCCTGGTCCCTCCTCATGAAGTCCACCGTCCGTACATGTCGTACCAGGTCCTCTATGGACAGCAGGGGAAAACGGACATGGCTCATCACCTGACCTGTGGGGGAGAAACATGTCATCACATGTAGGGAACTGCCAGGTCTGTAACAAGACATTACCAGAGAGCACAAGACCTTAGTGTGTGTACAGAATACTAAAGCTTGATTCAAATTAAATTTTATTAGATCAGATATACATTCACTTGCTTGAAGTAAAAAGTGTTGCAGTCAAAGCAGATTATTGTAGAGCAAGATAATCGCTACATCATGAGATATTTCTCTCACCATTGTTGTGTGCAAGCGCCACCTGGCAGTTGAGCTGTTAATTGCATGCCAGTCACACCAAGCGGTTTTCTGACCAAAGCATGTCATCTCACGGGTCACTGTGCTGTGATGCAAGAACAACATGGTTTGGAGTCATACATGCAGTCATAAGTTTGTTATCTAGCATCATTCGCTCTAAAGCTACACGACAAATACAATCTTAGTCTCAACAACAACAACATAAGATTACTCACCAGCAAACTGCCGTCTTGTTTGAAAGTCGTGGTTGAGCCAGGTAAGTGCTACACGGAAGGTCTCCAGCTCATTGGAAACACCCAAGTGGTCACTGTCCAGATATTCACACAGCTTATCACACACCAAGTCCTGAAAAGGAGTAACCACAGTCAAATCTAGAAATGACAAAATCAGTCAGGTATCTAATACAAAATGTATAACAAAATTCCTTACTATTGTGTCACTGCACTGTTCATAATACCATGGTATTGGGAATGACCATCATATACATGTATTTGGTTCACCTTTTAAAGTTTTGACCATATCATTAACAGTGGTCGAAATACTTTTTTTCAGTGCTCTGCAATATTGCAGAAGAGTCAAAATTTTGTTCTGCAATATGGAAATACTTTCTGCAAATACCCAAGCCTCTATACTACAATCTTGCATATTTATGAGCATGAACTATTGATTGATATGCAAATTAGTGAAGACAAATTTTTGGAAGTTCAAAAGGAAACAAAAGATAAACAAGTCAAGACAAGGATGATGCAAATTAGTGAAGAAGCTCCTGTTGTTTCAGAACAGGAGCTTAAGTGTTGTCTGTCCTTGGAGCCAAATCCCAAGTGCCAATTTTTCCTGCTGCAAAATTGCAGATTGTATAAATTTTTCTTCTGCAATCTTGAAAATGTATCTGCAGATTGCAGATTGCAGACAGGTATTTCGAACACTGATTAAAAAAGTGCTCATGCTTTATAAAAGGAGTTTTGTAAATGCTGATATGAGAAGCAAATTAGAAATTGTTTCTACAAGCATGTTTCTTAGCCTGATTACCGGTACCTATCTTAGCTACTGAGTCTTGTGAAGAATATGACTCTGCAGCTAAATAAAGGTTTGGTAACCAGGCTAATTGTTCTAACCTGAAATTGGGGCAGTTTGGACACTTGAGTGATGTGTGCTAAGATAAAGTCATCTGCAGCTGTCTCTAGTCTGTCCAGGCTGTAACAGTCTGCCTGGTGAAGTCGTGTCAGACAGGAATCAACTGACATTGTCTCTATCAGATGTTCCAAACAGATGTCTAGCACTGTGAACAAAAAAAATTGAAATTGAAATAAAAATCTTAAAACTGCAAATTCTACTTCCAAACATACTGATTGTAGTTATCCATGCAATTCAGACTGTAACTCTAACAGAGTGGTAAAATCATGTAACCTATATCAATAATAAAGATATCAAAGAGACTAACATTTGTAATAAGCATGATCAGCAACTTGACAGTTATGGTCTGCTCTTTTATTATTAATATTAATATTATTAATAATATTAATATTAATATCATTATTATTCATATATATGGTGACATGAGTCTAAAACTCCTGCTATAAAAATTACAACATGATGTAACCCAACACTAGTTACCATGGTGACAGACATCTGGTTCAGGTCATTGACCTTATGTGTTTCGAGAAGAAGAAGAGGAAGGAGAAACAGAGCAAAAACTGTATGTTTTCCTCAGCTGGGATGGTAAACATTGAAAGTACCATCATTGATGAGGAGGACACTGGCAGCCTCCAGTACATCCTGTAGAGCTGTATCAGACAGATGGACCTCCCCAGTGTACATGTAGTGTACAGCAGCAGACACACCCACAGATGTCAGGCCAAGTAGGGTCACCTTCTTCTCTCCACACTCACGCATACCAACTGTACATAAACAGACATGTTAGTCAGCAGCATTGTAGCTATTCCCCTATATTATGGACTTATTCTGCTGAAAAATACTAACACACAAGTTCATTTGTATATCAAATATCAAGAGCAAGAAAGGAAGGATGCTTGGCAAAGTCCAACTTTGTCCTTCTACCTGCTACATAATGTAATCCAACACAACAGGGTGTCTACTACTGCACCAGTTACCATGGTGACAGCCATCTGGTCCGGGTCATTGACCCTATTTCAATGTTCGGTGAAGAAGAAGAAGAGCAAGAACAATTATGTTTTCATTCAGCAAAGATAAACATGAAAATGAAGAAGCTAACCTGTGAACATGGCCCTGAAGTAGTCACTACAGGCAGACAGAACAGCGCGGTGTGCAGGGAAGGTGGCGTGTTCCGCCACCAGCACAACGTCACACGTGGTGACGTCAGTACGCAACTGCTGCAGACCCTGCACTACTTCTTCGAAGTGATTATCATTCACCATACACATACTGTCACTCTGCTCCTCTGGGAATTTGTCAATTTTTGACAACCTGTGTGCAGGTATGGTAAATTTATTGCTTAGAGTGCTACTCAATGTTCCTGACAAGCTAGCAGCATTGCAAGTTTCCTTTCTCAGACCTGTGTCATATCTTTGACACTGAAGTCCTTCATCACTTCTTGTGAGGCGAAACACTTGTTCCTCTGTCTGTATGTCTTGAGTTCTGCCGTCTTTTGTAAACTTGCACACTGCCTTCAGTGATTCCATCTCCAATAGTTCTGCAATGCTGTTGACAGCACCCACACTTTCCTCATTAACACACAGTACACCTGTGTAGATGTAATGTACAACTAATGACAATGCCGCTGGCAGTGCTTTACCACACTTAAAAGTCTCTCCCTGTCTCAGACAATTAAAATTTTTCTTGATGGTTTGTGAACACGTAGAGAGCAAGACCTTGTGAACAGGAAATGTCTGACCATCGAAGCTGGTAAGTAACAGGTCACAAAGTGTGCCATCTTCCCACAGTGATGTAAAGCCTTTCAGCAGGTTGACTGCATGATTGGGACAAGATCTAGTGGTGGATTGGCTTTCTGAGAGGTTCTCAGCTGTTGATGCCATCTCATCCTATCGGCAACTCTATTTACTAATAATTTAGGAAAGTAAACTTGTCCCAATCAGCAACAAAATCTGGTATGATATTACACGTATTAATCTTCCTCGTTGCGTGGCATTGTTGCTTGCACTTCACGTTGTCTTCTGCTTCTACCTGCAGTGACGAAATGGAGATGTAATGGTAATTCAGATGAGTCAAAATCTAAAAGCAGGGAGGTTAGAGCAAGATACTGCTAAAAGATAAAAGTATAGGCACAAGGCCTGCACATACTAGCCTGCACATAATACATAACATTGTCCCTGGCTTAGCCTCCATCCCACAAAAGAAACGTTGGATGAAAATCTTGCAACAGATGTGAAGAAGGCTTATCAAAAACCTGTTTGTTGTGATGTGCACTCAGTCAGAATCAGATATGCTCTGCTCCACATTGACCTCCACTGACCTCATGTAGAGGTCATCCTGGGTCAACCATCCCATCATTCCCGGAAAAAATGGCGGCGCCCACAGACAAGAATTTTTGGTAAAGGCGGCATGTAGCGAGTCACAAGTATGCTAATGAGTAGCATGCTAATGACTATGCTAATGACTACTATACCAATGAGTATAGCAACACTGACACTTATAACATTACATACATCTACTAAGTGTTTACTTGGTGTCCCAGCCCATTTATGCTCATCAATGCCCAGCCATGCCCAGCCCAGCTCATCCATGCCCACCCGAGCTCATCCATGCCCACCCGAGCTCATCCATGCCCATCCCAGCTCATCCATGCCCACACATGCCCATCCCTTCCCATCTCTGTCCATCCCAGCTCATCCATGCCGATCTCTGTCCATCCCAGCTCATCCATGCCGATCTCTGTCCATCCCAGCTCATCCATGCCC